CTCCCGAGGTTTCGCTCGCAACGGCTCTTTCTCCCTGTTTCTCTTGCGCGGGAAGCGAGAAATGGAAAATCGACGCGAAATCGTATGACCGTATCCGTGACTTCGATTCCGGTGGCTTTACGTAACATCCGAATCGAAAACTTCAACATAGAAAATTGCCGTGAAATCGTCTTATGCATTTTGAAATGCAATAAAACTCCGGTGCGAGAAACCGAATCGCATGACGTGGAAAAGGAAATCGTTCGTGTTCTCGCAAATTAATGAGAGCAATCCGTTTAAAAAATGAGCTTTTTCTAATTAACATTTCGCGAACGGAAGAAATAAAGGGATTGGAATTTTAAATCCATGTAAATTGATTGCGCGAATTTACAAATGTCTCTTTATCATTTTAATTAATAGATCTTTCCTATTATTGGGACATAATTAACCATAAATTAATTCTTTAATATAATTAAATTTTTATTATCTTGTTCTTCTTTTTATCTAATTCCTTCATTTTTTTTTGATACACGGAACTATATTAATTCCTCTCTTGATTATATTTAATATTTTACATTTCTACTGATGTAGATATATACATCTATTATTTTCCGTTATTAACAATAATAAATTGACATTTTAATTATTTACTATTCAAATTTCGAGGATGCTGTAAAAATAATTAAATAATCTAAATATAGTTGCTTCACAGCGAATATACGAGTGTTATATAGTAGAACTATATAACACTAACTAACTATACTAATTTAAACGAAAAGTACAAAAGTTTATAGCGTCGAAATACTCCAATACTCCAATACTCAATGCAACAATTTAGCAAGTGCATTTAACTATTAAATAGCTTTTCACACATAAAACACTAGCTCTCTCTCTTTCATGCTAATATTAGATTCTTGAGTCTTATTAGAGAGTCAAAATCCTTAGCACAACTTGTATACTTTAACCGAAATTGTAATATATAACAGTGGAACAAAGAGAAAGTTTTTAGTTATATAGTTATTTTAAAAAAATTATATTCTTTAATCTTTATCTTAAATTCTTTATCTTAAAAATTTTTACTTAAAAATTCATCTATGCAAATTTTAATGCATTGAATTATTCCTCGAGAATAGAAATAACTACGACTAAAAACAGTAAAAAAATATTATATTAAATATACTAATTGAATTAATTAATTATTTATTTTAAAGGATAAACTTCTTAAAATAATAAAGATAAATTATAAAAGTAAACTATTTGTTTGATATAACAAGTATCTTATTTAAATTAAAATATATAAGACAAAGTGAACAGTGTGTGTATATATTATAGATGACGGAAAATAATAGATGTATATAATAATAATATAATAATATAATAATAATAATAGATTTACATCAATAGAAATGTAAAAACAGTACAATTAATGTTGATAACACAACAATAGATAAAAACACTAATAATACAGATAATAAAAACAATAAAATATCAATAATTAATAATAAATAATACATCTCTTTCATGGCAAGTTTATCTTTCTTAATGACTTCCTAATCTGAAAGCATTTTATGATCTTTGATAAATCACGAAGTCTCTAATCGCGTTTGTCATCGATACTTGAGATGAAGAGATGAGATGCTGCTTTAAAATTCTTTTTACCAGTATTAAAGTAACGAAGAATAAAACTGAATTAATTCTTACAACCTGAATTAATTGTGTAGTGAAACGAGAAAGAAAATGTAGAAGTAATAAACAAAATACCTCGTTTATATCTCAAAATTCAATATATTAGGATAAAATCGGATTCTTAACAACTCTCAGAAGCAATCATGATCACTTTAAGGCCACTAATTAAACAAACTTGAGACAATCTCGAAACTTGGATTTGATTTGCCCGATTAGGATCCACTCCAATCGCATTGTTCATTCGCATTTGAAAAGTAGACCATAAGTGTTTGTAATTGCATTATACATTTAATCAATTGTCTGATTCACTTATTGTTAATATTTTATTTCATTTTATATCTTCACATTAAGTAAATTAAATGTATAATTTATAAGTGCAAATATGGATCATGTTATATAATAACATGTTAAATATATAATATAAATGCTACAAAAAATATATATGATGTATCAAATCAAAATTTATTTATCAATATGTGTAGAATGTATTACAGAAATTGAACAATTTTCTTTAGAAAAAAATGTATTCGTGAGGCTGTCGCTGACTATTTGTAAAATGTCTCATAAATAGATTAATAGCGAATATATTATATACATTATTGTAAGGGAAAAAAAATTAGAAAAAAACACTTTTCAAATGTCATTTCATTAACAAGCAATAATACAATAATTAAACAAATAATTTCCAATTTTATCAATTTTTTGGATTAAAGTTATATTTAGTGTATTTCTTCGTTAATAACAAAATTATTTTTAATTTTGCAATAGAAAAATAATCATCTTTTTTTTTGCAATAATAAATGCTGGCATAATTCTTTATTTAAATATTTAAAAATTGTTCATTCTTACGTTTTGTTATTTGCTTTTTATTATCATTTCAACGAATGTGGAAAACATTTGAAACAGTTTTGAACGATAAATGAGCCTGTGTCTTCATTAACATAAAACTTTCTCTTGAGACTCTCGAGTACTTTCCTGTTAAATGAAATGATATCATATATAGAATCTTTTTTATAAAACAAGATTATACCGCATACATGGAGTGAATACTTTTAGATTCACGATCGGTATATTGATGATGGTAACACATTTTCACAGTCAAAGTCTATCCAAGATTCAAACCGAAAAGAAACCTATCGAGGTACCATCTAGTTCGCAAGTTCGCGAAATTAACGTTCACATTATATATATAAAATCAGCATTATTAAATTTGAAAAAAAACCGTTTATTAACCGCCAATAAGTTTTGCATCCATATTCTCTCTTAATTATGTGTATATTCTACATGTGTGCAAAATAATTATTCATAAATGAAGAAATAATTTTCAGCAATTTTTATTGGAAAAAATATATATCTTTGTCTTTTTTATGTCAAAAAATATTAATTTATTTACTTATTAAATAGATTTTATTTTTTATTGAATAGATTTAGGTGCATATATTATATTTGTAGAAATAAATTTATTATTATTATACATATTATATACATACTTATATACGTATTTTTATTATATGATATACGTACTTTTTCGTGACAATATAATGTCTTGCATTATTTTATCTATGTATATGTGTATGACTAAATATCGTATGACTAAAATATCATCATCTTTGTTATGTTCTTAATTCATTTTATAATTGCACGAAAATTACACGTAATAAGACCAAAAGATAATATAAAAATTTACCTTTCCTAATTTACTTTTCCCAGAATAATACGGTCAATATTAACTTTGAAAAAGAAGAATGCTACGATGCAACATTTATTACATGTATAACGATTATCTTGAAGTAAATAAAAGACATACGCAACAATATAAATCATGATATAAACCATGATAAATCTACGATTCAAATGCTACATTACTTTTTGTAACAATCAAACGACGAAACGCAAGAATATCTCTTATCAGATATGAAACATCTTATCGTTATCTATACAAACAAAGTGATTGAAATTTGGAAACATTCTAGAAAAAAATTTTATTATTGAAAAAATGATTTTTAATTTCGAATAGTAATTTTTAAACTATAAGAATTTCAAATATGATCAATCGTAAAATATATTTAGCACTCGTTCGTCCCCGATTGAATAATATAAACGATTGATTATTCATTAAATTTATTCATGATTCACGATGATATTCATTATTCACATTTACGTTGTAGCTCCAATCTTTTTATTTAATAAGCTGTCTATAGTCGGAATATAATAAAATAATAAAAAAAGAAATATATAATAAAAAAAAGAAATTAGAATTATTTTCACATTTCTGCAAATTTTGCCGTTTCTGTAAACACTATGCATAATGATAAATGTATTTTTCCTCTTTCTCGGAGAATACAAAATCTGTAAACAGATATGTATGTACAGCATATTATACACATATACATGTATAGATGGGGAATATAGACGGGGAAGTCCGACTTGTGAATCTAGTTGACGTGAAACAATCGTGTAGAACGCTTCGAGGAAAAAGCCGAGTCAGTGTGAAAGGAACTTGAAATTGCCGAGGTACACCAGTAAACGTCGCGCTTCTGATGTGAGATATTCATTCTTGTCGCGATTAGTAGGCAAAGTGATTTACCAGGTAATTATATTTATCGCAATTTCTCTCAACGAAACATATTACCTTGCGATATTGGATACGCTCGGAACTTATCTTATTCCAATTTAATTGTTAATTTATAGTGTGAAAATATTCCGATACGCTTCTTCCCGTGAGAACTTTGGTAGCGTTCTACGAGCAGATTTTACGGGAAAGATTATTTCTGGAGATTTGCATGTAAATGCAAATCTCCAGAAATGCTTTATTAAACATGATAGCAGAAAACTGACAGATATATAGCATATGCTGAGGTTTTCCTAATTACTTTTTAATCAAACTATCGTAAACTCGTAAACGCATAAGTGCTACTTCACACAAACACCATGATACTAGTGTCACCATTATTACATAGAAATAATTATTCACGGACAAGGAAATAATTTTATCCTTTCCGTTTACAAGCATTAAAACAACCTATTAGTATTCTTGATATTTGATATTTTTATAATTGCAAATTTTGCGTTTTATTTAATGCAAAGTTTTTACTCTTTCTGAATAAAAAAAAATTAATATTTGTAAAACTTTTGGTTTTATTTTTTTTTTTTTAATTTTTCTATTTTATTTATTTTTTTTATCTTCCACTTCTTTTTTTTATCTTCTATTTTTTTGCTTCCATTCCAACATACCTTAAAATATCCGCGCTAATTCTATTACATAACGCATCAGCTGTTTTCTGTCGATTTGCGCATAACCGGCATAATGTATTTTAATGTCTGTAGTGACAAGATGCTTCTGTTAAGCATTTTTTGTAACAATAGCATCATTAGTTCGACAGCTGATGATAAGAAATGCTTTAAAATATGTGGAGAAGATAACGTTTATCTTTTTTTCTGGTTCTAGATTCTACTATTTATTACAAACAGACAAGAATGTTATTTTGAGTCAATGGAAGACAATAACCTAAACTCACAAAACATGATGTACAAAGATGTTATGCTAATATTTTAATATAAGAAATTATTTACGCGTATATATGTTATATATGAGTTTTATTTTACTCAGCTTTTTCGATAAAATGTTGCAAGATACAATTACAATTAATACAAATATAAAAATAAATCTTTTTAAAGGAAGAAATAAAATACTTATAACTGTGAAACTTCTGTTATAAAGCAGTTCTTTTTTATCTATTATATATTGAACTAAATAATAATTAAAACAAAAATCGATTTTATAATACATAAACTTGTAGAAGTTGAGTCATAATATCTATTATTTACTATAAGATAACTGAAACTGAACTTATTTACTATAAGATAACTGAAGATCTAAATTCCAATTTTTTATTTATATTTTTAATTCACACTCTTGGAAATATTATTTATATATATTATTATTTATATACTAATTTTTTTTGCTTTTTTGCTTACAGAGACATCAAATATGAATCAACAATGGATTATTATATGTTTTCTAATAGCATGTGTACATTTAACGCATCAGGTATATATAATACAATTTTAATATATTTATTAATGATACATATTTTTAATATATTAAATTATACAGCTCCAAAACGGTTTTGTATATATATTCTATTATGCTTATAGATCTCAACACCAGAGTCACCAACTTATACAGCAGCTGTAGTAGAATATCATCCAAAATATGTAATAAATGGTAGCGAAACCTTAAAAAGCAATTCTGATGCATATGTCAAGCACATTCGAACAGCTAGTGAAATGGTAGGTATCTTTAAGAAAAAATTAATTTTAACAAAGAGATAAAGTTTCACATAAAGATATTAATATATTGTAGGTTAATACACACACACACACACACATACATACACATCTTAGGTAACATACACACACACATAAAATATATCCTCGACAATGCTCATTCTGTATATAAAAATTATTAAAAGCATCTAAACATATCTTTTCTTAGAATGCTGACATAATTGTTTTCCCTGAAGATGGATTAACAACAGTGCAAGTTTCCAGAAAGGAAAGAAAAGAAATGCAAGATTGGACAACCACTATCCCTGCTGCTTCATTTAATTATACACCTTGTACTGACAATACTGAAGTCAGCGATGTATGTATTTTGTGCATTGTATATTTTTTTATATTGCAAAAAAAGTAATTACAATTTTTAATTAAATGTAAAAATTATAGGCACTGAGAAAGATATCGTGTGCTGCCAGAGACAATAACATCTATGTAGTAATCAATATTGCTGAGAAATTGCCTTGTACTGGAAATGCATGTCCAACAGATAAAATGTTTTATTATAATACCAATGTTGTATTTGATCGCACAGGAAAAATTATCGCCAGGTATCTTTATTAATATTAATGCTACAATGTGTGTATATTTCTTATACTGATATCTAATTGTGATAAATAGATACCGTAAAACGAATCTTTATGGGGAACAAGTATTTAATGTGACACCAGAGCCTGAAATAGTGATTTTTGATACTGATTTTGGAGTCAAATTTGGAACTTTTACATGTTTTGATATATTATTTTATGAGCCTGCGTTAAAATTAACAAGGTTTTATAATATTACTGACATTGTATTTCCTACAGCATGGTTTTCTGAAGCACCATTTTTAACAGGTAAATATGGATAATAGTAAGGTAGATTTTTTGCTATCTGATATTTATATTTCATCAAAATATAACAGGATATTATTAATTATTCCAGCTGTACAAACACAAACAGGATGGTCGTTTAGTGAAGATGTAAATTTTTTAGCTTCTGGTTATAACGACCCTGCTGCTGGCAGTACTGGTAGTGGAATTTATTTAGGTAATGAATTGAATTTATATTTTATATCTGGCTTATAAGAAATTTGCCATGCAAATAATTATATAATATAATATTATACAGGTCGTAGAGGAATAGGTGAAGCTATAATGTCTAACATTATATATGACGATGTATTGGTATTTGAAGTACCTAAAAAGAAAAGTAAATTTAACAAGAATTACGATCATTCAAAAGATGAAAAAATTTACGATTATAAAGAGAAAAATATACATCAAGAAAAGCCATTTAATAGCATAACGGAAAATAATGATAACTTATTTTTATTACGCGATAATATTGGTGCTTTTGCAACGTCTTCCTTGGAAGGAAATGTCAGTCAGGCAACTGTTTGCAAGAATAAGTTCTGCTGTGATTTTAAAATAGATGTGAAAATAATAGATCCGAGTACAAAATATCGTTTAGTAAGTTTTAGTGGTAATCGTTTGTATGGTACTGTTGAAGCTAGTGCACGCGCTTGCGGTATAATTCAATGCTCAAATGAGTCGATCTCATCATGTGGTTCTGTACAAAAATCGAAAACAGTATTCAGGAGTATTGAAATCGCGGCAACGTTCCACGATTATCAGAACATTTTGATCATGCCATCCACATTAAATTCAGATTTATTTCCGCTTTCTGAAAACTGGACATATGATGAACATGTTCATAACGATCATGTGCACATTAGTATGAACTTAAATAACAATACAAATAATTTAGTAACATTTGGAATATATTCTAGATACGACAATAAAAACAGCGCAAGTGGAGCAGCTTTTAATGCTATCTATTATTTCATAGCATTATTAGTGCATTTGTATCTATTAAAATTGTGTTAATTTGTATACTTTACACATACAACAATATTTTATACATTTACTTGTGCTCATATTAAACGTTTTATATATGTATATATACACAATTTTTTTATACATATGTCAAAATTGCCTATAGGTTTAATGATTTTTGAGTAACTTTAATAGTTTAGTTATTTCATTCTTAACTTTTAATTTTTAATATCAAATATATTATTCTATACATTTTTAATACATATATATGTATATATGATATTGAAATTTAAAAGTACAATGTTTGTATATATTATTGCAACATATTAAATCATAATTTTTACAGCAATTCTTATTAATTGAATTATAATATCTATATATGAATATGTTAATATATTGTCTTATGTTATTGACAATTGAGATGAGAAAAAAGACATGTAGAAGTTTTGTGAAACTTCAGACGTTAAATATATGTATCTATATGTCAAATAAGTTACAGTGATAATATATAAATGTATCGATAATGTTTTATTGCTAATGAAAATGTCTTTTGCAAAACAATACATTCTCAATATCTTCATCGCGAATCATAATAAATATCTATCATTCTTGCTACGACCGTATTCAATAAATCGTAAGTATTTATATGAAATATAAATTTTTTTTGTATTTTTTGAGATATCTTCTATAAATTTGTTATTGATAATTACAAATATGATAAGTAATGGAGCATAATTTTATTTCTGCATTTAATATACAACAAAAAGTTATTATATATAAGTCATTATATATCATATTCATATTATTTCGATTTAGACCTTAAAAAGCTATACAGATATGCTCATACTGATATACCAAAGCCTAATTTTGAAGAATATCGACGAAAATCTACGCAGGACCCTGAAAAACCAGCTGCGGAAAATATTGATAAACGAAGAGCGCTGAGAAGCGCTGTCTCTTTTGGTGAGAAAAAAATGTTATCAAAAAGATATGATATTTATACTGCTTTTATTTGTTGGCACATTATTCTTTAAAAACACATCTCTCTTCTACGCTAATAAATATATTATATATGACTTTTAGCCGGCTGGGTTGCTGGACTGTACGCCTTTAAATCTCATCTATTACATTATGTATTCTTCTTGTCGCCTTCGCGAGATATATTAGCGGAAGCTCAATTAGAAGTGAAATTAGATAACATACCGGAAGGGAAAGTATCGATCGTTAAGTGGCGCGGAAAACCTGTATTTATCTATCACCGGTAAAAGATCTATTACAAATTAATAATTGTGCACAAAGAAGGCATAGACAACAAATTCCGAATAATTGCTGTTTTCAAAAATTATCACATTTATACAATATCCTACTTTCGTTACGCGTTTTAATTATTTGATTATATTTATACATTATTTTTAATTATTTGATGATATTTATACATTATTTATATATTATATTTATACATTATTTGATTGAACATTATTCGAATTTAATTCGTACTAATCAGAAATTTTTTTCTTCAATTCACGCATGTATTATACATTTTTATAATATATTTCACGCGGTCAACGCGGTCAATCTTACTTCCGGTGATTGACGGGACATTTACAGGCCTCAATCGATTATCGAGCAAGAGAGAGCCGTGAGTTTGTCGGAGCTACGCGACCCGGAAACGGACGACGACAGGATCAAAAAGCCGGAATGGTTGATCGTGTTAGGGATCTGCACGCATTTGGGATGCGTGCCGATTCCAAACGCCGGCATTATACCGGGTGGTTTTTTTTGCCCGTGTCACGGGTCGCACTTTGACGCAGCTGGTCGCATACGAAAGGGCCCAGCGCCGACCAATATGGAGATACCCGAGCACAAATTCATAAACGACGACCGTATCATTATCGGATAACGTGTTTTTTTATGATTAAAATAGATATTAAGCAAAAAAAATAAGCATGAATCCAGACAGCGCGTATTGGTGTCATAAACTTATATAAATGATATTAGATACATTTAGGAAACGTTCTCTTATGGAAGAATCAACACGCAGTGTTTGAAAACCGGCTTATAACATCATTATAGGAAATATAATTTATTTTTTTCTCACGACATATGACACGCACAGATCAAAATTGAAAATTATGAAAATTATGTAAAGAATTTTATAAAATTTTCCAATAATGATAAATAATAATGATATAATTAATAATAAATAATTAATAAATAATTCATAATAAACCGGCTTATGATATAATTAATAATAATGATATAATTAATAATTAATAATAAACCGATTTGTGACGTCATTGCAGGAAATTATTTTTTTCTCACATGTGATACCCACAGATCAAAATCGAAAATTATGGAAATTATGTAAAGGATTTTATAAAATTTTCCAATAATGATAAATAATAATAATGATATAATTGATAATAAATAATTAATAATAAATAATATAATTAAAATAAATAATAAAATTGATTTTATAAAAATGTGAATGGTAAATTTTAGAAAGAGAATATCTTTGAATGATTGTCTCTCTATCTCTCATACACACGGATAAAGATTTTGATTAATAAAAATTGTAATTAACAATTTGTTCTTAAAATGAGAGTCGTGTTAGAGAGATTAGGTAAATTAGGCAAATTTTAAATTAGATATTCTCTCTTTCCCTCTCTCTCGCCCTCTCTCTTTCTTTCTCTCTTCAATTTTATGGAACACATGTATATATGTGTACATACCCAACGATGATTCCGCAATTAACTGCATTTTTGCTCTGATGAAACATAGTTCGGCGAAAAAACAAGATGGAATATGCAGGAGTCTCTGATTGAATTCCAACACATACACATACACACTCACAGAATCGCTGTTACTTTCAAAATCAAGATATTATAATATATAACATTGTATTGCACATGGTATATTCGCGTTAGAATGAACATTTTCAACAGTTTTTACCCCGACAAACGTATTTCGGTCGGAAAATAACGCGAAATATGTTCATTTTTCACCAGACTTGAGCACTTAACACACAACGCAATTACCGATACTTCCGAAATATTGGCGATATTGGCGTATATTAAATATCGCGCACGATATTTACGACATAATTACGTTGAAACGCATATTCGCTTCGTCTTTCGATATTTTTCGCACTCGAAATTCACTTTTAAACTGTAATAATCGCGAAAAATCCGGAAGAATACGACGTCGACTCCGCAAGCGACGCGATACAATAGTTATTTCAATATTTCGAGAATCGCAATATCGTCTCGCGATAGTATCGATTGAAGCAGCGAACCAATGGGAGTCGAGCGCGATACAATCGATTTTTCGTCAAAGCCAGATGTCTCTTTCGTCGAAAGAAAGGCGACCTAACCTACCGTGAGTCTTGTTTATATTTTTCGATCTTTACATTGTGATGAGAAATAAATTAGGATTGAGATATGAATGAAATTTATTGAATCTTAAAATCGATTTTTATAGGTTCTCTATATTCAAAAATAATTGTAATTACGAATAAAAGACGCAATGACACCGCCGATGGAAAGAATTCAGATTTTGGAGACTATCGAGAAGGATATTATAATATGTTTACAAAGTGCAGGTAATTACAATATTATTAATAGCTCTTATTTTTTTTCCTATTTAATTTACGACTTTCTTGTATATCAAAATACATATAGATACAAAGAGACATATGTACAAAACAAACAGTTATAGAAATAAAACAGAACTAATTATGTAAAGCAAAATATTTGATGTACGAAATGTATTAAGCGATAAAAATATATATACAGGACAAGCCTGCATGGAACTGAGTAAGGAGAAATCAAGCTTAAAGCAAGCAGAGTCGCAGACGCATCAATTTTTAAAAACACTAGGACAGTTGGAGTCTAAATTGAGCGAGCAAATTAATTATCTTACCCAGGTTTCTACAGGTACAGAATGTATATCTTGTTTCACAATACCAAACACTCTTCGATATATTTATATTTTTAACATGTCTGTAAATGTATCTCAGGTCAACCACATGAAGGTTCTGGATACGCAAGTCAGAAAGTATTACAAATGGCATGGCATAGATTGGAGCATGCACGAAGTAGAGTTAATGAACTGGAGCGTATAAAAAATAAGTTACGATGAGTGTGTAATTTTTTTCGTGAATGTGAAATGTCAAACTGTAAATATGAATAACATTAATATAATTCATGTATGTGGCAAGTCTTTTAAATACAAGTTATTTGAATAAACTTAAATATCTTTATTAAATAAAATCTCTTATTATCTTATTTATATTTGTCATTATACACATATATTTGTATCATTTTCACTGGTCAAATTGTATAATGCTAATATTTTATAATGTAAATCTAATTTTAAAAAATCAATGAGTTTCATAACAATACATATATTTTCTGAGTATTTCTTTTATTACTAAGTGTATAACATACTAAAAAAATACATAAATAACTTCTTTATATATTGTCTGTCTCTTATAATACTTATCATAAATATATATATATATATATATATATATATATATATATATATGTATATATGTATGTGTATGTGTTAGGCGCGCACATATGTGTGTGTAACAAATAGTAAACTTTATGAAAACATTCCAACAATGCGCGACATATATAATGCGTTTTATAATTAACTTATACGTATAAAATATGAACATTATGAACATTATTTATTTTGGAACACTTTTTCTCTCTTTCTCTCACTCACTCTCACTATTTCTTTCTTTCTCACTCTCATGATTTGATATTGAAATCTTTATCCATCTATAACTCCCATGCTACGTTTTACTGTAGCAGCTAATGAAAGTCGTGATCTTCTCTCTTCATCTAATTGCTTTGTTAGTAATGACATTTGTGATTGCAAGTCCGTCATTTGATTTTTTAAGGTTTTAACTGTTTCAGATAATGTCCTGTGTATAAAGCATATATTAATATTAATATACAGTATTAACATGCAAAGACTTTAACATTACACTGATATATTGTTGTTGTTGTAAATTCCTGAGTCTCAATTCTTTTTGAATTAATCAAATCACAACAATGTTGTAATATAATAAAGTGTTTTTAAGAATAAGTTTAAATAAGCAACGTTTGGCTTGGCTTCTGCAGAAATTACCATTTGAATATATTTGAGTATATTTGTTGCAATGGAGGATAAAAGAGTTTCTTTTTTCCAAATATTAATTTTTTTATACATACCTATCATTACAAGATTCCCAGATGCCTTTATTATGTGCATATGATGTCCTATCGCGTGATTTTTGTGAATCATAATCTAACATTGCTGAAAAAAAATATAATTTCTTTATGATATATAAAATATCTTGAAAAGTTTATAAACAAATCGTTAATATTTATCTCTTTTTTAGATTAGTTATCACTTACAATTAGATTCTCCAGAATGTACAGTAAATCTAGCATTGACAGAAAGACAATAACTCTCTATTACTTTCAGTATGATTGCATCTTCTTCAAACTGTCGCTCGTCTATAATGTAAAATACAATAGATGATTTAAAAAAAACTTAATACTTTAATACAATTTAAGATATAGATAAATCTTACTGCATGATCGTTGTAGACGTGATGTGTCTGTAGTATCTATTTTTCCAAAGCTTTTAAGAGAATATAAGGGAGGAGCAGGTCTTAATGATGCAAGACTCCAAGGTGTCTTAATTCCTGGAGACGTGCAATGCTCCATTATCGGCCGTTGATGCTTCCCATTCAACTGATTGTTCACTTGCTACAATATACAATATTATTTATTTTATTTCAAGAATATCATTAACATATAATGAGAAATGTTTCTATTATTTTTATGCATGCATAGCTTAAAACTTTATCTATTAAGGTCACATCTTATAATTTTTATATATGTTACATATATAACAATATAATTATATGTATAACATATATATAAATATATTTTTTAGTACAGAACTTTTATTCTATTGCGATCCTATATTTGATAAGGAACTATTTTGAAGATATAAAACATAATTGTATCAATTTAGAGTGCACGCCCTACCTAGAAGCTAAAGCTGTATCTAATAAAAATCAATAGAATTTTTCACAAAGTGAATGATCGAAATATGATAAAATAAAGGTATGTGCAGAGAAACTTGTAATGTTTTTTCAAAGTTATCTTATAACATATATTGTGTTAGTAAAGCAAAAGCTTACTTCACACAACATGGCTGTGAAATAAGGGCATACTATTTTCGATGAAAAATGATAATTAGTAAAAACGCCAGCAATTGTTAAAAAACTGAAATGATCAAAGAAACAGCCATGCCATGGAAGCTTGCCTTGTTCTGTATTTCCAAATATTGGAATAGGTTTCTTGAGCCACCAATGAGCATACAGTCCAGATGAATACACTTGATTAGTTGGTTCATGTTCTTCCATAATCGGCTGTATTGGACGAACTACATGTCTCCCGACTTTTTTAATTACACATTGATGTGCGTACGGTATCGGTTGCGTATATCTCTTTCCTTGTACATTTCCATAATTTAACAGGGGGTGAGTTAGCAGAGAGATTTCTTGAATTTTTTTCTCGCTATTATTCGAATCGTTATTCACATCGTTATCGCTAGGTTTTGCAAGACTTGTACATTCATCAATATTTTTGGACGAAGCCAGAGAATGGGCACTATCTCGAGGTGTAGAGCCAAACGGCGAGGTGCAAATACACTGATGCTCAAATTTATTTTCATCATTATCGCTTTCGCTATGAGATGTTCTTACAGGATCTGTATATTTGGTATGACTAGATGCATACGACTTGTAACAGGAATTAATTTCAGACGAATTTAGGCGATAACTCTCGGCCATTCCCGAATCCGATGATTGCAAACTAGTATTTGCGCACGTTTCTTTTTTTATGCTATTTTTCTCGGTGGATGTCGTTGAATATTGAATCTCCGACATCTTCGGATAGAGTTCGATCGTTTTCGAATAATTCATCGTTAGACCGCTGTGCTCTTGGTCGTGTGGAATTTCCAAATGTTCTCGACAAAAATCGTTACAACGTGTATGAAACTTCGACGTATAGGATTTGCTTGACGCGAGTGGCAGGACGTGACTCATTGTGGCATCGGCCGGTAAACTTTTACTAGTTTCGAAGGTAGAACGATCGACTCTCGATGCGAAATTCGTGAGTGAGGAAGTGTTCGCGAGCCCCACCATACTAAGATCAGTATTATCTATCACATATCTAACGTCTAATATCAACGAGGATTTACGCAATATTCGTGGCTCCTCTTGTATGTTACTTTCAATGGATGTATTTGACTCTGATTCTTCACTACTACGAGCAGTTAAAATAATATAGGTCACATTGCATTTTCTCATTTTTACATCGCTCAAATCTGGCTTCAAAATATATTGCATATATAACAACTTTTTCATTAATTCAGGATATATAACTTTTCTCCTCACGAGCTTCGCAAAGTATCTCGAGAGTCGCGCGTACGGAGGATGATGACAACTCACACGAGACACTGTTGGTGATTTTAAGAGACTACTAGTGCCTTGTTCCTGAATCAAGAGATCAATCCAACGCTGCCTTTCTTCCCTTGTGGCACACAACACGACAATACTCTCAATCATTGGCCCTTAAAATTTACATATTATATTATTTATATAAATCACTGTTTTAGGAAATAACTAGTCATTTTGTAATTAAAAAAAATAGATGTAGCTGTACATATAATATATAAACTGTTCGTCATTATTATTTTCTAAATTACAAAATGCATATTTATTGTGCTCGTTGTAAGATAGAATTATGATACACAAAAAATAACAATAATCTCATACCAGTAATCTCAAGAGCATTTCTTATTTCATCTGTATCTTCAATTCCAGTTACATTAATACCAGTTAATGGAAGTTTTCCCTGCACATATCATTGCAATACACAAAATAAGATCATTATACTATTAAATTATTAGCATAATAAAAATATATTCCAAATATATACCTCATAAATGAAGGAACTCATTCTGGGGCTGGTACTAAGAACTAACAGCGTAGTGGGAAACAAAACAAAGTATCTATCTCTGCGATCTACAGTTGCTAGAGTTACAGATCCAACATAAATAATCTCGCCTAACGAACTTAATTCTTCACCTTCCCATCCTTTAATTCCACTAGTTAATATTTGAAGCGCCAACTCACGCTGTTTACGTATGGAAGCACAATGATCCTAATAATAAAAATATATCATATTATGAAATATAAATTTCAATGCAATTTTAATAACAATTGTTTTGTAGATTGAGATTATAAATCATTGAGATCATACTGTGATTTCTCTATACACTGCTATACTACGTTGAGTATCCCCTCTATCAGGATGATTCTTTTCAGTATATCTTTCTAATTCTTGAAGCATAGCAGAGTACTTGTCCAATCTTCGGAATGGCTTACTAAGGCCAGTGGTTAATACCAATATGCCAGGTGATATTGCTCCACTACGTTCCATAAATTCATTTAATTCATCTCTAAAATATGATGATATATAATGATTAATGTATTTGATTATTATAAAAATATAGTTTTAATAAAGTAATCTTATATCTTTCTCAGTAACTACCTGTATCTATCTAATATACAAACAGCTTGTGGATGATTATTACAATATGTAGTATGAATAGATTTTAGCCTTGGTGCAATAGTTAGAAAAAGATTCCCTACTCTTGCAGAGAGTCCTTGTAAAATGGTTGCTTCTAAATTTGCCAATAAACTATGATGAGTTTCCAAGATTTCGTGTATATTACCAAGTAGCTGCTTATATTCATCTTTCTTCAGTCTGTATAAATATATACATATAATTGTAATATAAATTTTTATAGTATATAAGAGAGATATTTATAGATTGATTATAGAGAGATTTTTATAATATATAAAATATATTTTTTCTCTGTAATTTATTATGTAACTTACATGTTTGATGCTTCAAGAGGCTGTAAGAAGTTATTCACCAAACCTTGCAGTTCTGCTACATTTACTCTCTCAGAATCTACAATATCCTTCAATACTATGTCACGATTAAGTTTCTGATGGGCAGGTGATTCTTGTGGGCTCCTTTCTGGAGATGTTTTGATTGATGTATGACCACCATCTATATACATATTTATTTATCAGTACAGTATATAATATATTATTAAATTGATAATATTAAAATTATATGTTAGAATTAATATTAAAATTGAAAGCAAATAAGTTATGCATAATAATATTATTTAAAGCATTCAAATTTAAATATATTTAAAAAATTTCCTGTACCTGGAATTCTATATTCTTTGACATAATTCGAGGGAAACCAACCAGTTTTATCGTGTAATGTCCCTTCCCACCAGCCTTCGTCATCTACTTGAGTTATCGTTATTATATCTCCCTTCTTAAAACACAACTAAAAAAATGAGAATATTGTATAATAAAAATAAAAGACGTATTTTTGGAAACTACTATATATTGCTTCGATATCGTGCGATATCTTTTCAAGCATCATTCAATGAGAGGCATTTTTTTCTGTTACATACCTCATCGTTATTCTTCCCTTTGAAGGAAAAAAGCGCTATAACAAATTTCGGTGCATCGGGCTTCGACATAATTTTCGTGTTTCGTTAATTATGAATCGTAAGAGAATGTCAAGGAACTAAAGTAGTATCCCCGGGCATCTCCTTCTCACGGAATAACATTCAAATTGGCCTTCGGAGTACACGAGAAGGTGCTTGTTCCAGAATCACAACATAACTCGCAGGCATGAAAACGCCATAACACGGAGAGTATTTTGTCATACATATATTTCAAATATCCTTCTCGCTTCTGTCATGCAAGAATTAGTCGCACGCCTGCAGGAACGCGATGGTATTAGGTATCTATACTTATGCACATACACAACTTGCTCAATTACACTCGCTGCCTATAAATAAACGCAACTGCAGAACCGCACGCCACGTGACTGTGCATACGTCACGAACAGATCTCCAGTCCTTGTTTTTAAAAAAAAGCAAACAAAAAATGCATCGCAGATCGGAGATTGGAAGATAGAGTTATTTTTATTTATTTCATCAATTTTATTTTATTTTTTTATTTTATTTTGTATTTATGTATTTATGTATATATATACATGTACATACGTTGATTTAAATATCCCGCCAATTCTTGTTATCCATAGTGTATTCGAAAATCCTATTCGTAGAGTAGAACATCTTTTAATTGACCAATCAGGATATAAAGATTTTTCTGTCCTGATTAGTCAATTAAAGGCTACTTTATTCTGCTGATAGGATTTCTGAACGCATCTTCTGATACATTCACATGTGCAATACTCGACGCTATTTTTGTTTCGAAGATTCTTCACTTTGATGGGCATCGAATATTTATACTTTGAAGCGAAAATAATATTAAATAGAGTACAGTCCTCAGTTCTACGTGTAACAAAATGACACAAGAACGTGATATGCGATGTAACATTTTCAACGAGCGTCTTCAGAAAAATGTTACAGAGGTAAAGTTTACTTTTATCACACGAGTTTATTTTTGCGAATAACAAATGTGTGTGTGTGTGTTAGATTTGCATTATATTACATATACTATAAGCACAGTTAGATGCACAGCACTAGCAACCAATCTAATTATTGCGATATTATTTCGATACATTTAGACTATTTCGATATTTCGATTTAACACGCCACTCAAAATTTTAACTTTAATTTTAGCAATAAGATAATCGAGAAATAGAAAAATATGAGAAAGAGACTAATTATATATATATATATATATATATATATATATATATATATATTATTTTATATTAAGCTCTAGTCTTTTTATACTAAAAGTTTGAAATAAAATTTATATTTAATAGAGAGACTGATATGTGCTTTTTTCAGATGAGATTATATCGATATTGATAATATTATTTCAAACTTTTGAACAATTAATCGCAACAATTAATAAGAAGGGAACAATGAATACAAAAATGAACCAAATTTAAAGATTCACATACAAATACAATAAAATAACATAATATTTTTAAAAAAGAGCCTCTCATCACCAACAGATTACATAATTCTCTAAAAAAATTAGAGAAAAGGAATTCTCTCTTTCACATTTTAAGAGAAACAAAAACAAAAACGATACGAATTGATTTAATATTTAATATATAAGTGAATAGCAAACTCGCAAACAAATGAGTGAACTTAATAAACAAATCAAGTATCAAATCTAATAAAGTACAATAATTTAATTAATTGTTGAACAATGATACGTCGGTATATAAGATCTGTCGGTCCTGATATTTCTCCCCAACATTACATAATTACTCTTGAAATAATTACAATTAGCAGATTTTATTACGCAGATTACGTATTTCAATTGTGATGACGATGCAACGGAAATTTATTTAGCAACGGAAACGATATTAAGGTTGGGAACAAACCGGATGCGCAAACCGATTGATCTGTGACTGAACCGATTAATTTAAAAACAATGCGAATCTCTTGATTTATGTTTATATATATATATATACATATGTATATGTGTATATGTATTACTTTTAAAAGAACGTATACAGAAAAATTATAGTAAAATTATAATAAAACTATCTATTCCATTTTTTTAACACTAGATTAATATTTCTTTTTTTTTATTTTCTTCTACATAGTTTTGCTATATTTGAATCAATACTTCTTGCTAAATTAACTCTTTCTGAATTTTATTTATAATTTTAATATAAAGTTAATTTTGTAAAATTTCACTCTTTAAATTATATATATGATATATAATTATATTGCATATATAATTATATATCATATATATAATTTATTTATTTTTAAAAAATTTTTTAAAAATGACGACAGGCAGTCGAATGAGTGACAGTAGAACAGTTTAAAAAAAGTATATAAAAATCAAATACATAATTTTAAGTCCTATAAGCAGATATAATTTTGAGAATAAAAAATGCAGCCATTGTTGAAATGAGAATGCAACTTTTTCTATGATTTCTCATCATCGATCAGAGTATTGCATTTTCACATAATCGATCAGTGCCATCAATACCAGTAAAGCGAGAGATGATAATCGGATGAATGTAATAGAGAAAGAAGCGGATAAAAAGAGAAGCAACGCATAAGGGTAGTGAGGGAAGGGGCACGGATGGAGATAAAGCGATTGACCCTCGCCCCCTCAATGACCTGTCAGAGAGATATCGTTCCACTAAATTTCACTCGCATATCAGTCGAACGCGTGCATACACACTCCTCTATAGTCGTCCGAGCCCTATGCCACACGTCGTCGTCATCGATAAGCATCTTTCTCGGGAGCCAGAGGAAGATCATAGTGCCAGAAACACTTAACGACACAAAGCATATATGTGTATGTGCTAAAATTAAAATTAATTAATAATTAATCTATTGATTGATAAAAATAAAAGTGATATGTGGTGCGAGTTGCGTTCGGAAATGAGAGCAGCGATCCTCTTAATAGTGTGCTGTTTCCTGTGCAGCTTGTGTGCGGGTGATGAGTCGAAAAAACTGAATGATATCTCGTCATCTTCGATAAATGGTATGATATAATTTCAACGAATTGTTTTGTAATTAAGTCTATATACTTATCTAACAAGTCTATATACTATATTTAAATGTGATTCAATCAAATTACAAAGATCACGTTGAAGAAACATGTGCTTTTTGTAATTAAAATTGTCGATTCTCCTTAACTCTATATAAATACAGCCAATTTTATATTACTTGTAAATTTCTTCAATATTTTCTTAATCGAATTAAATGTTACTTGTGGATATTACTTGTATTTTTTTTCTTCTAATATAAAATTGTATCTGAAAAACTCAACTTTGAGAAACTAATTTTCATCATATAAACAATAAATAAAAGAACGATTGACGTTATTAATTTGATAAGCACGAGAAATAATCGCAACATTATTTTTCATGCAAATCATTCTTTTTACGCAATATAATGTACAGTTCACAAGGCAATCATAGCATAAATGTAAGATATCGTTTTCAAAATTTCGTTAATTGAATCCAATAAGCTAATTCGAACTTGAATATTTTAGGATGATAATTTTTGAAACTAAAAATTTTATATTATTAAGATTATATATAGTTTTAATACTTTTTCTTCATATTTATTTATCATTTAATGTTATTATTAAAAGACATTATATTAGAATTATTAATTAAGAAGGAGATGATGTATGATTTATTCTAGACAAAAATAAGGCAGCTCAGATTGCAGCGGGCGAGCAACGCCTCGGGGATCAAATTCGTGCGATCCTCAAGCATTATCAGCAAGATGATCCGGTCGGACTTCCGGGCGCACCGGTACCGGATCCGATGTCCGTGCCGGATATGAAGCATTCCTTTTCCATATACACTATGCATTTTAAGCAAGTCAACGTTTACGGATTATCCAAATTCCGTATCGAGCATGTAGAATCGGAGCTGGCTCGTATGCAGGTAAATTGAAAAATTGTCAAAAGAAAAGAAGTATAAAAAATTAAAAGAGATGTTGAATTTAATGCGATGATATTTTTATTCTAATATTTTTTTATCAGATACATGTTTCTTTCTAGATTAAAAATTTGTTTCTTTTTTTTATTTAATTATATTGTACTTATTTAGACGTTATTTTTATAAGATTTTAATTTAAAACTTATTAAAGTATCAAGAAAGAGAATAAAACTTGCAAAAAAATATTGACTTCCTTTTGGCTAAGGAAAAATCCACTCAGATTGGCTATAAAATTTGCTATTAAGAAATATATATGAAAGATATATATATGTATAACGATTCGGAAACATCTTATATATGCTATTTTTGTACAATACATTTAAATTACTTTTTATGAATATTATCACATATTTATATTATTTATACTTTTTTGTTTGCGGAAATCTCTTCAATTTCGGATTTCCTATGATGAATATGAAAGGCAAATGTATTTTTGAGGTGTCCGTCGCAGTAAGGATCGATAGTCTTGTCATTCACGGATTGTACACACTGCAATCGTGGCTATCAAGATCGACCGGCAATTTTACATCGAAACTCACCGGCGTAAATGTGGAGGGTCTCGCTAGGCTGGAAGTGGCCACCGATGGTAAATTACAGGCCACGAACATCGATATGGATCTGACCTTTGACAAGATCGATTTAGATTTCAAGAATCTGGGATTCTTAGCCACGGTCTTCCAAAGCGTCATCAATTCTATCGGCTCTTTTCTTTTTGACAGCATCAAGCCATTCATATTAAAAGAAGTTAACACAAACATGAGGTATAATATATCCTTGAATTTCTGGGCGAATATTTCCTTTACGCCGAAAAGTAATAAAATAAATGAAAACTGATTAAAAATAAAAATGTTATATACACATAAGTAAAAGTGATCAGATACAAAATAGTAACTGAATATTGATACTGAAAAAAATATTAATTTGGATCGGACACGTCATTTTTTTAATTTAAATTTTATGATGTTTTACCATCTATTAAACAAATATTATATATAAATCTTATGTACAATATATTTCATAAAATTTCATTTAATAGAACAAATATATTTCTTTCTTTATTTCTCTTTTTCTTTTTTGTTCTTATCAAATAATGTATAATATATTTTAAATTCTTTGTTAATTCTTATTCGAAGCACTTTTTTAATAAAGTTGATATGTTTCAGGGGTGAAGTGAATAAGCATATATCACAATTACCGCAGTATTTCCCGAATTCGATTTCACCTTTCGACATGGCAGTGGCGGAAGCTCGTAAGCAGGTTTCTGAAATGGGTTACGATCCATACAAATTAAAAGATTACAGCCAGATCGCTGGTATATTCACTGTGACCTTGTCACATACCTGGATCACCGGTCTGGCCAGTTTCTATCGCATGGGCAACATAACAATTACCTTGGAAAACGGAATTGTGAGTGTGGCTTTTAAAATGGCTTGATAAAATCTGTAATAGTTATCTGAAATATCTCACTTGAAAAGTTTTAAAGTAGTGTATAGCAGTTCTGTGTAAAAATATCACGAGAATAAGTATAGTATGGAATCTCGCTTTAAAGAAAATGATATTAAAAAGGTGAATAAATTTGTAGTCGAATTTAAATCAGTTCTATCTAAGGATCTTTTTGAAGTATAGACGATATACACGCAGTCGCATTATCATAATCGCAACGCAATTATTGCGTAATGTTACGTAAAGACACGATTTGTTTGAGATTTTGGCATGCACGTGTGTAAACGTGTAGGTTTGTTTTTTATTTTCAAAGTGAAGAGATTTATACGCTATGACACTTTGCTGCAGGTATATGCGCTTCTGGATGTCGGCACCCAGAAGTTAAAGGGCATGACGCACTGGGAAGTGAGCGTGATCGGCGGCTTCCTGTCTCGCGCCGGTACTGTGTCCTTCACTATACAGTACTTCCGAGTACAAATCAAACTGAGCCAGTCGTTGGACACGCGAAAGCGCGCCACCTTAGAGGAATTGGAGCTCGAGCTGGGCAACATCCAGGCGAGGGTCCACGGTGCAGGCACGCTCGATTATCTCATGGAGGCAGGCATCAATATAGTGCCGAACCTGTTAAGGTAAATTGTAATGACCATGGCCATTATTGTAAAATGTGCGTCAACATCTCAAGGCGACGCCTGCAATTGGATTTTTTAATCTTGAACAGATTAGAATAAATATTAGGAGATGTGTATCTAATATATCTTTTCTGACAAAAGAAATCTGCCATCAATAAATATTCAGGAATGTTATACTTATTTTTTATTTAAACTTTTTATTTAACATTAGAATACAAAGTTTTCGGATTTTTATTTTTTACAAAATTCTTACCTATATAATATAATAATATAATAATATAATAATAAACCTATATTAATGATAATTGCAACGATCCATCATTAAAGACTAAATGAAAATGTTTCTTTGAATTTTTCTTGAATATCTATCTAAATATTTTATTTATATTTTATTAAACTATACTTAACTATTTCTTCGTATATGTGTATTTTATCTTTTGAATCTTCTTTATACTTCTAATTCTGATTTTTTTATTATGCTGCTTTATTTTCATAGGTATCAGATCATGGATGCGATTGAGGGTCCGTTGAAGAGACGCATACAAATAGAATTGAGTAAGGTAGACGTGGAGAAATTGATTGATGAAAAAATTCCGATGATAGAGGAACAAGTCAAGGGTTTGATACCCGTAGAAGAAACGATCTTAGAAGAATCGTTACTGTCAAATCAGGACGATCAGATACCGTTCTCCGAGAGCGAAGAAAATCGAGGACCATCGTAAGAAAGCCATAGATAATAATCAAACTTTTTAATTCCATTTCAGATAACCTATGATTCAGAACGAAATGTGTTATTTATAATCTTATATATCTATAGCCTGACATACATATATATTGGATTAAGAAAAAAATAGTTTATGGCGATTTTTATAGAAAAAAATTATATTATAAATACAAGTTTCTTGTGCAAATTATATCGTCTAAAGCAAACTTCATAACATACAAAAACAGAAGGAATAAAAATTGTATGTATATACATTATTATATAATGTATTTTGCATAAATGCGCACATGATCAATAGAAAATTCAGACTTAATGACTTGTTTAAAGCGATGAAATATTTATCGCGATGTTTCTCGTGAGTATAAATCTTTATGCTCTCCATTAGTATGTTAAAAGATATAAATATTCAACATAATCGTGTTTAAACCTAAAGCATTGCTCTTCATAATTAAATCACCAATATTAAGCAAAAGTATTTGCAAAATTTATACGATTATAGTATAAGCATAAGTAATGATCACAACTTTGCAAGAATTATATATGCATTTAAAAAATGATATCTTTAAAAAAATCATCTTTATTTAAAAAAAAACAATAATATATTATAATATAACATTAATAATATATATATTTATAATATAACATTAATAATATATTATAATATATTATATAATTATGATATATAGTCAAATATAATAATAAATATAATAATAATGAATGTTTAGAGAAGGAAAAATAATAATATTCAAGAATAAATTGAGAAGAAATCTTTATTGCAAAAATATCATTAGCGCGTGAGATATTATATTACAGTTATAATTACATAGATTAAATAAAAAGCGAATGAAATGACGAAAGAAAAGTAAAATCATCTTTAACACTAAACATGGAATATGCATTTAATCGCTTGAACACAACTGATTCGAAATATGAATATACATGAAATACGTTACATAATATATTACATTTATATTTCTACTTTACTTCTTGGCTAGTAACGATAGGTAATCGATATCGATTTACCGATAATTCTGCACACACTCTATACAACTCGCATTCATTGTTAAAAAGAATAGTTACGTAAACGATGTTTGAACATATAAGTACGAACTCTAAATTAGGAATCATCAAGTTAAGACAAAGAAACTACATCAATTATTACATAACAAGCTCCTTATAAGCGATAGCAATTGATACATTTTGAGAACGAATCTTGATGGCATGAATCGAAATTGATCGCCAAATATAGGCTCTAACGAATCCGAGTTACATTTAGCAACATTATGCAATTTCGTAACAATGCTGTTATTCGCAATCCAATCAGTATCGCATTGCAAGAGCTTGTCAACAAAATAATTGGCAACTGCAGGTAGTGATTATGTATAATTTCCTACAATTATGGCCACAGGCATTCAAACGCGCGAAGAAATGACTCACGGTTGCATTTATAAAGACGAATCGATGTACTTGCTAATTTTTACTCTTAAAAATCTCACGCAGATGTAAAAATCTAATTCTCAGGCGATCGATCATCAAACTATGAGTCAAATTAATATCGAATGCGACTTGTTCTTTTGATACATACAATAATTCCCTAATATACATATTTCATATACATAGATTAATATATATTAGCAGATGTTACTGTCGAGATGCAGTATTGATCGTACGTATCTAACAATAGATTCGCAAATCGAATAACGCAAACTTGTCTCAAGGACATTTGAAGATCATCAAAACATTTGATTATCCTAAATGCCGATCAATTTTAATCAAATCTCTGTTTCTTTTCGCGTATCGTTTGCTATAGACAATAGACAATTCAATAAATTTGATCAGCTTTAAACATGATTTGAATATTTAAATATAATATTTAAACAGGACTTGAAACGCCTGGACAATTTTGCGTTATCCAAGATCGCATCAGCGCATTACGCAGCCTTGATGGCCGGCTTGAAGCTTCGTTGAATCGGCACGATTCGTTCACCCGGCGCCGGGAGTGCCAATCTAGGAGCCGTGATGGTCAGGATACCATCAGACGACAGGCTGGGTTTCACGTGACCGATATCGTAGCCTTTGGGCAACACATAGCGGCGCACGAACTGACGCGAGACGTAGCCGTGTTTGTCTTTCCTCTCGTTGTGTTTGCCCTCGACGGTGATGCATCTGTCGTCGGTACGTACGGTGATCTCCTCCGGCGTGAACTGCTGCACGTCCACGATCACCTGGTACTTGTCCTCATCGCGCTCGACCGTCGCCGTGCCACCCACCTGACGGTCCAGGTTTTCAAACATGTCACGCCAAGGCCGGAAAGTGTCATGGAACGACGGAAACGGCGATGTCCATGGATCATTGTGCCGCAAGCTCAGCTGCCGAAAGTGCTGCTCCACGTCGCGATGCCAGTGGTCCATATCGTCCCACCAGTTGCGGAATACATCTCTCGGTATCAGGGCCATAATTTCCTAAAACTAGATTAATGTTTGTCTGAATGCATATGTCATTTTTGTCATCTATTAAAAAAAAAAGGATATAAATTATTATTTCTGAAAAGCTTTAATATATAAGCTTTAATATATAAGGAAAAAAATAATGTAAAAATTACTTTTAATTATTATTATATTATAATTAATATATACTTATAATAAGGAATATAAAAAAATATATATTCTAGGCATATGGTAGAAATATAGTAAAATAATAATGAATATATATATATATATATATATATATATATATATATATATTCTATAAATAGAAAACAAAAAAGAGTAAATTTGCTTTTTAAATTACAATTTCACCTAGAACAATATAAAAAATATCAATATATAATACGTTTCTAATATAATTATATATTATCTACTTTTAAAATCAAATAAACAAGATATCTATATTGATATTTATCTTACAGTTGTATAAAGGATTCCAATTTTGAAATAATTTTATATAGACATTATATACAAAACTTCAAAAATAACATTTACATAATAATCTTTCACATCGACATAATCAAAGTTATATGATAAATTTTTAAGAATTTCAAATCGTAATAAAAATGATAAATATCTTGAAAGTAATGAAAATTTAAATAAGAAAGCACGAAAAAATAAAATAATTAAAAGCAAATCTACTCTGTCTATATGAGAATTATCCAAATAATAATCGCAACATAACATTAATATTTAAAACTGAAGAGAAAGAAACTTGGAAAGCCTCATACAAATTATATATATATATATATATATATATATATATATATATATATATATATATAATTAAATATAATAAATGCCCAATCTTTTTTTTATCAAAAAACAATTCCATAATTCTAATATCGCATAAACATAACAATGTAATAATTCAATTAATTCATACAATTCCGTACTATTGTTAAATAATTATACATAATGCAATAATTCATGCAACGAAATTTGTAGAAGGCAAATCACTGTTGTATGTATATACGTACTTTGTTGCCAGAAGTCACTCGCGTCCTTCAATACGATATACAGATGTTCGATTAGCGTTACGCGAGATTACTTGTCAAACTGCGCAATAAAAATATTCACTGTCAAGTTCAAGATTCTCCCAAGATCCTTCGAGCGCGAATTATCGCAACAAACTGCGCAACAGAGCCGCAGCGCCGGTTTATATTTGGTTTGCCGCTCTTTTCGAGACCATTCGACCGTATGCGCGCGCGCATGCGCAACGCACACATTGCCGCACTCGCTCGAGTATTCGGTAACGTGTTTGTTTTGCGTCTGTCGACCTTCTCGTAATTTCTAGCAGTGTCAATCGTCGAGGCTCGTTTATCTAGGTGATTTGTCATCATTCGCGAAAGATGTATGTCGATTCGTACAATTCGGTTCTGAAAGAAAACATTGTGCTTTTGTATAAATTTAAAACATATTTTATTTTTACAAACACCGAGTGTGTGCTAATCACGCATTGTTTATTAAAGTTAAAAAGATTTACTTGTAATTGAAATTTAAGGAAAATATGATGAAGAAATATCTAAATTAATGATAAGTATTTTATTGACTAGTATTTTATTGTTTTTATAGGTTAGCAGAATTTAAAGGTACAAAGTTTACTTTCATAATTAAATAATTTTTCTCATAATTTTGAAAATTCTTTATGATTAGCACTTATTGATAAATTCAATGTTATCTTTAACAATTCAAAACTTAATATTTTACAAAAATATTTGTAGGGAGAAAAAACAAAAAAAAATAGAAAAATAAAAACTCTTTATTGAAGACTATAAATTATATATCTATTGAATAAATTATACAATTATAATTAAGTAAATTATATAATTATAATTAAGTAAATTATATAAAATAAACATGATACATTAGTGTTATGTCAGCCTTTCCATTTGTAGAGATGTTTTATAATTCTATGTTTGATATTTTTCATATCTACTATCACACACACTTATGTTGCATGTCTATTTTAAGATAGACTTATTGAAATGCTATTTGTGCTTTTATCAGCAAATGGAAATTAACCAAGATGTATTTACCAAATATTATGTGTGATCAATGTATATATAATATATATATATATATATATATATATATATCTATTTATAATTTCACTTCTCAATATTATTCAATATATATAAAAAAATCCCTCGAGATGAGAGATTTCTTGAAAACGATTATATAGATAATCCATGCAGCTTTCACTACATTTTCTATCTATTTTATTTAAATGGCACATTGAATATACATCATTTTGCTTAGAGATTATTTTTAGGATTGTAATTCTGTTGTAACTGGCATTAAAACTTTATATGGATTCAAAATGCCATTTGGATCCATCAGTTTCTTCAAATCATACATCATTGCAATCTCAGAAGAGGTTTTACTCATATGAAGATATTTAGTCTTCTTGAAACCAATGCCATGTTCAGCGCTAATGCTACCCTGGCATTGTGATACATATTCAAAGATAAATGGCTCCAATTGTGCAGCTACATCCACATAATATTCTGGTATAGAAACCTGTACATGGATATTTCCATCCCCTGAAAATATAATAGAAGGAAGTTATTCATGAATAACTAATTATAAATTTCATTTTTAAATCTCATTATCATTATATATTTATAAATACCTAAATGGCCATAACCACTAATTCTAATAATGCGAGGATCGCGTAATCGGTCTCGAAGCACCTCGACGACTTTGTAAAACGATGTAAAAGGTAAGGAAATATCATACTTGAAGACATAACCATCACGCAGAACGCCCTCGCTGATTCTTTCTCTAAGTCCCCATATATTCTGATAAAAAAATTCAATTTAGTAAATTAAATTTTTAATATGGAAAACAATCAAGTTAAAAAATGTTCTTTAAAGCTTTAAATATAATTTTTTTATTTGAAAAGATTCAAATATAATAACTAAATATGAATATTTAAATGAAAATTTATAGTACATAAAATCAACAATAAAGCGTTTTTTAAATTTTAAATTTTTTAAATTTTCTAGTTTACGTACATTAATTTTTGCTGTTTCATTAGTCAAAGTGCCATCTTCAATGATATCATTATTCATTGCTTTCTCCACAAAAGAGGAGAGTTTCTCCTCATCATGGGCCAAATGACTACCAGAAGTTTCAATAAGCATGTAAAATTCGTGACCATTCTCATAACTTGTCAAAGGATTTTTCATGTCCAGATTGTTAATGGAGACGTCTATAGATAATCGATCCATCATTTCACAGGAGGACAAAATCTCTCCTAGTTCGCGCTTTGCTAAATGATATGTTTTCAATACTTTATCAAAGCTAGCCAATCCTGCAAGAATTATTACATAATTGTAATTGAAAATTAAATGTTACTAGCAAAACTTTGTAATAAGAAAAAATTATGCTATGCAATTCATATACTAAATCTGGCAATATATATATATATATATATATATATATATATATATATATATATATATATATATTTATGTGTATGCATGTGTATATATACATATTATCAAACTATTTTCCAAATATTATCAACTTATAATACCTAATAATATTTACTTTTATAATACCTAGAAATGCAAGGTGTACAGCTTTTGGCAAAGGTGGACACTGTATAACTACTTTTGTTACAATCCCCAATGTACCTTCGGATCCAATAAACAAATGTTTAAGGTGATATCCAGTATTATTCTTCTTTAGCGTATTCAGTGCATCTACAACGTCACCGTTTGCTTTTACCTGAATAAATAATTATTGTATTACTTTTTTATACATAGGTTTTTTTCTCTAACTAATTTAAAGAATCCAAAGTTCTTGAAAATAATTTAAGAATTAAGAATATATCAGAAAAAAGATTTAAAAAAAGATATACACATAAATCTATAAAAAAATCGTCATAAAAATCGTGATAAAATTTATGAAACACAAAATAATAAACAATTTTCGAATAATAATTTTCGCGACTCATACTTACTGCTTCGACTCCCAAGATATTGCCGTGAAGATTACCATAACGTAGCAGGCGCAGTCCCCCCGCATTAGTGGAGACGCATCCACCAATTAAGCAGCTGCCTTTAGCTCCAAGATCCAAAGGCATCATCAACCCGACCGTGGTCAAATGATTCTCCAAATTCTCGAGAACGCAGCCAGCTTCGCACGTCAATACACCTGATACAAGGGAAGTGTTTGCGTTTTTTTAATATAATGATAGCAAGTGAAAAATGAATAGTCATACAGTCTATATTATTTTTTAAAATTATTTAACAAGAAAAAATATATCTCATCACGACATTATTTACTATTTTTTCAAACGTATAAATTTTTCCAAAGGACATATGCTAGTAAGTTAAAATTAAAATAAAATTAAAATAAAAAAATAATTATTAATAGATACTGATAGGAGCATGCACAGCATACATTTTCGGAATTTTCTAGCAAACATTTAATTATTTCGTATTATCAACTACAATAAAATTCTTAGCTTTAATTATCATTTAATGTTTCTAATCTAAAAAGCAATACTATATTATTTCATAAAAAATTGAATTATAATTATATATTAATTAAATTTTTTCAATGCTTAGATAAGCCAAAATAATATTAATAGACTTAATTACAATGTAATTCGAGATTTTTATCTTGTTTGTTTTAGAGCAATTTTTGAAGATAGTTCTACCCGCCAATTCATTCGTATCCAGGATCTTATTCATAGACTTCATGGAGATCACGATCTCGTCGAAGACCGGATTGCTACCTCCAACTAGACCAGTATTTCCGCTTTGTGGAACAACCGCTAATCGCCTGGTGTTGCAATATTTCAATATAGCAGAAACTTCCTCGGTAGATTTTGGCTTAAGCACACATCGACTGGCACCTGTACTTAATATCAAAACCACATCTCTTAAACAAAGGACTTATATTTCAAAATGTGTAGAACATACAGCAATACGTTTTTTCTAGTTATTACGTGGATTATGATCAAACTTCTAATATTTCTATCTTTTTTTTAAAATAATTAAAAAAACATTTCTACAAAATTGTATACAATACTTCAAACTAATTTCCATCTTTTCAAAATTTGAAAAAAAGTTTTGTACAGATACTAATGATCCCAATATTAAAAATCCTCGCACATTTACCTCTGACGGTACTTGGAAAATCTATGTTATAACTCTCGCACTCATCTGGATCCGTGATAAGACGATTAGGACCCAGCAATGAATCGAAGAAACGAATGTCCGTGGTCGAGATCGTGTTGTAAGGTCCGCGTTGCATTTTGTATCTGATTGACGTTAATTCGGGCTTCGTTGAATAGTATCGATGCGTGCCCGCGATATTCCGTGGACATCGAATAATGTTGTTGCATCGTCGAAGCACGATGCTTGTTAAAGTGTTTCGCATCGTTTTTATTTCTTTACAATAAGTTTATCCTGAAAAAATCAGCGAAATGCAATTTTAAATATCTGTATTTTTAATTAAACATAATTAGACAAATCAATTAGTACATTTTGCTTTAATAATCTTGAAATAAAACTAAAACAAATATGTATATTAGATAAAAGATAAGGATGTTCCATTTTAAATTTATCTGAAAGATGAAAGAAAAGTTAAAAAATAATATTGCTTTAAAAAAGCAGTTGAGAATATAAAAACAATATATTTTTTTATTCATAACTCTTTATTTCTTAAGAACAAGAGTTTTTTTAAATGTGCCATTTAGCAAATTTTTATATAGCATTTTTATATATGTTACCCTAAATTTAAAAAATATTGATAAAAGCAGGTATTTTAAAATTTTATGTTTATATTACATACAATGTAATATAAACATACACATTAAATTCATTAAACATCATCTTAAATAATTTGAAGAAAAAATATTTTTTCATTTAATTATAGAGAGATGATATATTTTGAACTAAATAAATATAAAACTTTTAAAATTTTACAGAAAAATTTATCGAAAATCTAATTGTTCATACAGAAATATTTATACATTTATAATGAATAATATAATTATAATGAATTCATAATTATAATGAAATAATGTTATATTATTATTAAAATCAAAAATATTTATAAAACGAAAATTAATTGCAAAGACAGTTACGTACAATATTCGAGGTTTCCATAGAAGTTATAAAATATTGCTATGTAGATAATTTAAGTAGATATTAATTATGTGTTATACAATTGCAATAAATGAAAATTTATGTAAGTAATCCATAATTTTGAATTCGCGGGTATTTATCGACATAATGAATTCTAATTTACCGACATGAAACTACTGCCATCTGTAGACCATTTACCTTTTTTATCGACTCAATTCTTTTATCTCGCGAGAATAAACTCACCCTTCAAAATCGAATATGTATAATGGATCGCTTCATACAATGTATTAATTATCTAATGGATTTTGAACAAAAAGTTCTCAAAAATGACAACGACTTTCATCGTTTGATCGTATCGTTGTACATGATCGCATACAATACTATTATAATTGAACATAATTTGCATTATCATACAATCGTCTCTCAAATCGTTTCATATATATACTTAATCATAAATCTCTCTAGATATTGAGCGCAAAATTTACATTGCAAAAAAACTGTATTATGCTAATATAAAGCATTTATTAGCTGGATACAGCATCCAAAAAAATATGTATGCTTTAGCTCATATTTCAAGATTGATTATTCATATGCATTATATACTAATTGTATGAAATTTAAAATATGTAACTCTTTATATTATGTATTTAGTATTTGAAACTATTTTTCAATTTTGAAAGCGATTTCATTGTTTCAAGAATTGTCAGAAACATGAGACTCTGAGAAAATAAACAAAAAATACTATATATAGAGATACACAGATAAGTTCCGACAACAAGAATAAATATTTATATCGAATCAAATAGATCGAAGATATGTTTATCTTCCATTTCAACAATTTTCAATTTTTGTGGCATAGAATTAAAGGTAAATAAGAAAAATGTAATTTAAAAAAACAAATCCAAATATTTATTCTTATGTATCTATATCTCGATCGTCGATTTCCGAATTTACGAATGAGTAGACATTTTATTCGCTAAATTGGAATTTAAACGTCCCTCTACATTCTTCGACATTTCTTTCGCAGGTCATCCCGTTATAATAATCATCACGATAACAGCTAATTGCGGCACGATAAGAGGAACACGACGTAGCATGAATATAAGGATTGTGCAAAACAACCGCCGTCTGTCGCAATAATGTGAGAAGAACATTAACACCGCTATCCGTACCGGCGGTCACAGTGATTAAGGCGTGGCTATCTTAGCGTGCCTATTTATAGCCGGATGTGCATACGGCGGTGTGCCTTTCACGCGCGCGCGATCGTGCAGAAAATCCAATTCGTCGTTGAAATTCATTTATAAAATCGCACGCATTTTTTGCGCTTACCCTGTCGCGCTCATCACGATGTGTAATGGCGCATCATGGCCGGGGGCGGTGCGATTTTTCGAGATAAGAACCGAAATTGGGTCACGTTCGCGCAAAATCGCGCCCGTAAAATTTGAGAGACTGCAATAAGTAATCTCCCGCAGACACTCGTCTCTCTCCTCGTGGATCTCCTCCGACATCTGGCTGTCATAGGGCATTAATTTTCGTCTTAATGACGGTTTTTTTAAAAGGGGATTTATGACACGAATCCTTAGGGATCTCCCGTGAATCGACATTAAATCACCATTTTTGTTAGTCGACCTACAATTTTTAAAATATACGTTTCGAAGTTAAGCGAACAAATAAGCTTTCGTTTACTCGTCTAGTCTCGACAGATGTAATGAATAATTTATGTAAATATGCAAGTATATATTAATTAATTGATGAATTTTTATTATTGATATCATGTTTTCTAAAATTCAACCGATCATCGTACATGATTAGAATAACGTTATGATAATTCTAAGAAGCTTTCCTCTTTCTCAGTTTACTATAAATATTGAAAAATACCGATAGATAATGTGCGATCAAATTTCTTTTATCAGGGCGTTATTAAACTGGTTATCTTGATTTGCTCCATGTATAATGATCTCTTATTGTCTTGTCTTTTTATTATTATAATGTCTCATTGTGTAACTCCCTGTTATTATTTATTCTGAAAATGTAAAATTGCATATAAAATTGCATCTTTCTCTAAGTCTCAATTTTTTAAACATTTCTGCAAACCCCCAATAAAATTCGTTAAACGTCAAAACGTATATTTAAATGAAAAAGCAGCTTACCTCTCTTATAAAATCTAATAACTTAAGATTACATTTTAATTTGTACTAATGATTATCGTCTTCTACACAACAAAGCGATTATCGTCTTCTGGACAACGAAGAGGTCGAGATATCGCGCTTTCTCTCTGATGATTGTGATTCCTGACTATTTTTATCGAAGAGTCGCGCTACGTATTTCTCGAACAGCGACTGCAATTTTAACGCCTCTTATCCGCGACAATTGCATACGGGGTCAATGTCGTGCTGCTTTGCGAATCGGTGCAGAATGCGGTTTTGGATCACTCCGATATCGAATTAAACACGAATTAAACTAGATACGAAATTGACGCTTAGCAATAATTTTGCTTGAAATTGCATTTTTTTTCGTTAAAGAATCGCTCGTAGGAAAACCTTGTCACGCTTTTAAAAATGATTTATTATTTTTGCGTCCTTCGAAATATCCTTCATAACTTTTTACTTCGCATAGATTGTGTTTTCTATTCGCGCTAATATCGATATAAAATTATTATAATTGAATAAAAAAAAAAGAGGCGAGAGGCAAAAAAGATGCATGTGGAAAATTATTTCTTTTTCGTAAAAGGAAATTCGAACAGGAAAGCAAACGAAATGCTTTGTGCATTACGATCATAATTATTTCTATTTTTATCTCCGTTTTTACTCGCTTATTCGATATTGTCCTCACATTTATCGCTTCAGTCATCCATCCATATCTTTTCACAAAGATTTTGAACAGTCTTTTTAGCCTCGAAGCAGACAACAGACATAAGTCGTTATCTTTGTGAGAGTCAATAAAAAATGAGACATTTTGAAATGCTAATTTCCAAAATATTTAATAATATTTGATATATATAATTATTTATAATTATCGTTTTTTTTTTATATTCTTTAGATATCTCTCTGCAATGATATCGGGTCACTCGAGATATAAATCACATTTATGGGGTGTACATCTTTCTCTTTCTCACAAAGGCTTTATTCTGTCCATATAATCCCAGATAAATTACCATGCATATTGTATTCAAAATAATGATCGGATTACAGTTTTTCGATCAATCGTGAAGTTTTTGGGTCGTGTATTGCATACACGTTTGTAATCATATTTTCGTAATTTTTTAATCGATCTCGCGAATTGACTTTCGCGATTGATGACAATTCGACTCGCTCATTAGATCATTTCCGCGACCGCGTCGAGGAAAGGCGTTATTAAGAATTTAATTTTAGCATTGGCCGATGGCTCCCCGCTGGTAGAAAATAGAAGGATCGATGGTGCTTAATCCAGTCGCTGAAATCTTAAGTGTCCGATCGATAAAACCCGTCGCGTCGTCACTTAAGCCCGGCATCACGACACAGGAGTAACTTGGATTCATTCCTGAAATTCGGAGAACATGCTGTTCCAAGGGGAAGAGTACCGTTCGCGCGAAATGCCACTCGCCTAGAAGCATCGTTAAAATCCCATTAGGCCTTTTTTAAAGGAAGTAGTACAATGAAAATACATGAATCCTTACGGGGAATTTAACGCACAACTATCTTTTACAAATATAAAAGTCCACTAATAATAAAGATCGAAATTAGTTGGCTTTGAAAGGACACCTCGCCCTTCAGTCATCCATCCATATCTTTTCACAAAGATTTTGAACAGTCTTTTTAGCCTCGAAGAAGACCACAGACTATTGTTATCTTTGTGAAAGTCAATAAAAAATGAGTCATTTTGGAATCTTTAGGATTATTTAAAATAAGACTTTATGAGTGAAAAAATATACACAGATAATATTTCAAACAATCGTTAAATAACTTTCAAATAATAAATTCTCTGAAATAATTTGAAAGAGATCGATTAAAACAAGGATTTTCATGAATTAAATTTCGGGGAATTGATTGGATGACAAAACTAAATTATTCCACTAATTTTCAGATAAAATTTCTCTCGAAATTTTAATTTTTTTTAAACTTAATTATGCACAAAATTATGATGCGAAAAATTAAAAAGTAACACAAAAAATAATCTCCTTTAAAATTTTTCTAAAGAAAAATTGATTCCAAATTGGTTAAGAGGATACATCTTTAAAAGGACATCTAATAGTTTTGGATGCTATATGGATGTGTGTGCATATGTGTGCTTGCATATCATTCTCGACACACATTCGTACACTCACATACCCACACACATACATACACATAATCTCTTTTACCATAAATACTAATCTATGATATTGGCTCATTGCCATAATTTTTTTTAAGATAAAATATAAAGCGATGTTACAGATTAATCCATATAACAAAAGAGACTGTGTGAACATATAAGCCAAGTTTCATACGTTTTCAGGGACGTCTTGGAAGGATCGTGTCTGGTCTGTTAATCCCTAATCGGTCGTGTAGAATAGTTGGAATATTATAGCGACCCTACCCAAATGCAATGCGTGAAGAATGCGATGTAAAAGACCGTAAGATATACACGGAGTAGTATATCTCTCTTCTTAGTCATCAATCTATCAAAGTTCAATTTGATTATTACTTATAAATGTTATTTATTAATTATACATTTAATTAGTTAATTGTATATTTTATTTTAAATTAAATCGCAAGAGGGAGTCGTGTAATATTATCAATGTTCCTTATTTTAATCAATCTAGTACAGGAAAGAAACATTATGACATTATACGAATTACATGCGACGTTAATTGTGGCAGTTAAAAAAAATATAACAATATTAATCTACACGTGATAAACATGCGTGTAGATAATGAGGAGCAATCTTATCGCTCGTACGACACGATATTACAAATCGAATATCGTGATACCCGATGAAGACTGTCCGGTGCCCTCGTGCGCGCTGACCCAACGGATCTGTCATGGCACTCGCGCGACAATTACACCTCGCCCCCTTTCGCTAAGGCTGCTTCCATTTTCTCGACGTTAATTCGAGGACCGATCGGACGGACATCGGATATATTATAATCTACAGCGAATCTTTCAATGGGGAACCCTCCTACTCCTGCCCCCTCTCCGTCATGTATCACCGAACGATACGCGGCGGTATATTATCGGTCGGGGGACATTGTGGGGGGGAAAAAGAGGTCAGAGGGGGTGAGAGAGGGAAGAGGCGGCGAGTGTGGGAAGGAGGAGATGGCAGTAAACCGAGGCAACGTAGAGAGAGGGAAGCGCGATGGACATACGGAGAGCGAGAGGAAGAAAGAATGGCCCGGTGAGCGAGGAAGAGAAGGGAAGCGAATGTCGAGGGGGATCGGGAAGAGCACGCGGAGTGGGAAGGGAACCAATCGTCGCGACGACTTAAGCGTCGTGCGCGCGCGCGCGCGCGGCCTTTATTTCTACGATGGATGTACACGTCTGTACGTGCAAGTGTGCGCGCGAGTCGCCCAGTACATGTCACTGGCCGAGCCAACACGTACGCCCGCACACACGTACGAACGTAGCGTCCCAACCGAGATCACACACGCGCACCGACGTGCGCGCGCTTAAATTCACGGCATCGACCGCGTATCGTTGTGTGCGGGGCTATATCGAGAGCCATGAACGACGAGAAGGCATGCGACGCGGCGAGCGAGCGCGCCAGACGAAGATAGTCAGTGCCCCAGAGGCAGCGCGGCGCATGCGCCCTGCTCCGGGAAGACGCCACACGCGACGTCCGCGCCGACCAGACCAATTCCTCCGGGTGGTAGCCCGAATCATTAACTTGTTTCCGTGGCAACCCGCTGCGACGCGCGCCATTGGCCGGCAGCTTCCCCCACCCGCGCGCCCCCACGCTCCGACGATCGGACGGTAAACTACGACGCGAGGATACGCTCTTTCGCTCGCAGCACGATATAAGCGTGGACTATAGCGCGCCCCCTCCCCCCTCTCTCCCCTCCCTTTCGTCCATCCGTCGACTCGACCCTCGTCGACCGACACACGCGTACCCGCGCGCGGATGTGCGCGCGTGTACGTGTGACGCACACATACACGCGTGCGTTTATATAGGGCTGTTTACTGGGATTGGTACAACCGCGCGACTCTTCCTACCCTACGCGCGATACGTCCTACCGTCGTGTCTCGCGTCGAAATCCGAGACCGGTATTGGGAGATGAACGATAAATCGGTTGCACGCTTCACGTCGGTGTGTCTCTTCTCTCCCTCTTTCTCTCTGTCTTTTTTTTTTTTCGGCTCTCGCAACCCGCCGGAGAATTCCATCAAGGCGGAATCACCGTCTGCGCAGGGATGGGGCACCCAAGGGGGGACTTTTCGGAGGTTCTCCCGATTAATCATTCGAGAGAAAAATGAAACGTTCGTGTAAAATAACTCGCGATACTAACGGTATTTTACCATATTGGCAAAATGTAGAGGGGAGGGGGAAGATTCTTTTTTAAGGGCCGAAATAACGAGAGATTCGCGCGTCCTTGATCCAACGAGAGAGCCTCGGGCGAAACGGGATGCATTATGCATGGGAGGCCTCGGCATCAAAATTGGAGCTTTCCACAAGAGCCCCGGTGGAAGCGCCATACGTTTCGCGTCAAGGACGCGAGACGCTTATATATATATATATTTTTTTTTTTAAGATTCGCTCGAGCATCTCATCGCGTTAGAAGAAAAAAGCGACAAACACACTCGTGCACACCGATTGTGGCGGAAAATGTCTGCGAGAGTTGCGATGAACCAATCGCATGCGGCTCGTGAGTCCTCGAGTTTCGAGCCGGGAAGCATAAACTCGGCTTAGAGAAATCGCGCCAGGGACGTGATCGTACCTTCGTGGAGCCCCGCGCTAAACTTATCGAACGCTATTATTACGTTGGTATTTTATCAAGTAAATATTATCCAGTATTTCACTTATTACGACTAGATTAACAAAAAATAATATCATGTTTCCACGATTTAGATTAGACACAACAAAAGTAGTCTTACTAAATGTCAATTTAAATACTATAAATGCTAAAAAAAGCTGTACACGATGTAAAATTATATAGACATATTTCAATGTGTTTTGTGTGAATTTATTCTGTTATATAATAAAATTTTATGAGGGAGAAAGGAAACATATGTCACCAAAACGAGATGTTTTTCATGTATCAAACTTTTTTTTAAATTTGTTTCGTTACTGAAAGTGGCCATTGTTATACGAAGCCTTTCATGCGAGAAAAAAAGGTCAAGCAATCTCTTTGAAACAGTAGACATTTTTCCAGTTTCCTCCGCCTTTTAGATCCAGGAGGTCCAATGATAATGGAGGATCCACACACACACACACACACACACACATACACACTCAAAACTTTGTAGTTAAAATTCCTTCAGAGCCAGAGATAGATATTTTATAATTAAACAAATACAATTTCATTTTTTGTCATGTTTTTCATATTTATCAAAATTTCTTCAAAGACAGATATCTTATAATTAAAAAAATACAGTCATGTTTTGAAAAAAAAAAAAAAAAAAACGTATCATATATAATTTTTTCAATAGTAACAAAATTTATAACAGACGTTTCGATACTGGTACATGAGACTTTTTTGATACTGCAATCGTGTGATAATATTCATTTTAATATAGCTGGATATTTTAATTACGATCGTGACAATATTGTTTTCATTTATGCAATAAACAGTATTAACATTCCGAATTAGTAATAGTATCACGTCATGATTATATGACTTGTCAATATATGAAACGATACATGCAATAATATATATTTATATGAGATAAATAATGTATTTATATATTTTTTAGTCGTGCAATTATTACTATATAAAATTGTTCGATATTTATTAACTATTGACTAACTATTGATCATATAAATACAAGTGTATTACGCAACAGAAATTTCTTATTCATGTTTCTTGTGTGTGTTGCAATAATAGATTACTATCTAATCTTTTTGGGAGAATTTGTCCTCTCTTTCGTATCCTGAATAAAACACGATCTCCTTTAATAGGAAACAGTTAATTTTTCTATATTAATTACATATCTTTATAGAATCTTAAATCTTGCGTAAGACATGATATATGTAAAATTAATGTATTGTACGCGTTCAGATTACTAAATACAGATTATTAAATTATATAAATTACAGATATATATAGACAAAAACCATCTCAAATGGAGTTTTCACTTATACCTTTACTTACTAAATGAAACAATATTACTCAAAGGACAATTTTAATAATATTAATGCACAACAACATAATGAAACAACGTAACATGCAAACATAATTACTCTTTAATGTTAATAAAATGCATCGATAACGGATTAAATATAAATATGACAGGACAAAACGAAGGAGAAAAGATGATCGATATAATTTCTAAAGAAAAGAGACAAGAAAAGAAACTTTTTAAGAAAAAAAATGTTGCATCTTCGCAAGATAAAATATGGAGCAGGGCGCCCGGAAAGGTTCGTACAACTCTGACCGCGTTATACTGTGAAATATGGTACGGACTATAGACCCGTGTACGTATAGAAACGAGCGGTTCGCGTGTGTGCGTACGGCGACTGGGTGCGATAGGTGGCGACGAGTGAGGAAGAGAGAGCGAGAGAACGTTAGAGTAGAGAGTACCGTTAGCGAGCATGCGCCTATAGCCACTATATCTGATGGCTCCGCCTTTCTCGGCGCGGACGATGCCTTTGGGATTTGTCCCCCGTCGAACCAATCAGAGAGCGCGGGATCGGGGAGCGACGCGCGGCGAGGGGACGGAAACGGATGGGGATAGTCGCTTCGGGGACGCGCGGGCACAACGGAGGAGGTAGTTGTGTTATACCGTGTGGTAGAGCAGGGAGGTAGCCAGCCAGCCAGCCAGCCAGCAGTAGCAGAAACGGATAACGAGAACTCTGCGAGAACGCAGCTTACGAGATCCCGTGACTGCGGCAGCGAGGCTTTTTTTTCCCGCCTGACGTTGCGCGGTGGAAAATAGTGAAATTGTGAAAAGTGAAAACGCGAACGGACGAAAACGCCGTTGGCATCGCGCGCTGCGACGACGGGGCAAAGTGTGGTGTCGGTACACGCACGCACACACACGCGCGCGTCCGCGCGCGCGCGCGCCCTCGCACACCCGCGCGAGCCTATTCGAAACGTGCTTCATAGGTGTGACTGCGCAGTCGCCATGTGAGTACCTGAATAAAGCAAGATGTCCGTGGCCGAGGCTTCCCTCGATTCGTGGTGGCGTCGTTGTAGTAGTAGTAGTAATAGTAATAGTAGTAGTCGTCTTGTCTTGAGTTTACACACTTCCCTCGTTACGCTTTCCGTGCATGATACGTGAAAAATTACTCGCTTACGTTCCCGATCAGTATCCCCGTGTCGTCGCGACGCGTTTTGCTCGATACACGTCCGCATGTTCTATCTCCCTTACCCTCTCCGGTCGCCGCGTCCCTTTCTCCGTCCGTTTCGTCTCGCTCTACCCGTCCCGTCGTTTCTCCGAACGGTGCTTAATTTTGTAATTCAATATGTCGGCGCTATAACACCGCCGCCCCGGATTCGCACGAGGGACGGACTGCGGACCGGATACGTGCGTGCTTACGTGCGTGCGTGCGTGCCGTTTTATTATCGCCTTGATTCCCGGCGTCTCTCTCTCTCTCTCTTTCTTTCCTCTCGTTTCGACGAAGAAACGTGTTCTCTCTCCTCACGCACGCGGAATCGCGCGCTTCTTGAATATCGTGTTATTGTTATTTATTATTGTTACAACACATTCGCCCGTTATATATTGCCATAAGAGGGAGAGAGAGAGAGAGAAAAAAGGAAAGAGATCCATGTTGTCAGCCGTCCCCCTGGCACAGTTGTTCGCCCTTCCCTGCATCCCCCCTCCCTCCTGCTTTATTTCTTTCTCCTCCACCTCTCCTTTTCGCTAACCCGCCTTTCAATCGTATTTTTCGCTCTCCTCGTCCCTCCCCCCGCCGGTTTTCCATCCCCTCCGTTCCTCGCTTCCTATCAACGCGGCACTAATTATGGTGGGTATATGGGTTGGGGCGACATTTTGTTCGTGCGCCCGCGCGCGCACACGCACCACGCACGCACGCACCACGCACACGAAAATGTACGTACATCGCCGTCGTCCCGCGTTTTGTACCGGATCGATATCCACGCGCGATAGTTTTTATTCGAGTGACGGGATATATAGAACTCTGCTTTACCGCGCGAGATGATCGGCGTCAAATTTTTTTTTCCATTTTTCTTTCTCTTTTTCTCTCTTTTTTTTCTCTCTCGTCCTCCTTCCTTTCTCTCTTTGCCTTTCCCTACGAAGCGCGCGGCATTTTCTTCCTTTTTTCCCCTCATCAGGAGGAATATCGAACTCTGGCATTATAGACGGATATGCTTCGAACGTACCAAATCACCTTTTATACATACGCGTATTGACATTCCATGTTCCAGTTTCATTGCAAAATCTGTATTCAATTCCGAGAGACACACATTGAGCTGTCTCTATCATTTAACGAAAAGAAACTGAAGAGACGATATTAGATTTGTTTCTCGTAGCTCAATTTTCTTCACTAGTCTATAATAAAAAATATATATTTATTTAGAAATTAGAGAAAAGACAAAGGTACAAGTTCCTACAAAGAGCAACCCTATTAAAAATCTCTTGAATTATGCTCTATCAAGAATTAAGAATTTTCTGAGAATTCACTCAAGTACAGATAATAAGATCTTACTCTTTTCATGCAGACTTTATCTTGTTTTGCATATCAATTAAAAACATATTTAATGTTGAGAATCTCCCTTTAAAAAAAAACAATGTCAAACTGATCAAAGAATTTATAAATAAAATATAGTTTTCTAATTATGAGCAAAATTTATTTAAAAGGAGTATTAAATTTTAAATATTTTGGAGTATTAAATGTCAATATATGTTTTGTATTTTGCGTAGAACATGCTTAATTAAGTTACTTTCATATTTATGAGAACAGAGATTGATTATATTTCTCAGTAATATGCTATCATTGGCATACAACATATTGATTCTTATTTATAGATGCTTATATTCTAGACTAGAAAATAAACTTCCGATAACATTTAACTTTGTTACAATAGTATTAAATTTGCGCATCTCAATATTATTTTTAACATATGCTTTTACATTCAAAATGAAACAGGAATATATGTATTATCTTTTCGAGGGAAAGGCAAAAAGAAAGGAATCATGCAGTTAAAATAAATTAAATAAATTAAATAAAAACAATTTTGATGTTTTAATATTACTATATTATAATACTTCAATCAGGTTTGAGCGAAATGATGAAGTTAGAGTGAAAAATATGCATGTACGTAAGAGGAGTATTCAGGCTATCAATTGTGAACAGAGATTATAATATTTTTGTAATACTTTACACAGTATATCTGTATTCTTCTGACAATATTTGCTGAAATCGCTACTTCCGCTATACATTAAAAAGAATTTAAAAGACTCGAGTGTTTTGAGATACTCAGCATTATTCTTATCACACATAGCCAACGTAACAAAATTTCATAGCGAATAATTGCTGTTACAAATACGTATCGATTAACATGGAAAAGTCGCCTTCGTATAAAATATCGACATGATTTTTACGTTGAATGTAACTCTTGGCATATATGATATAATTCTGACGTTACATGATAATCATGGTATATCTAACATAACCTATCAATTGTGTTTTATATTGTATTTCGGTTACTTAATTTCCGAAACGATAAAGCCGTGTGAAAATACCTCGTTGATAATGAAATTCGATCGAACGATGAAGCACCATGATATTAATAATGCCGATAAATTGACCTGTATTTCGAGTAGATCGGTGAAACCGCACACATGTCTTTCTTTCTCGGAATTCACTTGTACATGCGATCGTCTCGCGCGATTATTTTACGATAACGAGAGAGCACCGACGAGAAATCGGTAATTTTTAAGAGACTTACTTTGTCAGAACGAAAAAAAGATTTCCGTGGACGTAAAAAAAAAAAATGTAGCGCACACCGTACACTTCACTCATCCACATCGAACTCGCAAGTCGCAATAGCCCCGCAGGCAATGATAATCGTCAAGTTCAAATCTCACAATGCAAATACGCGTATCTATGAAGGTTAAGGGGCGACATATGTATGCACGATTAATGGCTACCTCATATTTTTTGTATTTTTTTATTTTTATTTTTTTTAATATCCTGATTTGACTGTAAAATAGACACTCGCGATATATTTGTTAAAATGCAAATAAATAATGCTGTATGCAAAATAGAAATATGTTTAAATAAACATGTTGTATAAATAAATATAAATTTCATAGTTTCTGTATTATTACATATTACATGTGCATATTTATTACAAATGTTAAATGAAAATGAAATCTGCTCTTTCAAGGGAATTTAGAATGAATTGTAAAAAAAAATAAGAATTATATATATTTAGGAATATGTTGGGATATATTTAAAAATTAATTTTCCTTTTTATTTTTATATTACAGATGCAGTACGATGAAAAGAAAGTTATTTGAAAATAACTAATTTGAAGTTATTGTGAAAATAAATGTAAAATGGCAAAGAGAAAAGGTTACATATAAATGAACATTGTCAGTGCGAAAGAAAGATACTTCTATCTCTAAGAGAAAAGAAGTTTATCTAAGTTTGTACTCGAATTTTGCAAGAGTATAAGAAAACATGACAGATGTTAAACCGATTGGAATTTCACCGTCTCAATCACAACAACAGCAACAACAGTCACAGCAACAACAGCAATCGCAGCAACAACCTCAACAACAGCAAATAATGATTGCAACTCACGATTTGCAACAACAGCAAAATGTTCAGCAGTCGCAGCAGCAGCATGTACAGCAATCTCAGCAACCTCAACAGGTTCAACAGCCTCAACAAGTACAGCAACAACAAGTTCAACCTCAGCAGCAAATGCAGCAGCAGGTTCAATCGCAACAACAAATGCAGGTTCAGCAGCAGGTTCAGCAGCAGCAGCAACAGCAGCAGCAGCAACAACCACAGCAGCAGCAGCAGAATAATGGACCGCACAATGTTGTTCCTACTCAAGTTCAAGTGCAGCCACAGGTAGCTGCAAACATGTCTCAACAACAGGTAGTTATCCATTTGTAATTTTAATTCTTAAATATCTATAAATATTTTTTTATTATTTTTTCCATCTTGTTTTTGCAAATAGCTGCAGGGTGCTGTTGCAGTGTCAATGCAGCATCAGCAACAGGGAGTAGGTGGTGGAGTATCGATGACATTATCTGGTCAGCAAGGTGCAACTACTATTACTACAATGGCTGCGCATCCGCAGGCAGTCCAAGTGATTCAACAACCGATGCAGAGTCAAGCTTATCACTTGCAACAATTATATAATACTCAAGGCACGCCTTTATTGATGCCAGGAAATCTTGCGCTGCATCCAGCAGGCATAAATCCTTCTTCTATTCAGGTACAATTTAATTTGTTTAATCTCTACATCTTTTTATATCCGGTAATAAATCCGGTATATCCGGTGTGTCAAAAATTAATATGCTATATAATACTAGAATATTTCTCTCTCTTTTCTTCATTTTTTTCCTATTAGATTTGCGTTTTTCGATTTAAAGGAATAATATATATTTTGCAGGTGATAACAGCTGGAAAGCCATTTCAATCTGCAGCTCAATTAACTCCTCATATGCTAACAACGGCATCAAACCCTGGCCAAGGCGGTGGTCATCCCGGTGCAGGTGGCACCAAAGTCCAAGGATTCCCTACCGGCTATTTACCAGTACCCACATCTGCTACTCCTGGTGCTGGTCAAACATTGGTATTTGGCCAGCTTGGCGTATTAGGTTCACCACAACCGCCGCCTTCGTTACAACAGCAGCAGCAACAACAATCCGCGAATAAACAGGACCAGGTGCAAAAGGTGAACATAATGAAAAACTTATTCCTTGTTATTAGAATGTGTCACATATATTTATTCTTGAAAAATATTATTATTATATTATGCATATTTACACAATCTTTATTATCTTTATTATATTGCAAACAGTATACAGCTTGTACTGCTGGAACACCTTCTGGTGGAAGAGGTGGTGGTATGCAGTTTGCTCCTTGGCAATTTGCACCCCAAGTATGGACTGCTGGTTTACAACAACCAACTCTTCTCACTGCCGCGCCCAATCAGATATTCATTCGCGGTCCGACCCAACCGGACATGTTTATACAGAGTCCACAACCAATACAAACGCACAATGGTAAGTATTTTCGTTTCCTTATAGAAAAATCTTTTCAAAATTAAAATTTATATTAAAATTAAAATTTATTCTTATTTAAAATTTAAATTTATATTAAATTAAAATTTATTCTTATATTTTAAATATTTTTTTCAATAACATAATAAAAAAATTAATGCAGAGAATAATTGAATTATTTTATTATTGAATTAGCTCTTGCGACACAACAACAGATACAAGGTGTACAGCAGATAACAACGGCTAGCGGAAAACCTACCAAGGTAATGGATATTCAACAACAGCAATCCCAACAAGGTAAACCGAACACAGGCGCACAGCGGCCTTTGAGTATCCTGCCATCATCCTTACAGACAGTGCAATCTGCCAACATACGTGCTGCTAGTTCTGTTTCTACACAAACTGGAGTACAAGCTACGGTACAAGTACAGGTTACTATATTAACATTAGCACACAATAATCATGATTATTTTGAGTGCTATGGTAGTTTATTTGCTACAATGACATTGGAGTTACTTAGAGAATTACACATTTGTTAGCATAAAAGTAAAACTAATATTAAAATAATGTTAATAGGAAATTATCATATAATATTTTATCAAAATATTTAGAGTGGTAAGAGCGGTGGCGGTGGAGGAAAGGGCCGCGGCAAGCCAATGCAAACTCCACAGCAACAACAACAGCAGCAGCAACAAGCTCAACAATCAATACAGCATCAGCAAGTCTACATACAACAGAAACAACATACGCAGCAACAACAGCAATTGCAACAGCAATATCAACAACAAGTGCAATCCTCCCAACAACAAATACAACCTAAGCCTATTATAAGTAAGAACACTCATCTAAGTTAATATTTGAATAATATTTATATAACATAAATATGATTTAATATATTTATTTATATTTAATATATTGATTATTTATATTTAATATATTGATTATTTATATTTAATATATTGATTATTTATATTTAATATATTTAATATATTGATTGCCGAAATATAAAATTCATTCGATTGTCTCACAATGCAATTTATAGTTTTTAAATCGGACTACAATATTACGCGATAGCCAATGTGTTAATATCATGAATATTTAACAATATTTTAATATGGAAATTTTTATTACGTAGCAAATATGACATTGCAACAACAGCAACAATCCGGCGTTGTCTTGGGCACAGATCGTCCTATTATGCCGGTAGTCTCGGTAGGTAGTGTTGGAGTTGGAGTCGCCACTTCGCAAATGAATCAGGTGCCACAGTCTCCAATGTCGACAGTACAACAGCTTCCTTTACCGGTACTAATCGTTGAACTATGTTTATATTACTGATTTCATTAATTGACATTTCCGTATAAACATTCTTCTCGAAATGCAAAATTAAAAATTAAATGAAAAATTAAAGGATATCTTACTTTTTTAGGCCATCAATCCAACGATAATAAGTAATCAAATAGTGAATGGAGCGTCACAGGTTCAAGCAATGCCAATCGTGAATACGACCCAGGATCAGCCAACGCACGATAATACCAATCCAGCTATAATGATCACATCGCCAGATCGTAATCCACAAACTGAATGTTCGCTGATACTGCCATCTACTACAAATCTAGCTCCAATGACAACTGACGATAGTGTAAAATTAGTTATGAAGAAGGAAGACATGCCTGTACCTACAGAAGAAGTCGCGGCAGCAGCACCTCAAGCAGAAGCAACAGGTATCTAATCAATTTCTTATTAATAAATGACAAATTTATCGAATTCGATTGTACGAGATGAAGATACAAATCGGCATGTATATTAGATGGAGATCAATGTAAGACAGTGACAATGAAAGAGGACGAAATGATTGCTCCAAAGATGGAAGAAAAACAGTGCAATAATCCGTTAGCGGGGCTTGCCAATGCAGTCAACGCGATTACGAACGGTGTCATTGGCGATGAATCATCGAATGTGACGATTTCGACTCCAATCACAGTGAATAATAAACAAGCACCACCTAAAGCTATGGTGAAGCCACAAGTCCTTACTCATGTAATAGAAGGATTTGTGATACAAGAAGGTATAATATAATTGCATTTTCTTTCTCCCTTTTTCTTTCTTTCTCAAGTATTTCTCATATTACATTTCATTTACATGTTACGATATCAATATATTTTTCTTTTCATTTTTACAATAGCATCAGAACCGTTCGCGGTAAGTCAAGAAACTACCAATATTCTCAATCGAAGTAACACAGCTGCGGACAGGGAAGCTCACGAGGAACCTCCGAGTAAGTAAATTATTTTTATGAATGATCTCAACATTATATGCTTTAAATTTATTTTAATGCAAAATTTAAATTGTATGTATGTAGAGAAGAAACATTGTCCTAATTATTCGAATGAAGAAGATGGAGCTAATGGTCAAGTTAACAAATGCGAAAGCTGTGGCAATGTAATTGATGAGCAAAATGTCAAGCTCAAGAAAGAAAAACGTTTTTGCTCGTCGATGTGTGCAAAGAGGTGAACACTTATATCTTGTATATTAATAATATATGTCAAATGAATGTTTTCTTCAGTTATATTTTTGTAAATATTTGTTGTAAGTAATTCTAATGAAAAACTACATCGTTATCTATAGTAAAAAACGTGAAACACGAGATCGCGATGGTACAGAAAAACAGTGGACTGAGATAGAGACTGAAACTAAAACTGTCGATAATGACGTAACGAAGAAGAATGGTGAAGAGAGATCATTATCCACTACTACCACTTCTGTTGATGAATCACTGCCGAAAGTAAATCCAGTTAAATGGACGGTAATTAGATATTTTGATATTGTTACGTACATATATGTATATATATACGCGCGAAAAAAAATTAGTTTAACGCAAGCAACAAAATGTGTATTTTATGTGTATTTTTGTATAGGTGGGTGAAGTATGTGATTTTATACGTGGTCTACCGGGATGCGCCGATTACGCAGAGGACTTTGCTATTCAGGAGATTGATGGTCAAGCTCTTATGCTGTTGAAAGAAGACCATCTCATGTCGGCCATGAGCATCAAACTAGGTCCCGCATTAAAAATCGTCGCCAGAATCGATTCAATGCGCGTGGACTCGATATCGAACTCTAATCCTACATCGAACAATTCATAATTGTCTACCTATCAATAGCATCGTTTTCCAGATTGTCTCTAGCCTACGGGCTACAGGGTTTGTGCAAGTATTCAATTTTCAAATTAATAAGAATATAAAATTAAGGATTATAAGATTAGGATTTTTCAAGGCTACCACATTAGGCGATTTTTGGCGTCACTGTGGTATATCATCCAAAGTATACCCAGATTCTACCAGAACATTTTCGCGCGTTTGGTAGTTTGTGGTAGAGGCGTGGCTAGTCGTTTTGGTATCTAGCTGGTTGATACTATGCTATACCAAAAATGAAGCAGGATACAAAATATCATGTACCAGAATAAGCTTCGCCTTTACCAAAAACAACCTTGGTACATGTACCAAACTATCGTCAAAAATCGCCTATTATAAGCGATTTTCATGCCGCGCGTGAAGTAATTTACTCTTTCATAATCTATGAAAGATTTTTCGTTTAGCACTATAGTTACAGTACAAACTGTAAAATGTATTTTTCGTAAAGAAATCTTGACGAATCGGCAGCAATATCTACTTTTAATTTAGAATGTATGGGCGAATATATGTGTGTATGTATATGTGTATATATATACACACTCACACAAACAATACACAAACTACATATACAGATATGCATATGTATGTAGATCAATATTAATATTATTCGTTACTAAATTATAAAAATTATTTTGGATCTAAAAAAGGAAAAAAAAATGATTTTTTGCCACATTTAATGACTGCAAGTATATGAATTATACAAAGAGCAATGCATTTTTTGCATTAGATGGGATTTTTAAATACTATTTGAGTGAATGAAATAAGGATACATCAGCGTTTTTTTCAATATATAATATGTATAATATATATTCTTTGCTGTATAATAGATTGAAATGATTTGAACTCTTGATTATATACTTACGGTATATCTTCCAATAATACTGTTAGGGAAAAATTCATATGTATATATGTATGTGTATGTATATTTATTATATATACATATATATGTGTATATATATATATATATATATACATATATATTTATATATATATATATATATATATATATATTTATATATATATATATATATATATATTTATATATCAAATAAATAAATATAACGCATTTTATATTTACTCATATATAATTAAATGTCTTATATTTTTTATTTAACACATGTTCTATTATTCGTTATCTATATATCATTAAACATCAAAATATAGATTTCATTTTAAAATTATGCGCTGTAAAATTAAAGAAATTTTATGCGCTATATATAATATTATTATTTTGAAGATGATTATATTTTCATTATATTTATATATTTTTTCAATTGAATTCACTTTTTGTGTAAAACATAATCAAGTTCATTCCTTGTGTGAAAAATATGTAAATGCTATTACTTGGTGTAAAAAATACATCGCTTTCTGTATCATTAAAATAATAGCTTTACAATTAAATATGATTGAAGATAATTTGCGGTAATTTTTTGATATCTTATATAAAATGAAAATTTTTATAATCAATGGCACATTTTGATCTGCATACAAACACATACAAACACAGATACACACATATATCTGTATATGTAGTTTGTATCATATGTATATGTATATAATTTTCCTTTTTTTTCTTTTTTCTTTAGAACTGCGTTTTTGGTAATATACCTATTTTCACGCAAAGAATGGATTTATTTGAGAAAACACACATATATAAAACATAATCATCTTCAAAATAATAATGTTATATTAAGCGCATAAAATTTATTTAATTATAGCATATAATTTTGAAATGAAATTTATACTGATTAATATATTTAATGACATATTTTCAATGACATAATAAGAATATTTGTGAAATAACGTTTAATGACATATTTTCAATGACATAATAAGAATATTTGTGAAATAACGTATAAAGTATTTCATTTCATATATATATATATACACACACAAAAAATACACATGTCTATAAAAAAATAATCTATGAAAATTTTTCCAAAATGCACTATTGGAAAATATACTAAATGGATATACTGTCAAGAGTACAAATAATGTCCATTATACACAAAGAATATATTATATATAAAAAAAACAGGGATATACTGTTATATTGATGAACTGCTGCTTGTTGTCATTTGTTGTACTTTCGTAAATATGATTATGTTTTCATAAATGTAAGACTTCATGTGCATGTAAATGAATTGACCGACATGTGTAAATAGTAGATAAAATTTTTATTTGATATACACATTTTCTAATATACATTTTAATTATTGCTGACAATTGTCTTTCCATTATTTTTAAACTAATGAAAAGGAAAGAGTAATCATGTATGGAAAAACTTATAATTTTGTCACTAGTTGTACACTATCATGATGATAAAATAATAAGATAAAAAGAATTGTTACTATTTTTTAGTAAATATTATCTAAATGACGTGAAAGAAAAAACTCATATAATAAAATTTTCAAAAAATATTATTAAAAAAAATATATCATTAACATGCCATTGAAATTCGATGTAAATATATTTATTATGTATAAATTCATATAATTAATAATTTCGAAAATAACTAAACAGATTGCTGTTTTTATATATTTCTTGTAGGATTAATTAGTTTTATATCTATTTCAGTATTGTGCAAAACAAATGCGAGTGTATTAAATTTAATAGAACTCATTTTTTATGTTTGAATTAAACGGCGATTTATTATGCATTTTATACAAATGTTGTTAAATGTAAGTAGATGTTTTCTTATGCATAAGAGAACTTAGGGAAAGAAGACATGTTTGTATATAACGCTCATAGAAACATCACACATCACCATGTTTATTCTGTGCTCTATTTATGTCTACTAATAGAAAATAGAGTATATATAATGCAAGTTATATATATACATTCTCTTAACCATTGTATAAAAATGTGCATTTTACTCATAAAAATCTTTTATGTTAGTTCGGTTGCACCAGCAATATATTTATCAAATTCAGAGAATATCTGTTATTCTCTTCCAGATTGTAATGATTGAAAGTTTTTTGTTTTATGTTTCTGATAAAGCAAAAAATTTTTTTTATTAATTGATTATTGATAATTTGATGTAATGTAAATAAAATAAGAAAATCTGAGTAATGCTAACTGGTGCAATCGTTCCTTATAAATACAAATCTCGTAAATATTAAAATTCAGGCTACAATCTCAAGGTTCAAAATTTTGCACCAATTTCGACGAAGATAACTCAGGGCCCCAAATGTTTCACAATACATATATACTTTTTATACAATAGAAAAAGAAATAAACTCTACTGGCATAAAACTTTATTATTATTATTATTATTATGCATTAGAGGGAAAAGAGGTAAGATAATTAGAATGCAACTTTTCTGCTAAAACAAATATACTAAATATAAATCAATTCATTTCATAGAATGTTTATATGATAACTCAAATATTGTATTTTGTGATATACATTTTTTATAATTTTCATATTTTTGTAATTGATAGAGAGTGCCTTACATTTAATATAATTTTGGAAGATTGCATGTTAATTTTTTTACAAGTAATTTAAAATAATACTTGAGCTATGCTATCATTATAATAATTAATATTGTAATAAAGTATATTTCACTCGATATATTTGTATTTACCAAGATTATATTTATTATATGAAACATATAATAATATACACATCAGGTTTATTTATAGGTTCCCTGAGCATAATTTTTATAATATATTACATAAAGCTTATAATGTATATACGTAAAATTTATACAATATACACAAAGTATTTCTGATTCTTGGAAATAAATTGTTTTATATATTCCATTTCACATATTTCTAAGTCTTCTACTTTTCTCTCAATTATATGTCAGAGATTGCTTATATTAGTTGTATAACATTGTATCTTATGTTGACAATTCTATATTTGAAGAATCTTCTAAGCTTCTACCTTCAAGTAAGAGCTCGTCCTCAGCCAATTTCTTTTGTACCTCTTGCAAAGGTCGAACGTATCGAAAGTATTGATATACTTTATAACCGAGGTAAAGAGATGCGATTGCTGTGATACCCATACAAGTATTTACAAAGCCTCTGTGAAACTTATCATACATTCTCTCCTTTATTCTCTTTCTTCTCTGGGAAATTTCATCCATTGTGTGCTAATGGTTTGTTTATTCGTTGACAAAAATTCTCCCTTAAAATTCATTACATAAAAAAATATTATCACATCACACTTGTAAATTTATTTGTTCCTTTGAAATGGTAAATAACCTCACCTTACAAATTCAGTCTGAAAATATTAACATAGAATATCTATAATTTTGTTATACTTGTATGTAGTAAAGTAGCGCACTTGTATAAAAGATCTACTACTTAGTTCTTCATAAACGATAGATTATATTTTTTTTCTATTTTTTTTCAGTTTTTCAATCCACATTTGTGGATCAAAACACTGATTTTGCGGAAGCCGAATGCGACATAGTGTCACGATTTTCCACTATATGGCGCTATATACCGAAGCTGCCAGATCCCCGCGGGCGACGCGCGACGATTCTCGCTTCTCGATATCTCAATGCGTGCGACAACGTTAAATGTTTTTCCTTATAGCTTTTTATATTATGCATATATTTTTTAATTGATAAATATATTTTTTATCTGATAAATATTAATTTATTTAATATATCTTTTAAATGATAAATATATTTTACGTATTATACATTTATCAGTTGTAAGAAAATATCGATATATTTTTTCATGGGAAAAATTAAATGACATAATTTGTATAAACAACAAAAAATATATATATATATATTTTTTGTTATTGTTTGTATATATATATATATATATATATATATATATATATATTCTTTTTAAGAATTATACGATTTGATTTTTTAATATGAAAAGATATATCACAATATTTTCTTACAATTAGCAAATATATATAATATATTTACCAGTTATAAAAAATATCTAATATAACAAGCTAAAAGAGAAAAATGTTTAACGCTGTCGAACGTATCGAGATATCGAAACGCGAACAGCGTCGAAGATTTACATGCTAATTATATATCTAGCAGAAAAAACAACTTTTAAGCTAACAGCGTAGCGCAGTGGATAAGGCATCTGATTAGTACGCGGCGTATCGCTGGTTCAAATCTTAAATTTAACTTTTTTTTATTTTATTATTTTAACAATCAGGCGCCTTATCTACTGCCCTTATATATATATATATATATATATATATATATATATATATATATATAAAAGGTACATGTATATACATATATTTATATATATATTTTTTAATATATCTCTAACTATTAGACTCCCCCTCGCTCTCAGATTGGTTTACGTCGTCCTCCTTGAAATTGCTTTTTAGTTACTTTACTCTGTATGAATTTAAAAAAGCGCGATCCACCTTCTGTGTGACATTTTCTTTCTTGAAAGATGAAAGATTGAGATCTCTAGAGATATCTTTGCATTGATGACTTTACGTTGTATGAATTTAAATAAGCGCGATCCACCTTCTATATATATGTGACATTTTCTTTCTTATGAAAGATTGAGATCTCTAGAGATATCTTTGCATTGATGATTGCAATTATATATGCAAAGTACAGTAACGAGCTACGTTATAAGCACTCTTCTGCAAATATTTAAAAAATTACAATATTTAATGTGCAATTAAATAATGTTAATATTTTCTCAAAACACGTAATATAAATTCATGTAAGATATCTAGGTGTAAATTGACATCACGCACTAAAGCAAAAGATCTACACGCGGAGATCACGCGCAATAATTATCATGAAATATTTTCTCTATCGCGAATATGTATTATAATAATATATATTAATTTTTTTCACAACTAAATTTTATACTAATTTTATTTTTTATTATTTCGTTTCGAACATTTGCATACAATCTCGGATAAAAATGTTCGAAAAAACATGGGAAGCAATCTAGGTACAGTAACGCAATGGGATTTGATGATAATTAGTTTTCCTTCATGGAAAAGTATAATATAAAGTTTTAATATATAACAAAAGTATAATAATATGAAGTTTTAATGTCATTAGAATCTCTCGCCGCTTGTTCGTTACATTCGGCGTAACGATTGGCGTGTTATCGCGCGAATTTCCAATCGATGTCACGAATTAATATTCTTGGTGCGCTGATGCAGTCGATAACCTTTTCCTGACATAACGCCTATGTGATGCAGTTGGCAAAGGAGAGATGTACTCTGTCTCTTCGGTACGTCTCATGACTTTTTCCAAAAATCATCTTTGCCAGCCTATCGACGATCATCTTTGCGATCGAATTGCGGCCGAATCTTTTTTCTGTACGTTCTGTACTGAGAAAATACGCCAAATGAATGAAACCTCAAGAATGAATAAATTTCCCTGTCATTCATTTCTCTCCCTGTCATTCTTTCTATCGCTGTGCAAATAACGACAAATCGCTTTCTGAATAATATGTTTTTGATAATTTACACGAAAAGTAATTGATTCTATATCGACGGATTTATATATAAAGTATATGTATACACACACACACACACACATATATTTTTGCATGGTTTGCGGCGAGAATCTGGCAGCTTTATATACATGAGCTTTATATACAAGCTTTTACGAAATTAACTTTATCAAATTTGTGCTAAATATAGAACTTGCGCAAATGTATGGTTAAGATATCAATTTATTTATTGCACGATACAATATATAAGGATATTTAACAAAATTTGTTTTCTCGTATCTATACATGAGTTTTATCAGGATCTCTAAAAATTCTCTTTAATCAAAGCATTGAACAATATATATAATACAGTGATAAAATCTATCTATAAAAAGATTATACAAAATTCTAATCAATTTAAAAACCAGTGTAGGCATCGTATATACATACATTGACAGACACACAAGATTCTGGAAGAGTTCATCTGACAATTTTTTCATCATTTTTACAAGTCTTTATATTAGAAAGCTTGAATTGTCCCAGTCACAGCCTTAATATCTAATTATTAAGAAATGTAATTGAAAATTATATTTCATCATATATAATTTCATCTTGAAATGAAGATCATAATTTTGTAATAATGCACAAACTCATGATATTTCTTCTACTATTAATTTTCTAAAAATTCATCAAATATCTTCGAATCGATGTCTAACACTATTTCGTCCAAAGATGGGCCTTGTGAAGAAACTGGCAGTTCTAGATTTATAATAGATAATAATAGATATTAATAGATATAATAGATATTAATAGATATATAAATATTTTTTTTTTAATATAAAAATAAAAATATACTTGATATAGTTCCAGTTGCTTTGTATTCTTCAAGATCTTCTTTGAAAGCTTCTTCAAAGGTCTCCCGTCGTTCTTTCAATTTTTGTTGTTGCTTTAATTCATGTTGAGAGACTCTCTGAATATGTTCTTTACCAAGTTTTGCTAAAAAAAAAAAAAATTTAAACTTAATAATAAATAATAGGTATATGTACATCAAATACATTACATTACATTATATAAAGTACCTTTAAAATCATTTAACTCTATCAACTTTTTTTCTTTGTATAAAGCTAACTGAAATCTATGATCCAGTTGTCTACTTTGCAAATCTAACATTTCGTTCAGATCTTCCAATCGATACAAAGCTCCTTCTACTTCTTCAAACATTTCCTGTAAATTTCCTTAAGAGAATATAATAAAAAATAGTTTTAGAAAAATTTTCATTTTTGTTGTATCTTGTAATGTTTGTTATTTTTGTTATGCTTGTTATTTTTAAAGTTGAAAAATTACCTATTTGGTCCATAAGATCTTGAATTGCATTATTAATCTTTGGAATATAAGCTAAAGTACTGTTTAAACACGCAATACTGTTCCATTCATGTTCAAACTTGTCGTAAATAGAGGATATCAGTGTATCAGCTTCTTGAGCCTTTCCTGCATTTTCCTCTGCAAGCTCATGAAGTTCATTCCATTGTAATTGGAAGTGGTGCAATAAATCTGCACCTGCATTGTAATTTACATTTCGTACATTGACAAACTTTTTGCTCTTTGGATGTTCAGCAGTTGACAGGCCTCGTATACTGAAATAATGATTCAATATCTTTAATTTTTGTTATGCTTATATTACTATATTATCTCTTTTATTCTACATAAGCCATAGTTTTCTTAATTATAATTTGTAGTTTGTGTGATACTATTATCCATATTAAATTAAATTTGTGTAAGAAATAAAAACCATATTAAATTTGTGTAAGAAATAAAAACAGGCAGTATATCAAATATAAATATTTTTTACCTAGCAGATATACCTTCTTGCACTGTCTGAAACTTGCTACGTAATGATCCAAACATATTTTGTTTGTGACAAACATTCGTTATGAACACCTCTCTCTCAGATATATCTATCTACAATAAACAATAATCGTTTTAATTTTCTTTTCGACATTGTGTAACAAGATTTTTCTACTTCCAAATGTCTTCTATATATTGTATAAAAAGTTTGTGCATGGTGCAAGCTATAATTTATATAATTATAGTTTCAATTATACATTTCCATATAATTTATACAATTTATGCAAAATGCAACTGCAATTATATCTGGGCTTAATCATCCATAATTGAATCCTTAATTATATTATAACCAAACCTTTCAATATTGTATATAATTATATTAGATAATGGAATTTAATTTTTTCAATAATAAATTTTGCTCTTATCATAATATGCAGCAATTTTATGAAATATTTTCATTATATTTACATGTATTATTATATATTTTAAAACATTACAAGTTATTAATCAAAAACAATCTCTAAAATAATAAAGAAATTTTATTTACATTTATTTCTAATTTAAAACAAAAAAAATACTAAACATAAAAGAAAGGTTGTTTTTACCAGTTTTTTATTAATACACACAATTGACGTGTCACGATAAAATTGAACTGTTTGCGACACTCAATGTTTACAAAACAATGTTCTCACAATCAGCATTAATCAATACACAATGAAAATGAATCCTCTTTTAAAAAACTGTCAGAATTTAATTAATGGAAGAACATTATTTTTGTGGATGTAAAATTACACTAAAACTGGCAGAGAGAGAAAAATATCAATCTTATTCGATAGCTTTGTTGGTAATTTAGCTTGCTGGTTGTCGTTCGCGATAATATCAATGGATATCACAAATACAGGATTGTAATTATGGAAGCGTGCTCTAGATGGAAGCACGGAAAGATTCGATATTGGCGGCTTCTTTTCGATGCCGTTTATAATGAATTAAAGATAATCTACAAATATATTTCACCAATTATTATCTTCGTTACTGCATATTAATTGAAAGCTAAATTTTTCTGTAATTTTTTTCGGGATTGAATCTGAGATTGTTTATGTTAACTAAACTAGGTATAAAGTACAAACTTAAACATAAAGATTCCCAAAGAGTTTTCAAGAACAACACCAACGAAATATTATTAAAGACCGATAGTTTTATAGACTTCAACATGACTGGACAAAAACTTGCTACGTAACTTATTATGATTAACAATTAAAATTTTTGCATGGTCGATGATAAAATGATTTGGTATAATAAATTATTCATTTTGTTATTCTCGAAATAGGTATGTAAAGGATTTAGATTTCATTCTCGATAAGACAATAGCTGGGTGACCTAAAATGCTCGCATAATTTTAATATAACTATTGTAATTATCTTCAACCCAATCAAAACGGCCGATAATATTAATTAATCTTTTATTATTTTCGACCTCATTTGGTGGCCACGAAAATTTACCCAGAGATTGTTTATGTTGTATTGTAGACGATAACCAATATTTGTCGTTGCGCATATTTTTTGATATGTTAAAAAATAATTATGAGACCAGATATCAGTAGTCATATACAGAATCGAGCCCCAGGGCTGCCGGTCTTTGATAGTATCTCATTGTGACAATTCTTTATTGATTCAATAAAGATTTATATAGTCTGTATTAAAGCTTTTGAAGTATGCGTGTAACAAATTTAATCTGACTGGTACAATGTTATTTTCTCATTAAATTTATCAATACATATTACTATTCACAATTTTGTATAAAATAAACAATGCAGTCGCTAAAATAACTTTCAAACTATTCAAGAAATTATCCAGTCAATTATTTTACATTAATTTTGGATGATAATTTTTAGGCTTTTGTCAATATTTTAATATATGAGATATTTATTACTCTTTAATTGAATTTCACGCTTAATATATTATTTTTACAATATATATAAAATTTATAAGATATATATATATATATATATATATATATTTATAAGATATAAGATATATTTAAATTAAATAGTAATTAAATATTTAATAATGAAATATGTAATGATTAAAAATCAGAATGAAAAATTGTTTTATTAATTTCTATAAATAATTTTATTTATTTTTGTTAGATTTACTTAAGATAAAATTAATTCAAATAAAAAATATTATTTTTATTTCATACTTTATTTTAGTTATGGAAATAACTTATTTGATTTCTATAGTATGTATTTTTAACTCGAATAATTGTTTCATTCTGTAATTTAAATAGTTGAATAATGAATAAAATAAAATGTCAAAATATAATAGAACAAAAATGTTATTCAGTTACATGTATGTACTTTAATAATAGCTTTTAATGATATTAGCATGAGCATTATTACTTTAAGTTAATTATACGGATATTTGATATAATTTTTATTAATTGAGAGGTATGAATATAGATTTGTACGCGTTCAAATTATTAATATAAAAAAATTCCCAAATTCTTTTATTACTCGCATTGTCAAAAAGATTGTATGTCTCTCCCTTAATTTATTTTAAATCGCAACAATTAAGAGAAAAATACATTATTAATTCTCACGAAAATGCTTTCACATCTTAATAATAATTTTCTCAATGGAATGCTATTAACGTATATTACATCAAAAAATAAGCGAGATGTGATTAGAGATTACATCTCTCTCGGTTTAGTTTCTTTTAATCTCTTCAGCAAGGCACTCGTCAGCCGTGTAGTATTACTTGACAGCCGAGAGCAAGTGTAGCACGGGATATTTTCATATAACGCGTGTTTTATAATAAAGTATTACGAATTTATAATTAAAAGTGTATAATTTATTGAATATATAATATGCAGTTCTAAATTCGTACGTGATCACATAATATTTAAAGTAGAACATTTTTCTCTGATTATTTCTTCTGCTTCTGATCCGAATGAAGTGAGTAATCTTCGCTTGATATTTTCATTTTTATGTTAAAAAATGATATTGTTTTCGCTTCATGACTCATACATTGTCTATAAATTATTTATAATATAAAGTAAAGCCCAAAAAAATTTATAAACAATAACAGTATATAGTTACATATTATGAAGCAGTCGTCCAACCAATCAATTATTTAACTTGATAAATTGCACGAGTATACGAGAGTTAATAGACTAATTGTAATGTTAGCCCAATAAAGTGGCCAGATTGACTAAAGAAAAAAACATAGTAGTCGATTAAAGTCGACGATCAGCCATATGAATGCCATTGTTGACTGTCGATTAAAGTCGATGATTGTACCGAAGAAATAAATATCTTATAAGTTTTTGTACATCTTCTGCAAGTAAGGAAAACATGAAGGAAAAAATAAACTACTGAATGAACAATTGAAAAATATAATTTTGTAAATGTAAAATCATAATTTTGTGCATTAAGAAAAATCACTTATCATTTAAAAGTAATTAATATATCAAAGTAATGTTGTATTTCAATATTGTAAAAACAAATTGTAAATATGTCAAGCTCATCGAGAAACATGTATTCCTCTTGAGAAAAATATGTATGAACTCTTTTATTTTCATGTACTTTGGATGTGTTATACAAACAACTTAAAGAATTTGAGATATGTGTACTTTTTTTTTATAAATTTCGATAGTAAATTATTATTTTCACATATTTTTGAGTAGTTATATAATTGCATTTATATAAAAATATAACTTCAGATACAACACAGATATAATTTCGTACATTTCATTCATCTTAACTTCATCATTTATACATTTATGTCAAGAATTTGTGTGTCAAAAACATGTGATTACATGATATGCAAAAGTTTATTTTTCCCAACATATAATAGAATAAATGTATAATAAAAACATATAATAAAAAAATGTATAACAGATAAATATGTATAAACGCGAGCTAAAAATAATTTACCATTTTTTTGTGCGACAAAACTAAAATTTTAAAACATAAAATATATTTGACAGAATAATATAAAATATTTTTCATAAGATTACAAAAATAAATTTATTGCTGAAAAAATAAAATTTGTACGAAAGAAGAAAAATGATGTAAGAGCAAGCAGATGTTAAACATATTAGCTAATTACTATTAGATAATTACTGAACATATTGGAAAAAAATGTTATTCGATAAAAATATTGTGAAAAAGTAACTGAAGTTATACTTCAACGTAAACAATATGTATCTATGTATTGCAATATAATTATGAAATTATAATAACATATAATTTTAATCAAGTATGAACGATATTAATCTGTATAAAAAAATTAATTATCCAGTATAATTAGTAATTTGAGATGGAACAATAACAAATCATAAAATCATAAATAAAATCAAATAATAAAGTGAAAGGGACTATATATACGATTTTATAATTACGAACTTATTATCATATCGAGAGAAAAGAAATAGTAAGATATTTAATTTATCGATGTATAGATAATGTATAAGCCAAGCAGGTATGAGAGAAAGAGAGAAATGTTTTCTATATTTTATCCGTGCTAAAAATAATTTGTAATATGTAAATCATTTAAAATTAGTTATTGATTACGCAAACATAGTAAATGTAACTAATAACAGATTAACATAAAATGTATCAATTATAAATGCATATTATGTGCTTGGCTGTTTTTAATTATATAATATGTAGGAATAATTCATATCGCATTACATCATATATAGTTTTGTGATTCTAATTTGAGCAGAAAGCAGAGAGGGAAAACAGCAGAATCTGACGAAACTAGCTGCGTTTTATTATTTGAAAATATAAAAGTTCATCTTTCTCAATCGAATATTTCTACATTTTTTTGTTACGAAAAATACTTTTATGAAATATTGAAAAAAGGAGAAAAACAAGAAAAAAGAAGAAGAGAATATAGTAAGATCATAAAATCTTGTTTAGTTACATTCTTTTATTAAATATTACTAATAAATATTTAAATTATATAATAGATTATATAATTTTTTCAAATAATAATTTATATTTAAAATCATAATCTCTCTTTCTCTCTCTCTTTCTTTTTTAATTTTATAATATAATTTTTTCGATGATAGAATTACTTCTATATGTAAGAAAATAAATGTTAAAATGAAAAAAAAAAAATGTTAAAATTTTAAATATATTAATGAATATTCATCAAAGTAAAACAAAAATGTCAACATTTCCATGAATGTATTATTTATAAGAAATATATATTTAATTATAAATTATATATATGTGCGTGTGTGTGTGTGTGCAATATGAATGTGTAACTTTTAAATATGAAAAAAAGAAAACATCAAAGAAGAGACAACTATCAGTTGTATTTAATTAGCAGATTAATTAGGTCAGTTTTGTGTATAATTGACCGATTATCCTGTTCACGATACTAAGAATTTTCAACGCATTAAACCGTCGGCTTGCTGGCTGACTGGCTGACTGGATGGTTGGCTGGTTGGTTGATTGCGTTGTGTTGGTTGGTTCGTTCGCGAACAATTTGGCAACGTCGCAAAAGCTTAACCCCTTCTCCTCCCTTGTTCCGTGGTGCATGCCGGTGCGACTAGTGCTTAGCAACCAGTGAGGTCAACAAACGAGGTCAAACTGCGAATTAACAGCGCCACGAGAGAAAATATCACGACCGCATTGCTGATGATCTAATCAATCATATATTCTTAGAATATTATTTGTCTTTGAGTAACATTAAACCATCATTTATACAAGAAAAAAAATTTGTTAAAGAAAATTGTTTAGAGTTTGAACAATTTACATCTTTTTTGATAACTAACTCATCACAAATAAAAATAAACAAAATAATGCATTATATATCAAGTTTCAAAATGTAGCAAGAACATAAAGATAAAAAAAACAAAAATTTTGTTTCAAACTGTTTGTGCATATTTTATTATATATTCTCAATACAAAAAAAAGTTATTCACAATAATTTTCCCAATTTCTTTTCAAAAATGTCGGGAAAAATAACAATTGTTCAAAGTATTCTATTGAGAAATATTCAGAAAACGTACAAAGGTCTAAAGCCATCGGTAGGTAGATGAAATAGCGCTCACTAATAGATACCATTGTATCTTTACAGCAGTGTGCGGCTATAAAGCAATGATAAAAAAAAATGAGGAAAGCAGGAACGTAGACAAAAAGAATCGTATCCGTGAAAAAGAGGGATAAGGAAGAAAAAAGGAACAAAGGTAGAGGGATCGACTCAAAGCGAGTCGCAAGTTTATTGGTATGGATAAATATATAGAAGTTCTTTTAGGTAGATATGTGAGAGAGAATAGACATCTCTGGGGTAGACGGAAATGGAAGAGGAGGTAGAGGGGGTGCGGGACGAATAGATGAGTATCCCCCGCTGCGTTTCCAAGCTTCTCTCTCTCTCTCTCTCTGTCGAGTCTAGTAGTTTCTGATATTCTGTCACGCAGAGTGAGGTGAGGGCAAGCAAGCGCACCAGCAACAGCGGCGACCGATTGACCAGCAACACAGCGATGCACAGGCGCAGTAAGAGCGTGGAAATTTCCAGTGCTATTTCGCCTTTACCCTCTGTAACAGCAGGAGTAGCGGGGGTCGTAGATGAGAGAGAGGGAGAGAGAAAGAGAGAGAGAGAGAGGGAGAGAAAGAGAGAGAAAGGGAAGGCTATTATTTTTTTATTGCGTTTTCTACAAACGCATTAACTCACGTCAGCGTTGAATAATATTGGGCTTGTTACTCGATTATTACATTCGCGTTGGCTATACAGATTTACATGCGGCTATATGTTATTCTGAAGCACGTGATTGTCTCGCAAAATATACGGGAATACGATATGCATATCATATTGCAAATATGGATAATGGATATGCATATTTTTAACTTAACATGATTCTTTAATTGCAAGAAATATATATAGATTGTTGATACTATTTTATTGCGATGCGATAAAACAAATATTGCGAGTAATTTTTTGCGCATAAAATGATAAAATATAATATTCTCTTCCGATATATAAATGCAAAACGAGAAGACATTTAATAAATTTTAATTGGCTTGCAGATCGAATTCGTTGATTGTTACGTTTATAAATTATTATCGATTTATTATCGTTATCTAAATGCATGCAAAAAATTATCACGATATAATTATTACCATATAAAAAATGTGAATCGAAATATTATGTAACTCGTTATAGATCGTGCGCAGAACGTGCGCAGCAACGAAAATAAAAAGAAGAGATACGAAATTTTTGTGCCGGGACGTGAAACCGGATCGGAGGGCTTTCGCACACGGTAAGCTCGAATAAGTTGTAAGACTGCCGCTCCGAGCGAACTAACGAAGCACTTCAAGAACCCGCAGCTTTTTTCATCCGTTTTTCACTTCCGTTTCTCCTCCCTAAACGAGTGGCATAACTTGAACAAAACTCATCAGGAGGGAATTGAGCTTAGAAAGTTGTGCGCAACTCGTAATAAAACTGGATTTGAGGGAAGGCAATAGGAGGGAACGATGGGTCAATGTACGTCACAGGACGTCTTTTTTTCTCTTTCATTCTCCTCTTCTCTTCCATCTTCTCTCTCACTCTCGCCATTCCCGTACCCAAGTTACGCTGCTATTATATTGCGGTAATCTTGCCTGCTCCATGAAAGGGATTACCCTCTCTGCGTCAACTAACACGGTCATTGCGCATACTAGTACGAAGTTTCTAACCGTAGAATGGGGGAGTTATATAGGCGGGGGTGGGAAATGAGAGGAATCGATAGTCAAGTATTTCGCGGAATGTGAATACCGGCGGCAGCCGGATGCATATTTAACCATCCAATTGCATGCAGCTTGCAGCTTTACAGGATAGAATCGATGCAATTACAGCTGGCTCGCTAATTATACCGCTTTAATAGAGATGCTTGTCATTATATTAATTTTCATAAATATGCAATATAGTAATGCAAGTTTCATATATCATCATAATGTAAAATATAAAATGTAAATACAACTTTTTCATGCGATTGAGCATCAATCTAAATAAATAGAACGTCGTGGCCTTTGGCTGGGGCTCCGTTCTTCTTTGATTGCTATTCATTACAAGCGATGACATCATCGGAGTTTATTTATTATGTGGTAAGGTTCTTTCATATTGCGCGTAAGATTTTTTTCATACTACAAATAGAATGCCTTGATTAACGACAACTACTACTACTTTCAAGGTAAATCAACCAGAACTCTAAAAATATACTTGTTTTCAACTAATTTACAAACTCGCTACTTTTCTTGTTCCTGAAACGTATAAATAATGAATGCGAGACGATTATTCTATTCGCTTGTCCTGAGGCTTTCCATTTAAATCTACCAAGTAGAGTCGTTTTGCTGACGGCTAAATATAGAATCCCGGCTATTGTGCTATTCGAATATCTCAGGACCGAAATCCGTTACGATCAATAGACTCGGCAGATTCGGCCGTTTTCGACATGTTCCGTTAAGTTTCCCCTACTATATTCGTCCTCATCGACCTCCATTGCCAGCCACGCCTCACTTGTGTGAACTACGTTGGCCAAACCGGTTATTTGAGATGCAATTGTACTATTCAAGCATTATAGTTTTCTCGAAAATATATAAGATTTAAAAATATCATTTGTGCTCTCCTTTTCACATGCGTACGTAAAATTAAGCGATACGTTGGCAATATTATGTGATATATGCTACATATTATTAATTGTAATAAATTGATGATTGATTTGTTCGATTTTCTTAACCTTTTTGACATTAAAAAATAATATAATAAAAAATAATTAAATACAGAAATATTATAATACGAATAATTTATAAGAATTTACAATAGTATTCTATAATATACTATAGCATTCTATAATATACTATAGTATTCTACAATATAATATATTTCACTTGAATAATAATTTAAATCAGGATGTTGCTGAGAACGGAAGAGTTATGTTTTAAGACGTAATAAACTTTACAAAATCGAGCAAACAGGGAGAAATTCAATTACGATAGGATATAAAGTATAATAAGCTTATCATGAGTATCTCTGAAATAGCTTTAAGAGTTGTTCAGATTGTCGGTTGATTTTTGTAGTACAACTATGATCAATATGCGTGTATAGAGTTCACAATGGCTATGTGATATATCAAAGAGGAAACGAATCGCTTCAATTCCTATAGAACCGTCGCAAAATTATGGATATAAATGTCGGCAGTGCTTTTAAGTACAATGGATGACAGGTGGCAATTGGATAGCTGGCGTTGACGATTTCGCTGGGAAATTGTATGGAATGAGGGATTCGGTCGAAAGCTACGGTATTTGGAAGAGCGAGTGCGAGTAAGAAAGAAAAAGAAAGAAATGAGGAAGAGTGTGGGGGAACTTGATAGGAAAGGATGACAGAGAGAGAGAGAGGGGGAGAGAGGGGGAGGGAGAGGGAGGGAGGGAGAGAGAGAAGAATGGTAGGAAAAGCAGCAGAGAAACACGGAAGGGAGGAAGGGGAGGAAGACGAGGGACATGGAATAATTTAGCGTACTGCGCTTGCGTGGCGAGCAACCGCTGCGCTCATTGGTCCCCCACTTGCATTTGAGCGCATATTAGGTTGATTTAATTTCAATTCGAACTCTTTCCACAACCGCTTTCTCCCGTTGCCCTTCTCTCTCTCTCTCTCTCTTCGCCTCATCTTCCTTTATTCGCTATCCTTTATCCGCATTCAGTATAATATTTTTTTATACTTGTTGAGTCCCACGTAAAGAAAATATACATACACGCACACCTTGCGTGTGTGAGTATACAACATGCATCAGGTACACGGCGATCCTCCAATCGCCGAGAGCCATACCAAGAAAAATGACAGGAGGCAAGGCAAAGGGGAGAGTGCAAGAGAGCAAGAGAAAGAGAAGGGGCAGGAAACAAATAGAGGGAGATAGAAGAGAGGAGGAGGGGAAGCAATAATCCCGCCGTCTACAACAGCGAACGACAGGCTGGTTACCCCAAGATCTCGCTCGCTCGTTCGCTCGTTCGCTCGCTTGCTCTCGCGCGCGCGCGCGCGCGCGAGCGCGGTCTTACAAGACAGCGCATCTGAACATTCTGAACTCGTCGCTGAACCGTTCGGTGCCTCAACAGTTCGGCACGATTCACACCGAGTTGATTATCCTGCCGCTCGCGCGCGCCCGCGTGTTTCGTCGCCGCCATATTAGCGAGAGATATACATATACACCATGTACTAATAATAAATTGAGATTAGACGCGGCTAGTAGGACGACGGATCGCAAACCGCGGCCATCACCGAAGATTGCGCATTTAACCGTTGAGAATTTGACTGAACTCAAAGTACAATTTCGACGAGTGTAGTATTACTGCGTACACATGAGCGAGCAACAGTGATCAAGCCATAATATTGTCAGCCATGTTTAATCGTATATAAGAGAAAGCCTCTCCTCGAGGGAAGCGCGGGAGTACGATTGTACCCACGCGATCATAAAATCGACGACAGAAGGGATCGACTACCACAACGTGTCCAGTTACTCTCGCGCAAAATATTAAAGAAAAGGAGGCCGTACACATACACACACTCGTAATCTGCGAGATAAGAGAACCGATTTCCCCCGCCTATATCGCTTATGCGCGCCAAGAAGCGCGCGTGCTTAATTGATTTTACCTACCGCTGAACAGTGAGTTTACCGATTTAATGCAATGCCAAGTTGCCGGTGTGTTGTCATGTAATATCGTAATCAACATCTCCTGTTTTCATCTTGCGTGTTTCAATCCGTCGTGATTAAAAAAGTAGCAGGCATTCGCTCTTGAATCGAGAGAAAGAGAGAGAGAGAGAGAGAGAAATTGAGAGACTTCGAGTTGTTTCGATAAAAATTACGATTCAGTAAATTACAATTCATAGGAATACAATAGCGTGTTGCCGATCAACGTTCAGCGGAATTTCAACTAAGAATAAGTCGATGTTGACTATCCGCATTGTTAATAACAATGCCTGTAAGTATAACGCATGTTGCGATTTTTAATATAAATTCATATGCGAAGAATAAGGAAGAGAATTGCAAGTTATGTAAATATGAAATAATTGTTTGTGCCTAATCAATGAAACTGCGCGAATAGAATATAACGATGTTGAAATAAACGCAATTTTCCGACTGTCTTTTATTAAAATTTCTGGTATTGTTTGTTTGCAGATTGGAAATGAATAGTCCATTGGATCACGATTTTGAAAGATTTAAATTTTCTGCACAAAATAAAATCTGTAAGGACGACGCTGTGGAGCTGTTACAAAATTTCGGTATGTGTTTGTTGACAATAATCAGGTGTAACATAGATTAATATTCATTCCAGTAAATTGTGTATAAATGAAATATAGAATTATTTTTTTCTGTATCATAGATCTTGGATAATTCTTTAAAAGAAATGTTGAGTGCAAAATAATTTAGATATATTAATTTGTATAGATATGATGCTCTTTATCTTCTTACATAAATTATGTCGTCTTTTTTTAAAATAATTTTTTTACATAATTTATGTCGTCTTTTTTTTAATTATACAGGAAAAAAGTGTCATAAAAATTTGATTGAGAAACAAATTTAAAATTAAAAAAATTAATCAGCTGATTATATTGGCAACATTATTGCTGCTTTATTGTGAAGATTAAATTCTACATTGAAACTATATTATATAATATTCATCTATTTTCAACTTTGTTTTTGTCTTTCATCTCATAAATATTTTAATGTCTCTATTGAGATAATGATATATTTACTAGAGAGCTAATGCTCTCTTAGACTCTCTTCTTAGACAAATTGTTTTTTTTTTAATTATACAGGAAAAGTGTCATAAAAACTTGATTGAGAAACAAATTTAAACTTAAAAAAACAAATCAGCTGATTATATTGACAACATTATTCCTACTTTTTCCTTAAAGATTAAATTCCACATTGAATCTATATATTACATAATATTCATCTATTTTCAACTTTGTTTTTGTCTCTTATCTCATAAATATTTTAATATTTTTTTACCATGATATATCAAGATACTTGTCTTAAAAGTCTGAATGAATTATATACTTGTCATTTCTTGACACAATGAACAAATAATTACTTCTTCAAATTACTTACATAATTACTTCTTCAAATTTTGATAACATATCTTTTTTTATAACATATTCTATATGTTCTCGATTTTCTAATATATATTTTATAATACTCATATGTATGCTAGTTACTGCGTTATTTTGAGAATTATTATAAATTTCATAATAAATTCTAATTAATATCGATTCGACAGTTCTATTGCTTTGTACAAATGAGTATTTCTTCTTTTTATTCGCCACACACATATTTTCTTCTAATTCTATTTTGTAAATTTGCATAAGAAAAAAAAGAACACATAAATAAAAACAAAACATACGTGAATTATAGCATTGGATATTATTTACTTATTTACTTGTGCGCTTTTTTTCTCAATCTTTTGTTCGAGCTTGTTTTCTTTCAATATTATTTTTTTATGCAAATCAAAGTTGATAATAATTATCAAAATATAGATTTATGTTCTGTAAATTTGCATAAAAAAAACATATAAATAAGTAATTCAAATACAGTGTTGAATATTATTACAATATTATTACAATATTATTACAATATTATTACAATATTATTACAATATTGAATGTTATTTATTCATGCGCTTTTCTTTAATATCTTATTTTTTTTCAATGTTATTCTTGCACACAATCAAATTGATAATAATTATCAAAAAATATAGATATATTTTTGTAAATATATTCGTGCGTTGAATGCCTCAATAATTATTATTAAACACCTTTGTGATTACGTGTATAGAAATAAATATGCGAAAATTACTGGAAAACAATGAAAAAAATTCTCACGAGTCTTGTAGCGTTAATACAAGCTGCACAAGTGTTACCTACAGGTTAGGAATTCGTAAACACGCGGCGCGCGTCAAGAAGCGCGTGCAATCGTTTCGCGCGCGATAACGTCGTGTAACATATAATGACACATTCCGCCTCGCAACTCACCTTTAATGCCTACGATACTGCGCTGACACATTCGGAATACTCGGTCACCTCGTCGGCGAACTCTTTCGTACTTAACGAGAGATCCGCCATTCGTCCCAACGAAGCGTTCTTCCTGTTCTTGCTTCCCGCGAAGTTTTTTTTCCTTCCAAAATAAATCTCGCGACCTGGAGACCTTTCTTTCATCTCTCGACGAAGTTTCGTCCGATCGTTTCCAATTCTCTTTGATCTTTTCCTCAAGCTGTAGAAACGGAGACCTCCCTGAGGTAATTAAGATCCGATCAAAGTCGATGCCGAGGAAATAGAGCGCTTTTTTTGCGCTTTCGCGACTCGCCGAGGTATCGCGAGGGAACGCATCACGGTGGACCAATCGGTGGCGGGAAATCGCGCGCCGAAAGCGGCCAATGTGACGTGCGCTTTGGCCGCGTATTGATTGGCGAGTTGCGTTTTTCAACTCGTCGGCGAGGGTCAATTGTTTTCCTCGAGGGTACCTACCATTTTGCGTAACCGTTACCGAGAGGTAAAATCGCGCGCATGGCTTTGTTTACATATCGTATGTAAATATACGTGATATATATATACAAACATATATATATATACATATACGTCGCCGATGTAACGTGCCTCTCTCCCTTTTCTCCGTTGCGTATAACGTGTGCGCGAGGACGAGCCGAGGAACGCGCGCGCTCGCGCACTACGGTCGTGCCGAGTGTCATCGTCGTGAGAAAACGCTTTTGACAGAGGTGAGAGAAAACGCGAACGGAAGGCGGGTGACTCGACGTTTTAACGGATTGTATCGATGGACAAGGACGTCCTCCATCGGCATTTGATGTTGGTACCTTGTTTGCGATTCTTTGCTTTGACTCTCCCTTTCTCTTTCTCCCTCGCTCTCTCTCCTTCTATCGCGCGTCTATATTTTCTCTCCCCCTCTTTGCCGCCCCGTGTAGAACGATGTAACTTCTGCGCACCAAACAAACTTACACGTACAGTACGTAACGCCACGCGCGTGTGTAATGCATGCGCGCGATACGGCATTTCGGACAGTATGTAACCTGCTTGGGACGAGAGAGGTGTAAATGATAGGATGCGTTCTGTTTTAGACAAGTGCGCGGGCACTCCCAGCTCGCCGGATGACAGCTTGAACGATCAGTATTTACTGCTGGATTGCGGAATTTGCGGCCAGCAATTTGCTTCCAAAAAACTGCTACGTGTCCATATTCACACTCACCTGAGGAAACCTCGCATTGTCCTCAGGAGAGTGACCAGTCCAAAAGTAGCGAAGGTGAGGAAGCAGAGCGAAGACACATACTGGCTGGATCCTGAAAAGAAGGGTCTGCTGAAGCTTACTCTGAAGAAGCAGAATATAACTGAGTCTTTGAAGCTTACGTTGAAGAAGACATCTTCAGAGTCGGAAGATTTTACCGTTGTAAATAGTAATTTTAGTTCAGTTATCAAGAATCATCAACAAAGAGACGTGGCAGGTGCTAAAGAGAATGATCAAAGAAATAATAAAGCAGCGAAAGGTTCTGTTAATGAACCTTTTGAAAACGTGATGGTGGATCAACAAGTGAGTTGTTTTGTTAGTGCTGAAGTTGAAATTTTGTTTGTTTTTTACAACGGCTTTGTTTACAGGATGATTATGACAACATTAAATTTGATGCAGAAGATCATAATCCTTTGGAGGAGAATGAAAGACCATCTATAGATGTTAACGAGGGTGATTCTGGTGTAGGAAGTGATATGGCAAATCCATCCGAAAAAGAAGATCAAAATGTTGATGATATACAAAGTAGCGATAATTATGACAATTCTGAGAAAAGACTGTCAGAACCCGAAGATCATGAGGAGCCAGATGCTTTAGAAGCAACTTGTAGAGAAACTATTGAAAATTTGAAAAAACTTGGAGAGCAGTCAAAGTAAGTTAATAGATTATAATAAACATCGGATAATGCAGAAGCAAACATTTCAGATGGAAATGTCAGGATCAGAAAAAAATTCGGTTATTTTAATGTAACGAACGTTTACATTTTGATTAGTCAATATTTGTAAATTTTTTCAGTTCTAGATCATCAAATCAATTGATCGAGAATTCGGCTGCTGAGGAAGAAGATGATAGAAACCATGATTCCGATATGATACACACTCTAGGGCAGAATCCTTCCATCAGCATTATTCCAAAGTCTTCCACATTTTCCAATCATTCGACAGAACGCGCTCCGGTATGCGACAGTGAAAATAAGAGCAGAGACTCGACTGAGCAGCAAGCACAAGGTTTTAATTGGAATCAATTATCTACTGACTTGTCCAGCAAAAGCAATGAGGATCTTAATAAAGAGGACGGCGAGCAACAGGGAGATACTGGTGGTGACTCCAATATGGAGAACACTGGATCACTCTTGCATAACTTTCTGATGGAGCATCAGAGACGTAACACGAACGAGGTTTCTTTATCGAACAATTTATCTAACGAGACATCCGAGTATGTTCCCCTTGAGAAACTAGCGGAGACTGTTAGTACGTGTCGCATCTGCAATGAGAAGTTTAAAGATATTGCGCATTTAGATGAACATCGTAGTAAAGCTGGTCATTATCAGTGCAATATTCCGGAATGCGCTAATCTCATCTTCCATTCGGCAATGGAGATATCGATGCATCGGGCACAAACGCATGGTACCCCACTTTCGCCAAATGTGAGCCAATTGTCTCCTCATAATCAATTATCAAACTCGCCACATGTGAATCAGAATTCGCCGCATTTGAGTCAAACGTCGCACTCGCCTCATGCCACTTCTGTAGATGCACCATCAACGAACAGTTCACAACAGCAGCAGCTCAGTAGAAATTCGCCATTAACGTCCCCACATCAGACTAATTCGCCAACATTTAACGCGACTGCGCCAACGACGGCTAGCGCTCCAGGTCAGCAAATGCAAATACCGCCGGTAAACTTTGAGCAGCTACCACCACCTGTGCAGCAATTGGCCCAGCAGGTGCAGCGTATGCCTCTTCCACAAGCGCAAATGCCTCCTAGTCTTCCTCCAGGCGCAAACACGATGATACCCGGACCGAACTATTTTGTACAGCCACCGGGTCGACCGCCCTTGTATAGAGTACCCGGTCCACAGGGTATACACTATCCTCCGCACATGACGCACTTATATCAGTATGGACCGGGTCCATATCCTCCGATAGCCGCACCTCCTCCACAGATGCATCCACAATTGCCTCAGCAAATTCCGCGTGGTGGACGATATCCACCCTCGACATCTGTTCCTCAAAACAGCAGGTAAATACAGACTCAACATATTATATGTACACATATATTTGAATTATTTGATTACTTTTAACTTTTAGAGCACCACGGTTACCGCAGGCTGGTTCAGTTCCTCGTCAACGTATGAAGAGACCCATGCAACAATCTAATATGCAAGTTCAACCACAAAATAACTCTGCGAAGCAAAGGCGTATGGATGTTCTATTACCCGATAGAAACGAGGACGCGGATTGTCATGTCATAGCGCAACAAAAGAGAAATGACGGATTACCCGTTATTCAAAATGTTCAAGGAGCTACCACTCAACAAGCCAATAGAAATGATTCTACGATACATCTCACAGATTCAATTACTCTAAGTGTTCGACAACCTGGTAAGTTTAAATTTACCAATTATTAAATTTATCCTCAATGAAGAATCTTTCTCTGTGACTATAATTGATCATTTTCTTTAAGTTTTATTATTGTTTATATTTTTTTATATGTCGCGCGATTCTTATAAAGTAAAGTACCTCTTCTATGAAATTTAATTTTTTATAATTTTACCCCACAATATTTTGAGTTGTGTTTTTGGAAAATTTACGTTTGCATTATATTTGTACAATTTAAAAAATTTTTAATATTTATTTTATTTTTAATATTTGTTTTACAAAGTTTTTCTTAACTTTATTTTACTGCACATATATATGTTCCATTTTTCTTTATATATATATATATAGATTTTTTAATGAGAATCACTATATTCACAGAAGGGGTGCATTACAATAAAATAAAGAGTGCCGTATTTTACTAATCCAAAGGTTCAACCCCAGCTCAAGTCCAGAGCACGTCAAATCCGGGGGGAAAGAAATCCGACGCTAAGGCGGTGGCGAATGTCCTCGCGGCTCGAGGTATAACAGTTACTCCAGCTGCAAATAAAAATAAAACAAGTGAACAAAGCAAACAGCAGATATCCTCTCAGCAGCAGCAGCGGCCACCACCTTCACAGCAGCCTTTAAATGTTACAGCGCTCAATCTGAATTCTGCTATTTCTATCATACCAACTAGTTCACAAAGAAAGCAGCAGGAGCAAGGGCAATTTGCTGTTCCGCAAAACAAGCAGAACAAATCACCAGTTAATGAACAAATTGAACGACCGCCGAGACCACCAACCGTAGACCTTACGCAGGACACTCCACCACAAATGCCAGTTGTTAGACGCGGTCGTCCACCCAGGTAAGAGTTGCTTATTGTTATTTGTCATTAATTAATAACAAACAATTAGTGATTACATGCATATACAGATCATGATCATACTATATTCGTATTTTCCAGAGCGTTATTAACGTGTCAGGTATGTGATAAAAATTTTCAAAATCAAGACATGTTGACACAACATATGGCAACTCATCGAACGACTAGCAAATTACTTCATAGGTAAGTTAAATTATCTCTTTGTTTTTTTTCTTTTTTGAAAAATGACAGAATGGATACAATATTTTTTTTTTCTTTCTTAAGGTGCAACCTCTGTCCTGCTCAATATCCTACAGTTCAAGCGTTGACAACGCACAAACAAGCTTATCACAAGGAAGTCGACACTGTGGCACAAAATGGAGGCGCGGAATTGGCTCTACCAGTCGTGGATTTAAAATCGCCGCATGTGTTAAACCGCTTATCAAATTTGGGCATTCAAAGCTACATACCATTGTCGCAATTGAGCGCTCAAACTGGCGGTTATTTCGGTCTGCCGATCATCACGATAGACGGTGCAAGAAACTCGAGTACCTGTAATCTAGGTGCGCTTGGTGCTACCTCTATTTTAAGTCTCGGTCCCCTTAAGCATTTATCAAACAGGTAACTGTGGACGCATTTGGCCTATTTCATGTGTGCAATCGCGCTTCTTTTTTATTATTATTATTTTCACATTCAAATCGATTACTGTATTGCCACTGACCATGACACAATGTCTTAATCATCGAAAGAAAATGACCGTGATATAGAATTTAAGTAAAAAAATTATTATATACGCGTGACATTTTTTATATAAAGAATATACGAAAATGTGCTTATGCTAATATACTTGCATAGTTACATATAAATATACAAGTATATTTTATATTCTTTGTATAAGAAATAATAGAAAAGAATTATTATTTGAAATTTTTTTTTACCTTGTTACAAAAAAATTGGTTGACTGACTTAAACATAAAATTTATTAATTTATTTATAGATTTAGAGCAATACAGTATTTTTTTCATATAACTTTCTATTAAAGTTATATTACGTTTTGATAAAATAAGATTTAAAATCCTTTAAGAGACCCTTAATTTAGAAAGTTAAAATACAAAATATAAAACTTTTGTTGTATATTATTTACAAAAGAAGTCTTAAGTAATGAATTATTCCGTGTATATATTTTTTTTTTTAATAAAGATGTATTAAATAGAAAATTTTCTGTGCTAAACTTATATGTTTGACATTTAAATCAAGAAATTAAATAATTAAATCTTTTCGCTGCAGTATTGTTATTTTTTTGAAGATATGAAAAGAAAATTTAATCGACGGGAAATTGACGATATCAAATAATATTTTTTATGTAAAAAATAGCATTTTGAGATTAATATTATTTATTTAAAATCTCTTAATTTGTTTAATCGCTATTAATAAATAAAAATTAATTTGTTTTAAAAACAAATTCTGTTTATTCATATCAAAAAATAATTTTTTGTTTATATATACTTGTGCAATATATGTGATGAAATATGCTAATGTGTACCTAATTAAGCAGAATTATTCTGCTAGATAACAAACAATACTTGAAAAGATTATATTGATAAAGTTATATATATATACATATATATATATGTAATACTTGATATTGTTATATGCATATATATATATATATATATATATATATATATATATATATATATATATGCATATACATATATGCAAGATTTTTATTCACACTCCGTCTTGAAAAGCATGAAAAGTACATTTCCTGAAATGGGCAGCATTTATACATTAATAGAACTATAAGAAAAATATTCTACTATGTTTTGTTAAAAGAAGAATAAAGAAAGTCTCTTAGTTTTTATTTAACAAAATATTAAAGTGCAACTTATTAAGTTGTACACATTTTGTAAAAAATAAAAGAGATAAAAGAGCAGTTATATTTGTTTATATTTGAAAAATATCTTTATAAGGATAATATAGATAATTAGTATTTACACATTATCAAGTATATGATTCATAAGCACAAAAAATCACGCAATCTTTATTTATTATCATTCCTATTAATTATAATGTTATATTGTAAATAATTATTATTTTCTTTGCATATATATACACACTATATGTATATTATATAGTTTATATGTACATACTATATATACATATATAACTATGTTAGTATATACAGCTATATATATAAATATATAATTATATAACTATATTATATAGTTTATATACATATATATAAACTATATAATACAGTTTATATGTATATTTTATATATTATATATTAAGTACATTATATACGTACATTATATATATATATGTATATATATTATGTATATATGTACATGTATATATATTATGTGTGTATATATATATATATATATATTATACGTACTATATATATATGTATAATATTTATAATATATAATAATAATATGTATATGTGTGTATATATATTTTATATACTTTAAATAAGTCGCCATTTCTCTATCAAAAAAGTAGAAGAACGCTCTATTATCATGAGTGATTGATAATATGATATTAAAACATTGTATATATTTGTATCATATAATAAAAAGAATAATACATATAGATATTTCTGTCACAATTCAAATGTATAAGTAATAACAGTTGAGCATTATATTGTTCATTTTATTTAAGCGGGATATTTGAATACTTAAATGAATATTTAGTTCCTTTGTAGTCGAGTAGATTAATTTTTGCAGATTCCAAGATGTGATTTCACTTCTTGTTTCACTTTTCGTCTGAAAATATTCTAGCTTTATGAGTTTCTCAAGCAATAGTTGCCATTTAAAAGGAAAATAAAACAGACATTATTTTTTTCATTTAACTTTTTTATTGCTATTTCCCTACCTATCAGCGATATCAAATTTACATGTTAATAGTATCAACATGTATATAATATTATTTAGTTACATATAATGTTTCCTATTATAATACGTTATATACATAAATCGGATAATTTTTAATTAGTTTGATAATAAAAATGTTATAATTTAAATTTATGCGATTTATCGTGTTTAATATTATTCAAAATCACGTTATTCTCATTATTCTATTTAAATTATAATATATATAATATTATTCTATTATTTTCAAATGAATAAAAAATGCATTTTATTTTTTGACATATATTCGTGAATATTATAAATGAAGTCTTATGTAAGAAACTTTGGAATCTGCGACATCGGGAATTTTTCTTATTATTTATATACTAATAATATACTTTAAATTGCCATAAAATAATCAATTTCAAAAATTTTATTAACTCTTTTTAATCAAAAAGATCAAATAAAACATCAAAGCTTTTTATTTAATGGCAATAAGATATCGTATCACTATTAGTGACCCGTTTTAAACGCGTAAGTGACGCTAAATTGCAACGCTCATGGGCGCCCATGGGAGGGGGGGGGGGCAAGAAGGGGTATATGCTCCCCCCTGGATTTTAATATTTTAATTTGCTTTTTCTGAATAATTATTTTTCATTGTTTTATTTATACCAAATGAAGTATATCTTATTTTTTATAGTCCTTCAAACTTGAATAAAAATGGTGTATGTATACACACACAACACACATGCACGCACGCACGCACATATACACCTAGTATATGTATATTCTGCCTCCCCTAGAAAAAAGTTATATGGGCGCCCATGGTCACTATCTGTAATATATATTGCGTCCTGGCCGCTCTCAGGTTTCTCTCTGATATATGAGAAAATTATAAATTTATTACATATAGTATATAAAGAATTCTTAGAAAAATTCACTTTGTTCCATAAAAATATCTCATTAAAATTGTAATTGCAAATTCTAAAATGTCAAAGTCAAAAAAAATATCGATCAAAGAATGTTCTCTTTTTTATATAGTCAAAATTTTGTATTCTAATGTTTGAGATATCTATTGATATCGGTCAAATGTATTATTTGCACTCTATTTGATATTATCAAAGTTTCAATTGATCACAATTAGAGCAAAGAAATAATTATATGAATAAGATATTTAATGCAGGACATTTTATGCGTTCGGAAATCTTACTCGTGACGTAAATAGCACTGACCAATCAGGATAAAGAAGTCTTTGCTCCTTTTGCACTGATTGGTCAACTAAACGCTACTTTGCTCCATAGGTAGGATTTTTGAATGCATCCAAGGCTTGCCGCGTCTTTAGCAATACTTTGCCGGTGGCCATATGCCTACGGGCTAATGCTCAATGCACTTAATATGGATTTAAAAAAAGGAGAAATTGCTTTATATAATTTCTATGTGCTATATTTAATTATGTTCAACTGCCATTTATTTTAAACAATTGAAATTTACATCTTCGTGAATGTGATCTTTAACGATGACAGTTTACTTATAGTTACGCATCTGTCCGATTGTTCCGTGACATAATCGACGAGTGTTTTGTCAATATAATTTTTGCTACTTTTATTTATGTATTGTTAAATCAGACGTCAGGTATGTATATCAAAATTTTATTTTAACATTTTGATAATCTTATACAGACTCGCATTCTTCGCATTTTACACATGTGTGATAATTATATTTACAATTAATTTTTTATCTCGGTCAATTTTTGTATTTTAGCAAAATGAGTTCCCTTGCTGTAAGAGCAGAGCAATACTTTTATAGTATTAATCCTATAGCTCAGAGAATTGGCGAAGATATAACCGCAACGAAAGAAGCTTATGAGGGGCTATGGAATACCTTGAGCATGGCAGAGCGCAATCAAGCTATCAATGAAACTATTATTCAACCTGAAGTAGCTTTAAAGTATACTTTGAAGAAGGTCGAGTTGACCAAAGAATTACCAGAATGGTATCCAAAACTGCGTATACAGACTGGAATGAAATATGTCATAGATGAAACTGGTTCTGTGAGTAGCCATGTTATTAATGCTTATGAAATATTAAATATAAAACATTGATAATAACTTTTTTCTTATTATATTACAGACATTACGATGGCGAGACGAGCATTCTGCGCCATTTTCGTTTATGACTCAGTCACAGATGAATCTCAATCTTATAGATCCTAATGAAGATGCAAAATCTAAATCAATGAGAACTCATTTTGGAGAGTCCCCACATTTTTCCAGTCCTGTGAAGGCACAAAGAAGCAATCCAATGAATGATAGTTACAATTCTGCACTTCAAATCAGCTGTTATCAGTCGGATTACACTAACAGTCTATTCGAAAACAATCAGTGTAGCGATTTATTGACAAACAGAATTGATAGTGAACATTCCGACAGTATATTTGCTAAACTGATTAATAAGACTTCTTTGTTAAAGTTACAAAGTAAGGATGTCGAGGATGATATGGAGAGTTTGGTGAGGGAGAGAGATTCTGACACAGATAAAAGTCAATCAAATACTGTAGTGATGTCGCGAACAAAGTCTAGCGATATAAACGAGTCAACCGCTTTGTTAGAAACGCCTAGTTCCTACAGCAGCTTTCAATCATCCCAATTAAATCAAGAAGAGGAAGAGAGAGGTATACCAAAGACTGGATTCGAGTTTCTTGATAATTGGTAAATTTATTCTGTTGTAGGAATAGTCAATTTCCTCTGCATGCGTTATTGTATAAAAAATATTTCCATAGTATTCTAGGAATATAAGTTGGATATATAGATACACATATTCAAACAGTGTATTTAATCTGATTATTTTCTATTGCTGTGTGTTCTATGAAAATGTTTACATGAATGTATGCGTAAAAGTCAGAATATTTATGTAGGAGATGATGAAATATTTTTTACAGTATCGAGACTTTTTAACAAGATTTTTTATATATCTTATATTTTATAACTTAATTTTATTTGTACTATATATTATCAGATACCATTTATACAGATGACATAATAGATGATATAAAGAAGATTAAATAATCTTCAAAGACTGAAAAAAATAATTTCCAGAAGAATATATATGATCTCCCATAAGATCTAAGTCTACCTAGAATTTTGATAGATACAACTATATTATTGCTTAGATATTGAACAATATGTAATCAATTTAAATTTATTATAATCTTTTTTTATAACATTGTATTTTATATATTAATATTTCATATATAGTAAGAGCTTATGAACAAATAAATATGCTTAATATACTCTTTGATCACTATTTACAAGCAACAATTTAGCTTAAACAAATTTATGTAAATTGTCGATTGTATCAATATTATGTATGAATATATATATCATATTTCGTGATAATTTTCATACATATCATATCTCTATAATATATATCTGTATTAATTATATTATAAATCATGATTCATTTTTCTTGATTCTCAAAAATTTCTTAAATCCAACTAATTAGCGCTTATTCACAGTCTCAAACTTTTTCCATCATTTTCAAAAAGAATCATTTGATTGATTTTGATTGATTTTGCTTTCAAGTAGTCCAGAATCCAGACAACCAAACTAGAAATACAGACATTAATTAAAAAATCTCTTTTTTTTTGCTTGTTAATATAAATAAACAAATTTTTTTACGAGTTTTAATTTTGAAAATTTCCTATAAAAAAAATAAGATGATAAAAGATATTTTAGATCTGTTCTTTGTATATTGCATCGATCGATGCTATTATACCTTCAGTGCTGGGTGATTGTATGATCGTTATGTTTTCATCACCGCTGCCATTTCGAGCGATTTCGGAGGTCCGATAATATCCGAACATGTTCCTTCTCGTCTTAGAGACCGAACAAATCCCTCGTAAATCCGTAGTCTTCATTATTCGTCTGGCCTCTGATTTGCGCTCGAAGGGTGACATCAGTATCAGATGCCGCTTCGATGATGCCCGAAGTGAAACTTAAAAGAAAATCAAAGATATGATTTCGAAATCAATTTTCTCAAGATAGCATCGAATATCGAATATTCATGTTTACTTACCACTTGTATCGATTTTATCTCCTGATGCACCCTTACATATGTTTTTCGATTCCTTCGATGGCCAATCAGTCAATGTGGATAAACTTCTCGAAGCGATAGCCGGCTGTTGATTATTATCATTGCACGATGATCCGCGAAAGACGTTTGGCAAGGATTTACCTTTTGGTTTCAACAAGGTGATTTGCGGAAAGGAAGAACCTGATAACGAATTATTAAAATTATTATTAAAATTGCTAATTATCAAAATTGTTGAATTATTTTTATCAATTTAAATTATTTTTATCAAAGGAAATTAAAGAAAAACGCGCTTTCTGTATCTTCTCCAACATACATTTTACAGAAATTTCAATAACTTTGAAACCGTCACATTTACCCTTTCTTTCTGGGCGTCCTCTCGAAGGACTGCATTGTCCATATCCCGAACATCTCTGTCCATCGAAGCAATCCTGATTTTCGGAAGGCACCGAACGCTTCTCGTCACCTGCACTATTGTTTCCATACTGCTCCATCGCTTGACGTTCCAGTTCCTGCAATATAATAATGTGTATTAGTGCGAGCTATTCTGTTTTGTGTGAAAAATAAATTGAACAAAATATACAAAATATACTTTTGTGTGAAATTAAATATCCAATCTTCGGCGTCAAGGTTGCGAATAGATCGAACTCTTTCTATTATAAAATATCTGTAATAAAACTATCGAAATGAAAAAGAAATCACGATACAAAAATCCAAGCCTTGATTTTAAAAATTAGGAGAAACCATAATTTTACACAGCCTTTTTAAATTCTTGTCAAACTTTCTGTGATTTTTTTTGCGGAACTATTTAGCTATGAAATTAATATTCAAATTGCCTGGTATTTGAGCGCCAGTGACTCTTCTGAGTTTCTGTACTGTTCCATCGCCTGCTGCTCGAGCTCGTCGTATCTAAAATAATTGGAGAAAAATGATTATCGATCTTAAATTTTCAAATTAAATCCACAAACTTTAATATTACCTCTCCTCGAAGACGTTCTCCAGGGCCGCCCCACTCGAGGTATTCGCTAGGACGTCTCTGTAAAGCGGTCGCTTCGTCCTCCTCTTCCTCTCTTCAGCATTCGAGGTCCTACATCTCGAGCTGTCGCTCCCAAACGCTTTGTTTCTCGATCTCGAAGTCTCGGACGATCTTTGTTGACCTTCAACAGCGGTTCTCCAGCTAGTGCCAGCCCCTTTACAGCATTCATACTTCTCCTCAAAACTACGCAGTTCAGACACCAATGCGTTCACAGTCACAACCTCCCCTCTTGTACAGCGATCCTTATCGAACCATTGTAATTGCTCGTTGCGACCAGAAGTCCTCGGACCCTGTTTCGACTCTAGGAGGAAAGATTGCTGAGCAGTGCCCTTTGAACGTCGCGTCTTGACATTATTCTTCGTCAGTAGTATGAGATTATTGAAGTCAACCCCCTGACTCTTCCGCTTCGGCGTCGGTTCCTGGTATAGTTCCATTGGTCGTTGGTATACTGGTATGGATGTCGTCGGACTCGGTTGCGTACAGGGCAAAAATTTTTCGTATATCTGTAAATTATACAATACGCCACTTCGTCACGATCTTTTATCTTCATACGAAGATTTATAAGAAATATCACACGTTGATTAAAGGCAATTAATAATTATTTCAATAATAATAAAATTCTAAAATGTGAATAATAATTGTAGCTTGGGATAATCGATGAGGCAAATAAAATAATCTTGACTTTAACGTATTGTCAAATGGTCACGAAAAATTTTGTCAATTAAATATGTAGATATATAGGGGTTCATCTCATTCGAGATAAACCCCTATATATATCTACATATTTAATTGACAAAATTTTTGTCTGAATTATTTTATTAAAAAGATACCTGCAAAGGACGATGGACGATCGTAGCGTCGTGAATCGATCGTAAAGACGTGCAGATCGGTAGAGATGACGAAGAAGACGCTGTTAATTGTAACTGCACCGGCGGTGCGACCCTTTGGATCCATTCCTGAGGTGAATGGAACATGTTCGTTTCGGTCACTGGTAATATAGACATTCTGGTGTTCTATAGAAAAATCGCAAAAAATAAATTATTGATACGGGATTTCATTCTCATAGACTTCCCACTTACCGGAAAAACAGTTGCCGCGATCTCCTGTTGCGGTCTATTGTAAGGAAATAGCTCGCTTTGATAATTTCTGTCGTTTAGTGACGGAAAGTAACGTATCTGGTAAGCCCTGTGTTCTTTATTATTTATGTTGTAAGTTGTTATCGAAGGTAAACTGGATTTCGGAAAAAATTCTGGCACTTCGGCGCTTAAAACCGGCGGGGGCGGAGGTGGTGGCGGGGGTGATTGCAACATTCTCCGCTGATATTCCGTCCTTAGAATTAAAGGCTGATACTGCAAAGTGCAGTAGAATTGTTGTTGATGATGTTGGACGGCGGGCTGTGCTTGTCGCGCGATTTGCTGGTAATTCTGCCGATGTTGCTGCTGCTGTTGCTGAAACTTTTCGGAGTTCCATATATCGCGCACAGCGTCACTCCCGATGCGAGACTCTAGTTGCATTTCCGCTGCGGTTTCGATGGTATATCGACGATAACGAGCAAATATTTCGATCGACTTCTCATGTGATCCTGATAAATATATGCAGTTAGAAATATAAAGAAGGGACTTTGTTTTTTTAGAAAAAATTTAAATTTAATTTTGATTTAATTTTGATTTAATTTTGATTTATTTATTCGAGTCAAATTCCTAATTATTAATTTTAAAAAATTAACTTTATACATGTATAATAATAATCATTAATAAAAATTTTTGATTTTTAGATAGAATAAATGAAAAGATATGAGATAATTAGAGAGAAGTTGTAATTTTTGACTTTTTTATTTGAAAATAATAAATAGAAAGTATAATTTGTCATTTATATCATTGTTGATTTATATAGAGATATTGCTTACCATTATTGGTTTCCGATTTGTGAATTGGAAGTAATTCATTATGTAATCCAACCTTTTTGCTCTTCTTCGGACTGATCTTTTGACGCTTTTTCTCGTTCCAATTCGACTTAAAACTCGAGCAAGAAATTTCGTTTTCCCTCCTCACGGTGTTACACTTCAGTATTGGTATTGCTGAGCTTTGCATATTGAACATACTATTAATGTGAGATATGGAAATCTAGTCGCAATCACATGATATCATATACATATATTTACATATATTGCGTCTGAAATAAAACTCGAATGTCGCGTTTAGATATAATTATTCATGATTTAATATTATCAGATTCCTTTCTCTTCAATTAATTTATTGAATTTATTATCCCTTCTTATTAATTATTATCGTGCAGATATATATATTATTAATTATAAAATGATAATTAATTTCGATATTTTTACTCTGAGAATTTCTCGCGCGGAAGAGAGGTTGGAGAAGGATATTTTGCGAAATATAAGGATAATACGGAAGTGCTGAGGCGAACTAACGGTTCCCGATGCGATCGCGTGCAGTTCGGTGAGATTAACCGGGCGAAGTGTTCTTGAACTTCAGGAAGCATCCACGGTTCCACAGCCTCCATAGTTGAACGGAAGTGGCGAAGCCCGCTATCCGACGATTTACCGTCGTCCGGCCTGTACATTCCCTCGTACTGCTCGTCGTACTCATAATTACCGTATTTCGCCAAGCGCGATTCAGAGATGACGTCTCGGACGAGTCTTGGACGATAATCACTATTTTCTTGGTACTTCGCGATTACCTCGCAACTCTGACATTAACGATAAGTTATCATTATGCCAGAATAGATTTCTCCTCCCTTTATCTTGAAGGTCTCAAGTATTACGGTAGTTTTTTCACCTTCAATCGACAGTATTTTTGTTATTTTTAATTTACGAGATATTTGTGAATTTAATTAATTAACCGAGTAATGATTGATTGAGCAATGAATACATAATATATAATATATATTTGATTTATATATTTCAATATATAATATATATTTGATATATATATTTGAAGTTACGAGATATTTGTGAGTTAATTAATTAATCGAGTAATGATTGATTGAGCAATGAATATATAATATTTTTTCTTATTTTCGATATATAAGTAGTGCTTAAAAAATTTACTCTGACAGGCTTTTTTCCTTCGTATACAAAACATCCTCAAATAACGATAGATAGCGATCGATACTGATAAAAAATGTTCGAAAATATAGATAATACTTTACGGTAGTTTTTTCACCTTCAATTGACAGTATTTTCGTTATTTTCAATATACGAGATATTTGTGAATTTAATTAATTAATCGAGTAATGATTGATTGAGCAATGAATATATAATATTTTTTTATTTTCGATATGTAAGTTATGTTTAAAAAATGTATTCTGATAGGCTTTTTTCCTTCGTATACAAAACATCCTCAAATAACGATAGATAGCGATCGATACTGATAAAAAAATGTTCAAAAATATGGATAATACTTTGCGGTACTTTGGATATCTATCGGATACTCGAAAGGGAGTATCTGTTGAGCATCTCACTTGAATCCAGAGGGAATGATTTAACTTTCGGAAGGGATCCTCGGGATTGTAGGTCCAAATCTTGTCGGCGATCAGACTGATATTTGCATAGGCGCTATTCAGAAGCTCGTCGTCGTATGACGGAAGTGGAGATATCATTATCTGTACATTATAACCGATCGATCAGATATTCCGATGGTTCGACGAGAGACCAATGAACTTTCGTGTTACAAGCTTCCTCTCGTATTTCCGTGTTTCGCAAACCGATTAAAAATTCGAATTAATAAATGCAATAAATAATAATAATAATAATAAATATTAATTAATGATTAATATTCAATGCCGTATTGTATACACAATGAAATCAGTTTTGACAAAAGTATTAGAGCCACGTAAGAGATGAAGATCGAAGATGGCTTGTTCACGATTTATCGACATAATGAATAATTAACTTTCTTCAGGCGTCTTTGAAAAGCAAGGTAACTTTTTTCACTCGTTTAATTATATTTATATATTTAAATTTGATAATTATACTTTGAAATGAAAAAAATATCTGAAAAAATTATGCGATTTACTAAGTAAAACGGAAAATAATTATTTATATTACAAGAAAAAATAACTGCAAGTTTAATGTATCAGAAAATTCTGTCGAGATCTTAAAATGATAATTTAAGGGAAATAAGAGAAGAGGATAAATGAAGATACACGGCAGTTTTTACAAATTTGTCGTCTATTACGAGTTATGGTCGATGATGATAAAATAGCACGCACCCGCGCACGCATTCGCACTTTGTACAATTCACACGCGACAGTTTTATTTACAAGGTAAGACTGATCATAGACAGATCTGTCATAATTTACAACGCATCAAGCGAGCCGCTACTCGCGATTGCAAAAATAAGCGGAAAAGGAAAATCAGTCTGGTAGAGCCTGCGAGAAGCAGATACTCTCAGGAACGCTACGACGGCGTCGCATTATTATCTCTCTAACGAATACGAATTGAGCACGAAATCGACACGACGATATTATATCATCCAATATAATCCCGTCAGCGATGTTTCGTTATGTTTACGATTCGAGTAATATAGCGAAGTAGTTATTTCTTATAATGAGGGAGGACAAACTCTCTTTTCCTTCTTTCGGCAAACATTCTTTCAATCAAGACGCATGGGTTTCAATCGAATGGCTAAAAGTGGCTATGACATGACTTCGAAAAATTAATAAATTTAACATGCATCTAATTCTAACTGTATTTGAAACAGACATTATAATTCAATGAATTAAAATTTGATTGATAAAAAGAATGAATTTTTTTACATTGGTACATTCTTTTACATTCTGTTTTCATGGACAAAATGAACATAATTTAGCATTGAAAGTCAAACTCACCGAGATAGCATTCCTATTCATCGAATTGCAACACATGAGAAATGTTCACAACTATTGCTAATCACTAATTTCTTTTACACTTTATTATATTTTTATTTTATACTTATTATTATCAAGAAGACAATTTTTAAAACATAATTATAAGTATGATAAGTTCAATTATATATAAGAGTAATATAAAAATTATATATATAAAATTATATGGAAATATATGTATATGTTGCAATTATATATTTCCAAGATTTCTCATGTTGCAATCTTAATAAATAGGAACGTATACCGGTTTTAATTTCTGATTTAAATACTACTGTGAGGTAAGAGCATTTATATGCCACGCACACACATACGCATGCATACATTTAGCCATTCAACCAATAATTATGACCTGTGCGACTGTATCGAGTGTATATCTGGCATGGCTGTTTAGGATATATACAGAAGTCGCTAGTTAATTAGATTATCTCGATATTTCTAGTCGCACATTTTTCCACCTCATAATTAAAATGACATTCAACGTAAATTCGCGTGATCGTATTTAATACCGCTATGATACCGTTTGAAATGCATAAAATAGAAATAAGTTTCCCGCAACGTGCGAATTGAGCATCAATATTAAATAATTTAATCAAAACTAATATTATTAATAATATTAATATTGCACGATTGCGTAATTTTAATATTAATATTAAATAATATTAATTTTAATCTCAATTGTTTAAGTGATCGATATTAATCGATCATCAGTCGCAAAAGAAATTTTATGTTCGACCGAATATATAAGCATTTCGCGAGCGAGTCGTTTTGATTAGAAACGTATTATTCAATATTTACAAAAATTCGTGAAATAAAGAGTACGATGAAAAATAACGAGTCCTGCTCTCTCTCTCACTCACTCTCTCTCACACACTCACTCTCTCTCACTCTTTTTTTTGAAAAAAAATTACATTTTATGGCAAGATGGTCGCGCCTTTGGCGCGGCACCTCGTTGCAACATTTATAATGTTGCAACGATTTTTCACCAACAATACTTAGACTCTACGTTTTAAAATCGGCACCTTTCTTAAACACGTTCTCGCATGACTCAGGATTACGATCATCCAAAACCCGTGGATGTCGCGATTTATATATATATACTATCGTTTTACAAATGTCTACTAGTCAATTAAACAATTCGACAACATTTCTATGCTGTAGAGTTCGCCGTTTTTTTCAGAGAAAAAGAATCTTTATAATCTTTACAATCTTCTCCGAAACAATTTTCAAGATCACTAAACTAGTCACTAAATTGTCTTGGCACCGTCCGTGGGACACAATTGTTTCAAACGTATTCCTCGGATGGTTTGGCGATGTTCGCCGGTAATCTAGGTACTCGGCTGGTGCTGTCCGGTAATTCGGCGATGTCGATGAAGACACCGACAAGACTCTCGAAGTTGGGTCTCCAATTGAGCAGGTAGTCCCAGCTAAGGGCGTCCTCGGCGGCGGTGGTGATGGTAGTGGTAGTGGTGGTGGGCGAACCGTTGTTAGGATGACTGCCATAAAGGAGACCACCCATATGAGTCGACAGATCATCGTCCGAGGCAACGAGAGTGCTAAGGGAGCCGCGGAATGAGCTGTCAAAGCCGTCATAGTTGCCGACAACATTCGGTGGCAACGGTGGTTTCGTCGACTGCGACGACTCGTTGTTCCTGCTACTCTGAGGTCCGCTCCCCTGGTCGTCCTGTTTGGCGAACAGGTTGTCGGACCGCTTGTCACCTACCAGCGAGCCGTTATCATATTCGATCTCCGAGCACGTGAAGCTGTCGTTGCCACTTTCGTCGGTGGTCGATGAGTTTCGTCGCTCGAGTCTCTCCGCGGGCGGCGTATGACGTCGATGATGGTGCAAAGGTCCATGAGCTGGTGGTCCCCTCGCTTCGCTGGACGAGCTCACGGCGTCCAGGGTGGACACTAGACTAGACGTTCTCGGGCGAGAATTCAGTCGCTCGATCTCTTCTGCAGTGAGACCCATCGGGCCCGATGACACGTTGTTTACCGAATTCTCATTGTTGGATTGCGGAGCCTTCCTGCTGGCGGTCGAGCCCGACAGCTGGCTCATGATTGGGGAGTTTAGACTCCTCTCGCTGTTGGAATTCAACGCGTCTTTGCCGACACCACCGGATGAGGATGTGGTGGCTAGCAATGCGCTTTGCAGTGGCTTCCCGCTGATGTCATGAAGCGTAAGAATCCGTGGTTGTTGAGCGGATAACTCACTGCTGGGCGACAATCTCGCTAACGGGGTACTCTGGAGTAATTTCGGCGCCGGTCCAGGTGGTTGGTTCACGTTGGGCGGCGGCATAGCTCTCGGTGGAAATGGCCCGGTATGACGGTGCTGTTGTCCCGTGTGTTTATGATGATTGCTATAATTACCTGCGCGAAAAATGTTATTTAAGTCGATCACATATAATATGTGTATGTATATGTATTTTTTGAACAAGAAAAATTTTTAAAAATTCGATACAAATATTTTTACAAATATTAAAAAAAATTTTTAATTTAGATTTTTTAATCACTTTTATTTTATTCGCTATTAAATTGTTATAGCAAAAATATTTTATCTATCTAGTTCCAAAATTAAACAACGTGGACATTTTTTATATTTAAATTACTTTACTCTTACTTTAAACTTTCCAACATCTTTCGTCAATTGTCAGAATACATAAATGATTACAATTTTTTCTCACCTAAAGGAGGCGGAGTGGCTTTATACTTTCTCATGCCATCGCGATAACCCTTATAATGATATACGATATCAATGTCGCTGGGGGCGATTGAGCTGGCGTTCTCCAAGTCATAGTGTTCTGGGATGTCGGGTTCCGGATTATGCTCATGCGAGTGTAAGGAGGTCTGAGCGGGAGGTGGCAGTGGCGGATGTTCGTCACGAATAGGCGGTGACTTGGTGACCTCTCGCTCGATGATGTCGGGTCGTTGCGGTCGATGCTCGGTAGTAGCATTGATCTCACGCTCCTTATATTTTTTCGAGATTAGCTCGGGCCCCATATGACCCACGCCACGCAGATCCGATGTATCCGAGATGTACGTGTTTTCATGTCGGGACATGAGATTGTCATTTCCGGCGCCGACCAGCGAATTACCGGTCATGATAGAGTTCGTATTCTTGTTGACAACTGATGGCGCCGACTTCTCCTTGTTCTGCCGGCGCAATCGGAATACTATAAAGCTCACTAGCATGGCGATCAGCAGAATGACGAAGAAGACGATGACTAGGGTGATGCCGATGCTGAGGGGATCCGCGGTTGCAGCGGCACTGATGCCGATCGGTCCTCTGCACCCGGTATTTACTTTACCATGATACAGCGCATCTTTAAAGATGGAACCGGAGCCGTTGAACGGCTGTACTTCGTTGTTGATGGTAAAGTTAGCTAAACAACCCTCGAAGCTCTTAACATCAGCGTTATGAACGTAATAGAAATCCCGATTAACTCCGCCGATCGACAGGACAGACAAGTAGGGATCGAGAAAATCGTGAACACCCGCCGAATCCAACTCGTCACCTGTCACGACACCGTCGACCAACAGTCTTAATCCTCCGGTGTAGGCATGGAGAGTCAGATTATGCCAGTGTCCATCGGCAAGTCCGCGCTCAATGTTGATTGACATGTTCACCGGTGATCCGAGCAGAGAAGTGTAAATCAGCTGACCATTACGAAGCTGAAACAAAAAATAACCATGTCAATCGAGCTACAAGGTAAAATTTTATTTCTATTTATTTTTTTCTTATATTTCATAATATTATTTATTTTATTATTTATTTATATTCCGAAAAAAATCAAGAAAAGAAGAAATTATTGTGGAAAAATTAACAATTAATAAAATGAAAATTAAATGTTATTAAAATATAATTATTTTAAATAATAAAAGGTGCTGTGTGTTTCAACATGTGTCTTACCTCTACAGATGTAAAATGCTTATTAGTGGCAGCATATATCAAGATACCATCAGGTTTTACGGTTCTAAACATTAGACCAATCGTTTTAAATGGAGAAGAATTTGTTATAAAGCTCGTGTCATCGATAAGATCGCGTCTAATGCGATTCGTTTGCCATATTGTCGAGCCACCATAGAGGTACTCCAACAATTGCATCCTTTTGTGTTTCTCCGAAATCTGTATGTGAACAATACCAAAAATAATTATTCCAACTCAAAATTATTTAAAAATAGGACGAATAACATTGCAAGTTAGATGTGATATATAAGATCTCATAGATATTATAAATAATTAAATTTTTAGAAATCATATTCGTAATTTTTTAATTTTAAATTAATATCATTATCTATAATAATATTGCTACAATATACTTAACATCATTATTATTTTGTTATAATATTTATATTGTTAAAAAATGCGTATTACATACATTATTATATACTTATAATTTTATAATAAAAAATTACATATAAAATTAAATTAAATGTTTACTTATTATTACCTTAAATTCGATAAATCCTCCCTCGCTCAATGTGACGGGTTCCAAGGCATTGTGACAATTGGGCGCTGTCAGAGATCCGCATTGACATATCACTTGGTGCCACTTGTCGTAACATCGCGCGTCCGCACCGCAAACGGAAACGGTATCCTTTTCGTCTCTTAGGCAAGGACTTCGCTGAGATTTGATGCATGTGGATTTCACGCCCCGTGACGCAAGCGGATTCGTTAAATTCAAAGCCCTTCCGTTTATCGCTACCGAATGAATGCAACCCACAAAATCGTCGGAATGCACTTGGTCCGGACGTTCTAGCACAGGATCGGCGTTCTCTAGACCACCCAGTAGGAGAGGATTATTGTTGAAGTTTAGAGTCCTGCAAACATCGAATATATTGATTATTAAGATCCTCGCATATAAATTAATTTTAAATGTAAAATGTTATTGAATTTAATAATCAAGAAAAGCATAATCAGAAAAAACGTCTTTGAATATCAAGGTATAATTTAATCAAGATATAATTTCTAATGATTATTCTTACATTATTTAATCGAATTTTTAATTAATAAAGTCTTTATAAATTTATAAATTTATAATAATAAAAAATGTTATGTAGTAATGATGTATGTAACGATAGAACTTTATTAAGATTTAAAGAAATTCGACTTTTTGCAAGATCTTATTCGCTTCTACGATTTAATTAAGTATTTTTGTTTTAGCTTTCATCAGTGAAAAATCAACAAAAAACACTAACCCAGTTGGGCCCACGTCGTCTGCGTAGCAAGTACCATCGCCAGGTCTACAATCGTCGCAGACATCGCCGTGTTCCCTGCAAACGGAGACGCTGAGCGAGACGACCCTTCCATTTCTGGTAGCGGTGACCTTGCGCCACTCGCCGTCCGATACCGGTTTCTCGGTCTTGATGACGACAGTAGTGATCGCGCTTCTTGCACCGCCGTATGAGAAGACCACTCGGCCACCAATCAACTCCAACACTACAAAGTCTGAACGGCCGCCTGTTTGCGGTGCATAATTGTACAGCAGTAAAGCATCCGGCTTTGTGGTCGCGAACACGATGGTGATGTCGTTCGTATTAGAGTCCAGTGCTGGGAATGCCATGAACGACAGCTCATCGAAGCCGAAGGTCGAGCGCTCGCAATGTCGACCATAACGACCTTCGGGACAGCTGCATCGATATCTATGCGCGACAATTTTATTTTTTATTTTTTTCATATGAAAATCAATCACTTAAGATAAAAAATATTAGAATTAATAAATTATATTTACAAAATATTTAAAAAAACGCGATAATATAAATATATCCATATTAATTTATAATATATGTTAAAATATACTAGTAGAGTATATTTTATTTTGTATAAAAATTTTTTTATAAAATCTTTGAAGAATAAACGATAATTTTGTGCGCGCGCTCGTTTATTATCGTTTTTATGAATATAAGTAAAATAGTATGATTATATATAATTAAAGGATCAACGAACCCAGGTTTCTCTCCAACGCATAAACCACCGTATAAGCAAGGATTCGGTCGACAAGAGTCGGTGACTGCCTCGCAGTGATTACCCCTGTAGCCTGCTCGGCAGAGGCAGAAAAAGCTGAAGCTATCTGGGCTATTTCTGCACGATCCGCCGTTTCGACACGGATTGCTGGCACATGCATCGCCTCTCTCGAGCTCGCACAGTTTGCCATCGCGATCGATGGGACAAGCGCATTGAAAATCATGTCCCAAACGTCGGCATTGTCCTCCCTATAGATAAAAAGGAGAATATATTATGCGTCTGATATCGACTTTTATGGGAAAATCTAAGTTAAAAGAAAAATAACGAGATTTCTACGATTCGAATATACGTCATATATATATTGTTTAATATTTATTTATTCGTAAATCAATCTTAAAGACTCGCATCTATTTGTCATCTAGTTGTCATTAAATTACACAAAAATTATATAAATATATAGTAACATTAATTGCATTTAATTTTATCACATATGTTGAATTCTATTTTTTTATAGTTTAAATTTTCTAGCGTAAATAGTTTCCCAATTTTGCTGAATGCTTACCAGCAAGCAAGGATTTGGCGAACACGGATCCTGCCTTTTCTCACATTTGTCACCGATGAAGCCATCCCGGCATTTGCAAATCATTTCGTGCATCATTCTAGGCGATGTCAGAATCAGTGCCTGGCTGTCGGTGATTCTGGCATCGTCATATATGGCCAGTCGATCACTGCAGTTGCCACCATTTTCGCATGGCATGTGCGTGCACGGAGAATAACCGATGATGAACATGTTATTTTCGAGTAGTATCTGGATTTGGTCCCGATTGCGTATCAATAGATCGGCCACTTCGTTCTTTGGACGATATCCTGTAAAATGTAAAGAAAATCATGTTATCACTTTCTTAAATCTATAAATATTAAATTTGAATGTGATAGCACAATTTATTTCGTCTCTCATGAGAGACGAAATACATAACTGATAATACATAACTGATACTAAATGTGCATATATTATATACGTAATATTTTTGATATTCATATAATATAATCAAGATATAGATCAATTCTGATATACATGCATTTGTGATTTTTAGCTTACCTTGCGGAGATTCCACTGCCAAGTAGACATTCACATTCTGTCCATCCTCACCGATGCTGAAAATAGTGAGTGTGTCGCCAATATCGATCTTCTCCTGCAGAAGATCCAGAAGTGCTCGGTAATATTGACTGAGAAAATCTTTTGCGGTCATTTTGGAAATTTGCAGAGTTATGCTGTTTTCGATTGTGGCATTCGAGAAAAGCAGGAATTCGAGCGTGACTTTGGAGAGCACGTCGGGATGTCGTCCGTCGTTACCGGAGACGCTCAGTGAGTAACCAATTTCTGTGTCCGCAAATACAATTCAAATATCAGTAAAAAGATTTAACATTTAATCGAGGACAAGAGAAACAATATTCGAGAAATTAACGCCAATGATAAGATACTCAAAATTTTTTCAATATTAATTAAAGTTATTTAATATATTTATTGAACTCAATATTATTTTTTAAAAATGAAGAAGCACAAATTAAGATTAGCAAATTTCGAGATATCCAGGGATTGAGAGTTTTTCTTTTACAATCGATAAATCCATACCTGGTGTAATCTTGTTAGTGTGTAGATTACAGGCGGCGGGGATGCTGAGCACACGCGAATTCGAGCCCTGAAGTATCTTGCAAGAGTAAGACCCGGTGATGTCCGGGTCATTTGGATGAACGTCGGCGATCTTTCCCAGCGGTGTCTTGCCGTTGAAAGAGTGCACTATCACATGGACCGATCTCGGAGCGGACGGACTATCATTCTGATCGGTGACAATCACGGTGATAGTGTGCTCACTCTTCATCCGCGGTACGCCCGAGTCCTCCACCTCAACCTGTATGAAGATAATCAGATACTCAGTTTATAAGAAAAGCTATTCGAAAGTTTAAGAGAACCGTTCGAAATCAACCATCGTTATCATTCGTATACTGACCACGAGATCCAATTGCGGCATCGTTTCTCTGTCAAGACTCTTGGTGGTTCTCAGCATGCCAGAATGCTTGTCCAAGGTGACCACGTCGCTTTGCCTTCCGCCAATCAATTTGTACGTGAACGGTGCACCGTTGGGCGGCAGATCGGGATCGGTCGCGCTCAAAGTCATCACAATGGTTCCGGCCGGTTCATTCTCGCTGACGTAACCGATCACTTCTGGCGGATCGAAGACTGGTCCGTTGTCATTGACGTCTAGCAGGTCGATGTGCACCGTCGCGGTGCCGGTCTGTGGCGGCGAGCCGGTGTCGATCGCACCGATCGTCAGATCGTAAGCGGGCATGGTTTCGCGATCCAGCTGCTTCGCTGTCTCGATGTCACCGGTCTGCGGATCGACCTTGAACGCCTGGCCATGATTGCCGCCGATGATGGAGTATGAGAATTGATTGTTCTGCGGCTTGATGTCCTTGTCGACCGCGCGAACGGTGACGACACGAGTGCCATGGACGGCGCCCTCCGACACGCTGGCATCGTAAAAGCCCTGTTGGAACTCGGGCGGATCGTTGCCGTCCTGAATGGAGATGATCACCTGCGCCTCATCAGTGTCGTTGCCGCGAATACCGCCACCGTTCTTCGCCATCACCGTCAGCACTACTCGATTCTGCGTCTCGCGATCGAGCCGACGCGACACCCGAATGATGCCGGTTTCCGCACCGATGGTGAAGCCACGATCGTTCGACGAGCCCACGAAAAGATAGTACACGTGGCCGTCCTCGCCCGAGTCCTGATCGGTCGCCTGGACCAGACCGACCGACGTGCCAACGTCGGCGCTCTCCGACACGTCCATGTGGAATACCGGTTGAATGAACTTGGGATAGAACTCGTTCACGCCAGTGATGCGTACTATCACGGTCGTGAAACCGACCATCTGCGGATTCGAGTCCGGATTGGCCGCGACAATGTCGAGACTGTACTCGTTCACCTCCTCGTAATCGAAGCTAGTGTCCGATGTGATCTCGCCCGTTTCTTCGCGGATGTGGAAGTGATCTTTGCCGCTACCACCGAGAATCTTATACTGCACTACAGCGTACTTGGGCGAGTCAATGTCCTGGGCGACCACCTGGAAGTGCGCAGAAAATGAGTAAATTTCAATAATAGAGATATTTTTTTATTTTAATTTTTAGATTTTTTTAAGTAACTTGTATATGTAAAACTATAAAAAAAGTAAAAAAAAATTTGCCTTTTAAAATATATAAATCTTTTTGTTTCATTAAATTGCACAAAGCAAACAGTTATTTAATTATTGATCCAACATGACATTTACTTTATTAATTTATTATATAATAATTTAATATTAAATAATAATTTATTATATATTTACTTAATTTATTTTATTGTATAATAATTATATAATAATATATTTATTTAATTAATTTATTATATATTTACTCTATTAATATATTATAAAATTGCAAAAAATAATTGTTCTTAAACGTAAGAAAGGAAATAATTATTCAAATTTTGATTAAAATATCAAAAATGTCAAAAAAGATATATTAGATTTAAATACTTGAACAAACATACCTTGTAAACAAAACTATCGGACGGCGAATTCTCCGGTAAAAATGCCTCATATATGCTCTGATTGAAAGTCGGAGGGTTATCGTTGATGTCAGAAACATTGACAATTAAAGTGGCTACCGCCTGTTTCGGTTCGAATCCCAGATCCGTGGCGGTGATGTTCAGCTGATATTCCTGCACTAAATCGTAATCTAGAGGCTTGAGTATGATGACCGCGCCGGTGATGGAGTGTACGAAGAACTCGTTCCTTTCATTGCCTGCCGAGATCTTGTAGCGCACTATACCGTTGGGCCCGTTGTCGTCATCCACGGCGCTCACTGTCAAAATGGTCGTGTTGACCGGCTCGTTCTCTGGCACTCTCACTTGATGACTGACGGCGGCGAAGGTAGGCGCGTATAGGTTCTTGCCAGAGATGACGAGCGTGAGAAGAACCTCGTCTCTCTGCGGTGGCACGCCCTTGTCGGTGGCGTACGCCTTCAACAGGAACACCGTGTCGATAGGAGTATCGTTGAGACTCTTATACACGTAAACCCAGCCGGTTTGTTCCTCGATGGCGAAAAAGTCGTCGGTGCTGTTCATAGACGTCAACGAGTAACTGACTTCCGCGTTCACGCCAAAGTCGGCGTCATCGTGGGCGATCAGCTGAGTGATACGCTTGCCCTCTCCATAGTTCTCCGGTACCGGCGACAGGTAGGATCTTTGCTCGAAGCGAGGCGCATTGTTGTTGGCGTCCACCACGTTCACATATACCACCGTCTTCGAGGACATCGGAGGCTTGCCATTGTCAGTCGCGATCACCGTCAGCGAGTATAGGTTCTCTGGCGAGGACGACCGATTGGAATGCTTATAGCGCAGGGTGCGCTTGCTGAAGACATCACCTGTCGCCGGGTCGACGGCGAAGAGATCGGATGGTTGTAGCAGATTGTAAGATATGACGGAGTTCGGTCCCTGCTTATCGTAATCAATCGCCGTGACCTGGCCGACATGCGCCACCTCTGGCTGGAGCTCGGGAAAGTGGAAGTGATAGGTGTTCTCGTCAAATTCGGGCGCATTGTCATTTTGGTCTTGAATGGTGATCGTCAGAGCGGTCTCCGTTAGCCACGCGCCGTCTGCCGCTACAACCTATAATCAAATAGAAAATAGCAGGTAAACAATTATTTTAATTTAATTGTAAAATATATAATTTAATTGTAAATATAAGCGAAATGAGCATTTTTATAAAACAATTTTAAAGAAACTTTAACAGTTTAGACCGTAATTTTAAGAGAACTTTAACATAATTTAGAACGTAATGTTTTTCCAGAGAGGTAAAAAAATTTTATATTAAATTTTATATTAATTTTAATATTTAATTTAAAATGATTTAATTTAATTTAATAAAAAATATTCTGAGTGTGTTTGAAATCATACTATACAAAAATGTCTTTCTTCTATAAATATATATTTTTTAAATTTATTATTTTATTGAAATATTAAATCCTATAGATTTTTCGTTAATATATAACGTTAATATATATAATAATAAAGATGAGATTCTACCTTTAGCAGATATTCGTCCTGTTCTTCTCTATCGAGATATCCAGCCACAGTCACGTTTCCACTCAGAGCGTCGATGAAGAACTTTTCCCCTGGATTATCGGTGAAGCTGTAACTGACATTCGCATTCTGACCAATATCCGGATCCCTGCTGGTGATGCGTATGACAAAAGTGCCGATCTCCGCGTTCTCCGTCACGTTGACGCTGAACAATCGCGTGAAATGCGGTGGATTGTCATTTTTGTCCAAAACAGTCACCAGCACGGTGGTAGTTCCGGTTAATCGCGGGTGACCCTGATCCGTGGCCTCCACAACCAGCTCGTAGGACGCGATCTATGAAAGACACATGAATTTAATTAAATAGTTATACTTAATCGCTATACATGAAATGTTCTCTAAGAATTTTTAATTGTTCTTTATAACAATATTATCTAAGTCGTATAATTGAATGAATTGAGCATTTATGTACCTTTTCGCGATCAAGCTCGGCATTGGTCTCAATCTGTCCGGTGTTACCGTCGATGATGAAAGTCTCGGAAAAATCGTCGACCAGATGATACATGACCTGACCGTTCTCGCCGAAATCGCGGTCCGTCGCGGTAACCTTGGCGACGAACAACGGCGGATACTCGTTCTCCAGCACGGTGGCGTTGTAGATAGCCGCTTCCATCACCGGCGCATTATCGTTGGCATCCGTGACATTCACCAGAAGCTGCAGGACGCTCTGCAGCGCGGGTGTATCCGAGTCGCGAACCTCGATCCAGGCTTCATAGTACGGCGCCGTCTCGTAATCGAAGCCAGACGCGACCACGACCTAAATAAAATATCCGTAATAATAATGAGATGTTAAAAATGTGTTGTGACGGTCGTGAAATGTGGGGTACCGTCGTGAGGTTGCGGGAACCTTGGGCGCCGGATAAAGTCGCAGGAATATTATTATAACTTTGAACTTTTTGTAATATTTTATAGTTTTCTTTTATTGGCTTCAATTATATAGTTTCGTTAATACAATCTTCTTCGGTTCAATTTCCTTCACACTTTCCTTATCTCGTTGGCGCACTTATATTGCCCTATGGCCCGCACTTAAGCAGTTAATATTCGACTGTCACGAACTCGCGGTGGACAGTTTTTAATACCTCATTTTTAGGGATGTTTTGGAGAGGATCGCTTAGCGACATGACCATATATGATCATGGAGGCTTTTCGTGACGGTCAAGTCTAAATGCAAGCGAAGGAGGTTCAAAGTCGAATCCCTTCGTTGGCATTTTCGCATTTTCGAACTTGCGCGTGGTTCGCTAAGGTGGCGATTTTACGCGGTTCGTGAATATTCTAACGATAAAATAAAATAAAATAAAGTTATAATAAATAAGTTATAGTCTTTCGGACTATAACAAATGAATAAATTTCAGGACATACGTGCAGTTAAATATTTCTCGAGATAAACGAGTATGACGTTAAATTAAAATCGAGAGAGGGTGAATTGCTTCTCGAAAACATATCTCAATTACCTCTCCAGTGTGAGGTTCGATTCTCAGAGCGTCCCCCACGTTACCGCCAGCCATGCCGTATATTAGATTACTGGCCGACCCGGTCTTCGGGGTGATCGCGCTCAGCTTGGTGATCACCCTACCCTCGGGCACGTCTTCGGGTAGCGTGAATCTCGTGCTGACGCTAGAGCGGAAACTGGGAAATAAATGCCGGTCCCACAGGTGTATCATCAGGTCGGCAGTGACGTGCTGGGGTTCGGGACCGCAGTCCGACGCCTCAATTTGCAGCTGATAGGTGATCTGGACGCCAGAGAGTTCCTGGGCGGCGCGTATCACGCCGTTGTCGAGGTCGATGACAAACCGATCGGCGTCTTTGCCTTGCAGTCGATAAACGATTCGCGAGTTCTCGCCATCGTCATCGTCGATCGCTTTCGCGCCGAATACGAAGTCGCCTTTGAAAGTGGAAAAAAAATTCGATATGAGCACATTCACTTTATCGAAGAGAAGTTATTCTAACAATTTTGATCAGCAATTAACATGCTTAATTATGAATTTAGGTATTGCCACCATCGAGAGGTATCATTTACCAGGTTTGATCAGGCTCGGGACATAGGCCGTATATCGTGGACTAGAGAAGCGGGGCGCGTTGTCGTTCACATCCATCACCAGGATGGTCAGATTGACGGTGGAGGCACGTGGCTCCGTTGGGCTCGAATCCCGGGCCACTAGGGTCAAATGATACACGGCGGTCTGCTCGCGATCCAGCGGCACCGTGGTAAATACTTCGCCCGTATCGGGATCTACGAAAAATCGCTCCGCTTTGTCCCCAAGTAGGCGATACCTGTCGGAAAAAATGTCGATAGAAATTATTCAAAGATAGAAAGCAAAAAGAAAATTAAATTTTTAATTAAATTTTTTATCGACATTATTATTTAAAACTACGAATTTACATTCTAAAATTATTATAATTAAAAACTTCAAATTTATTTTTTTTTATTTTTCACTGCAAAATATCGTGCAACAAATTTTTTATGTGAAATTATAAATAAAAAATATATGCCAAAGCAATTATAAGATTGTTAAAAAAAATTAAAGCCAAAAAAAAGAAAATTAAATAATAATACTCGTTATTAAAATTATAACAAAATTTAAATCTTCTTTCATTTCTTTTTTTAAAATTAAATTATATATTAATTACGCAATATCGGTCGAAGGTTACCTTATTTTTCCATTGACTCCTTCATCCTGGTCCGTAGCATGCGGCTTGGTGACCCACGTTCCTGCGGGCATGTTTTCCATCACGGTGGCCTTGTAGTCCTGCCGATTGAACTCGGGATTATGATCGTTGACGTCGAGGACGATGATTCTGACAATGCCCGATCCCGTGAGGGGCGGTGAACCTGCAGAGAAACGCAAGATGCGAATTTTCAGTCGTATTGTCGTCGGACGGTCATAAAAACAGTCGTCATCGCTGTCGCTCTAGCCCGGTTTTTTACGCTTTTATCGCTATTTTGCGAACAATAAGTCGCCACACCGATCTCGTAGTTGGGTCAGTGGTGCGATTATTTCGCTAAATTTACGGCTCCGCTCTCGCGCGTCTCCTTTATGGCGGTTTAAATCGGTCCAAGCGGAAGAGGTACATAAACCAGGGCTATAATTTTAACAGAATATTATTGCAGGGCTCTGTGTGACGCCGATCTGACTCGCAAGTGAAGTGATTTAGAACTTGCCTGTATTCGTCGTGAAATATACCTTCGACGAATGATATATCGGCAAAAATCGTCGCTTCTGCAGCATTCTCTTCGATTATTGCGAAATTGGTCCGGGACAAAGGTGAAGGATTTATAAAGATCGGTGAAAGAAGCTCGACTGAAGCAAAGGTCTTTTCACATTTTTTTATTTTATTGAAGATTAAATCTTTAAATGCATCAGTTTAAAATGATTACTTCAGGCATAACTATATCTTTATCATCAAAATTTGTTATTTTATTCATACTGGGATGAATTTGAGAGAGGTGCATCAACGAGCTTGAATCAAAATCAAAATCACGCCTTTCATATTTTCGACGTCTTCACTAAATAAAAGTCGTATTGTCTGCTCTCTTTTTTTTAATTTTCTCCTCCAAGAGACATTTGAAACAATTTCGTATACAACGAAAATAATATCCGATTATTGAGTCTCTTGGAAGAGAGTCGCAAGATTAAAGGGCGGTGCAACGAGATAATTGAGGTCGCGGGTAGGGTAGGAAAAGGGACCTCTCTCTCTTTTCTATGTCGCGGAAGTGCGGCGAAATAACGGCCAGATAATTCAGACGCGACATGTACATATGCATTCTCCATACGATGCCCATTGTGCTACCGCTTATGATTTACGGATTGAGGTACCGGGAGTAACGACGTTACAGTGCACGCGGAAAAGTCTTAATTGCGCCGCCTAAAACGCGCCATTACTCTCTCGAGGGGTGAGCGAGGGAGGGAAAGGGGAGACTCGATTTCTCTGATTGCGCACCAGGTATATATACGGCGAGCGTTGGCGTAGCCCAGGGCCACGCGCCTGGACTGACGTACACCGTTCAATCACGCGGTGAGTCGAGGAGCAGGAGAAAGGAAGGGAGAGAGGAACGGAGACTGTGCGACTCTGAAACCGTATTTATCATGTTCTAGGGTAAATATCTCGTAAGAATACAGATTGGATATATATTACAGACCGCGTTAAAAGTAATTGCAGAATCCTCTGCTCTTACTTGCTTAAGGATATATCTGACAATTAAAGATAAGAATTAATACAAGGATAATAAAATATGTTCCTCGATATGATAAGGATAATAAAATATGTTCCTCGATATGAAATTTCTCAAGAGCGTTAGTTCACCGAGTATCGTACTTTTTTTTTTTTAGAAAATAATACTTTGGAGAGGCAATGAATCAAGTGCGAATTGAGTAATAATTTTGATTTTTTTAAATAATTATTTTTATTTAAATAGAAATTTTGACGCAATTTTTGCACATTTAAAGTTGTGTCTAAAATCGCTTCTATTGCTTTAAATTTCTATCATCTTATGTTATAATGAATGAGTGAATTGTCGAGGCTTCCTAACTCTAAATATTTCGATTCGTTCTACAAAGTTAATCGAGAAGAAACGGTAAAGTTTCGAGAAACTAGAGAATAAGAATAATGATAGCAATTATAACCAATGAAAACGGGAAAATAAAGGAAATGTATAACAGGAAAAAGAAGAATGAGAGATCATGCAACGCACTATCACGATCGCAAAGCGCGCACAATAATCTAGCGAACAAACGAATTCCCAGAGATTCATAGTCTGAAAAAAATGACCCACTTTGCATAATTTGCTTTCCGTTTAATTCCGGTTATAAAGTAATTAACTCGTCACTAACTACTCGCCGATTTTTACGAGATGGGATTTCGAATTTGGCTGGTCAGAAATATTTTTAAGAAAACTGCCAACTTTAGAATAAATATGAGGAGGAAGCTGAGATAAGTATATGTGAATTTTTTAGAAAAAAAAAATTAATTTTTCCTTTTAAAAGTTAAAAAAAATAATTTTCAAGGTACAAGTGGGTCTATCTTTTCGTATATTGAATAATAAGAAGTCATATGTAATCACAGAAGGAGGAATTTTGTTTACATCTAATACGCAGACACGCAAGGGATCGCGAGGGATCGCGAGGGCTCGCAAGGGCTTCATATTCGCAGCCAACACGAGATAAAAATATATAGCCCGAAAGTGCGCGGTATATGAATAAAGTAGAATATAATGAACGAGTGCTCGGGCAGTATCCGAGAGACGCACGCATCGGTGAGGAGGGGTGACGAGACCCGAAACGCGCGACTGGAGGAGAGGGGAGGGGGTGAACGGCAGATGAGAGGGAAGCGAGGTGAAGAGATGGAAAAAAGGAAACAGAGGGTAAGATAGACACCGGGGTGGGGAATAAGGCCCGCGGTCGAACGGGAGTGCCAGGAGAAGGGGAGGGGACGATGCAGCGCGCCGAGGAAGGTATTCGAGACCGATTATCATAATCGCGCGTCATAACTCTGCCTCGCCTGTCTACCTTGTCGGGGACCGATTGGGCCATCCGAGCCATCGCGACCGAGGGCGGAACGGGCGGAGGGGGAGGAAGATGGGGAGAAGGGGTGAGGACTGTGGAAGGGAACCGGGGGAGGACTACCGGCTTCTAAGAGGAAGGAAGAGAAAAAGAAAAAAAGGAGCCTTTAAGGGGGAGGAACTGCCCATCGCTTAAAGAATCTCATCGAACAACCCACAAATTTATATCCAATTTGTATATTACCGCTCATTACTTAAACCCACCGCCGTACAATGTCTATCGTCTCTCGTCTATGTGCTGCGCTGCAGCTACTGGCGGACAGGTGACATTTCGATGGGTCATCGATTGATGGATGACTGATCATACGGTTTGTATAGAAAACTAGCGCAAATTGATCGCGAGAATAATTACGTTCAAGCTAGTCACAGATAGAATAATCGCGAATAATAGCAATTACAGTTGGACAGCGCTAACAGAGTGGCTTTTCTTTAGAAAAGAAAACAAACATCTTTACTAAATAATCATAATATTGTGATTAAAATATTTTATAAAATAAAAATGAAAAAAATATACAGAAGTGTAGAGATGAATATTAATGTTATTATAATAAAAGAATATATATTAACGTAAGAGAGATATATTTTTAGAAAACAAGTTTTGAAAAAATTATTTTTTCAAAACAGATAATGATTGTAAAATAATTAAGTTACCAATTCAAATTATTCTATCGATAAGAAAATAATTAATGTGTCACCTTCCCCAAGATACAAATATATTTCTAGCAACATTCTCATAGCTCGTGATCTTGTAATAAACTACCCTGAGAGAGAGTCTGTTAACGTAACTGCATCGTTACAATGCAGTTTTCTCTCATCTGTAAGCGACCGAGTATTTAATAAATAGTGAAGTGACTCACCGGTATCCATGGCTACTAAGGTGAGCGTATACTCGGGCATCAGCTCTCTATCCAATGATCGAAGGAGCGATATGTCGCCGGTGCTGGCATTTATGCGAAACAGATCCGTGTCGCCTTCCTTGAGGAAGTACGTCACTTGATCGTTGTACGGTGGTGTGTCTGCGTCGTAGGCTTTAACCTTCGGTTCGAATAGAGAGAGAGAGCTTTCGTTAAAATAATTGCAAAAATAAGGTCCAGAATATCTCACACATATAATTAATGAATTATTTGATTTATTAAAGTCATCGCAAAATTGTTTAGCCATCCAAAAAGTCGCGAAAAGTTCATTATATGTACCTGTATAACGAAACCGCCATCCGGCGGCACCATGTTCTCCATAACGTGCACCAGATAAGGGGAGTCGAGGAAGACCGGCGCGTTGTCGTTAATATCGAGGACGGTGATGGTGACCTGGGTGGTATCGCTGCGCGGAGTCTCGCCTGCTTCCGCCGCGCAATCCTCGCTGCGGATTGTCAGGTAGTAGCAGGGCTTGCGTTCAAAGTTTAGGTTCTTCGCTACTCGGATCACGCCACCGTCCTCCGAGATCGTAAAGTCCCGATTGTCGTCCCCCATAGCGATGCTGTATCGCACCCTGCCGTTCGCGCCCTCATCGCGGTCCATCGCCGACACCTGGGATTGAAGGAAAAACGACTTTTAATCGGAGAGACTCATATTTTTTTATTCTTTTATTATTAATTAATATTGCATCTAAAATTAAAATATTGCAAATACACGTAGAAGTTGTAGAGACCCTTATTGAATTTTTGCGTGAAAATTTGCTCTAGATTCTAAATTTATCTTGTTGAAAAATTTCAGACACTTTAAAAAAAAATCATATCGCTTTTCCAATCCTTCAATTTTCTTCGAGATCGCAATTTTACTGACCTGAAGGACACTGGCACCGATGCTGGCGTTCTCGGCGACGGTGGCGGAGTATTGCCTAGGGTCAAACACTGGCGAGTTGTCATTTTCGTCGAGCACCATAACAGTGACATTGGTCGACGACGATCTCGACGGTTCGCCCCGATCTCTGGCGATGACTGCCAGGGTGTAGTTGGACTTTTGCTCGCGATCCAACGGTCCAGAGACGCGCAACAATCCGTCCACCAGGCCCAGAGTGAATGGTAAGTCGTTGTCTTCGAGCATGTATTCGACATAACCGTTCCGACCCTCGTCCCGATCGATGGCCTTTATCGCCATCACTACCGTGTTGCTCGGCGCGTTCTCAATTATCGATATCCTCGTGGGTGATATGAACTCCGGCGACATGTCGTTCACATCCAGTAATACCACTGTCACCTATGTCGTACGAGCGAGAAGATAATGAAATCGATCCTCTCTTTAGTCACAAATATATGTATATATATTCTTGTGAATACTATTTTTTTAATATATTATATATATAAAATTAAAATTAATTTTTTAAAATTAAGATTAATTTTTTTCCTCTCAAAATTTTATATAAATATTATCTGAGGCACTTTTTGTGCATGTCAAGTTTCGAAAAAATTATTTCTTACTAAAAAAGTGATCTTGTAGCTACAGCAATAATTTTCTAAGTATCCAAAATATTAACTGAGATAGATAAATAATTAGCAAATATTATAATATCATATATGTTTTTTGCATTTAATTAATCTAAATGACAAAAACAGATTTTATATAAGCGGAGATAAAAAATAGCGATAAATTTTTGTTGCAACAGAATGACTAGAAACTATATCAGCTATAAAACATTTTGTTAGCAGCAGAGTTAACAATATTAATACTTTTGTGAAACATCCTACATTGTATACATAATAAAAAAATATTTTTTAGAATTCACAAACCTGCACCGTAGAAGACAATGGCCTCGCTGGCGGTAGCGGGCTGTCAGTGACGCTCAGAGCCAGGTTGTAGAGTGGCTTACGTTCGCGGTCGAGGAGTCGGCGCGTGAAGAGGGTGCCGTTCGGTGCCACCCCAAAGTTCCCGTCCTCGTCGCCGCCAGTGATGGCGTACAAGATCCTGCCATTGTCACCGGAATCCAGATCCTGGGCAGTCACCGTGAGCACGGGCGTTCCGATGGTCGCGTTTTCCACGATGTCGGCCGCGTGCGGCCCGGTCTCGACGATGGGCGCGTTGTCGTTCAGGTCGACCACGTTGCAATACACTGTCACGGTGGATGACAGCACCGGCACACCGCCGTCTGTCGCTTGAACGACGAGGATGTAGTGTTGCACCTGTATAAACGAGACATGAGAATCTAGAATTTAATATAAAGAAAATTTAATATAAAAATTTAATATAAAGTAGCAGAGGTTGCTTCTCGTCTTACAAGCTGCTTTCTCCCTCCGAAACTAATAAACAGACAAAAATGTCTTTTATGATCCATTAGAATTTTTTATGTGATAGGGGACAGCCTCCAGGTACTGGAAAAAGTGTCTAGAAGAAAAGTTTCTTTCTCTTTATTTTTTTTTAAAACAAAAGTATCATCAATTTTTATAGGATATTTATACGCTTTTGTATCTTGAAATAAATTTCGAGTAAAATTTAATGAATTTTCTGCATAGTTTTAAAACTGTTTTTACTAAATGAAGACTCTTGAATAAATATACACTGCTGATTTGTTTAATATTTCTGTTGAAAATTATGTTAGCAAAAAATATATGAACAGAAGAAAATGGAGTTCTCTTTCTGAAGGAATAGAACTACGCGTTATGTATCGAGAAACTGCGAGAAATTAACTTTCGTTCAATTATCGCAAATCGATTGGTAACAGATCTTTTTAAAAGAGCCGTAATTAACCGTTTTGTGAGAGAGAGGACTAAAATGTCAGTTTCAGCGCGGTCATTATTTTCTTTGTTTCCGATACACACATGTGTTTCACGATAGACACGCGTACTTCGTAGCCTCCTAATGACGTTGGCGTGTATCTGAAAGGGCATTACGTTGATGAAGGGTTCTATAAGCTACCCTTATCTCGCTCACACTTTCCCTCGCTTCTTCCTTCATCTTTCTCGAAGCTGCACCAATACACACTACCACTAGTTTTCATCGTATTCTTACACATACATATCACAAACAGTGGCGTAGTCAACGGATTGTGTAAAAACGATAATATTATTGTAATATTAATATTAAAATGTAATATTATACTTGAAAAAAATAGTTTCAAACATCAGATAGCTTTAAATAATCATTTCTTTTCTCTTATTCTTCGGAAAAATTATATTATGAATTAAAAATATAAATACTTAATAGTTGATAATATTTTTATGTCAATGATAAAATATTTTCTGCCTGAAACTAATAAGAAAAGATTAATTTTCGAAACTTTCTCATCTTAATAAAATAGTTTCACAAAAAAGAACTTTTTTTTTAATACAAAAATTTTTTTAATACAAAAATCATTTCAATATTTATTTAATTCTTTATGCTTAAACCAACTTTCAAAATTTCAACAAAATTTTTTTCCTTATACGTCACACCTGTAATATGATACATATATATTAAAGTAGCTTATTTGTACAACTTTTTTTAACAACAAATTTCTTAAATTTGTGATAAACACAATTTAAAAGTCGGAATTGTATTTAACGTCAAAAATTATGGAAAATAATATTCCTTTCTTTGTATTCTTTTTAATTAAATTGTGTAATTAATTTTTTCCTCTTTATTTAGATCATCCCGAGTTGTTCCCTATAGAATCTTGGTTACGCTATTGGCGAGACCCACAAAGTGTATGTGCGCTAAAGTTCGCTAACTATGGCTTGTCTCCGAAATGCAGAGAGATCGCCATTAAAGACTATCTGTTCTTCGATCTGTTCGACTGTTATAGCGTTAAACCCTAAATTCTAGCGTTTTGCTCTCCGCTCCGGATAATTTAATGGTGCGCTTGAATATAGAGGTGGTGTTCGTGGTTATAATCGCTGCCCCGGGCGTCCAACGCGTTTTTTAGCGTCTTTTAGTTCCGACCATGAACCAAATGGAACTTCATCTCGACAGGTCGCTGTTAACCCTTTCGTATCCATCGACCATTATATGATGGGCATATCTATAGTATTGATATGTAAACATATAACTTCAGGATCATCCGGTATCGTCTCGTTCCAGTTCATGAACATGTTCTGAACTGCCGGGTCATTTAATAACGTATCTCTCTTCACATGTGAAATAATAAATAGAAAGCCACGGGATGTCAAATCAAAGGGAAATATTTTTCATTCAATCGTGCCTATGATCGACGAAATTTCGAATATCATAAAATATCGAGAGATTTTTCGAACAAGTTTATGAACCATTTATAAGAGATTTATATGAGAAGGGAAGACACGTTCTCATGAAAAATTCAAATTTTTCTATCAATAAATAAAAACTTCGATTCGAGAAGGATGTAATCGAATGATCGCGTTGCCTGATTTACAAATTATCACTGTCGACGATAACTTCATTAACCGGGTTGTCATTTTTCGATCAAAATCCAAACTATCAAACTAATCCATTGAAAACTGCGAATATTCATTAACTACAATATTTATAATCTTGAAGAAATGAGAGATTCATGCGAGATGTAAATCTCCCTGCGAACGTAAATAAGAGAAGCCTAATATGGAAATGGGGGGAATCGTCTGAGATTTACAGACAATCGTCGTCTATAACGATAACTATATTCGTGAAAAAAAAAAGATGTAACACGTGTATACGACTCTTCGCTTCCAGTATACCAACCTGTTCATAGTCAAGGCTCGCGGTGAGCGTAAACACGCCGGTGCTCGGGTTCAGCGAGAACACGTCGTTGGCCCAGTCGGAAATGAGCACGTAGCTCAGTTGACTGTTGGGTCCTTCGGCATCCGCGTCCGTCGCGACGACCTGGCCCACGCGGCTGCCCCTCGGGACGTTCTCCGGGATGTCGAAGGAATAAGCCGTGCTTTGGAAGGTCGGCGCGTTGTCATTGGTGTCGGTAACCTGCGAGGAATGATTTTTCAGATTTTTTATTAGTCACGAGAGACGATGAACCATCTTAAAGTTACGTGCCCTTCGCATCGTCGACGATGAAATTTTTTTAAGTACCGTATCTTTACCTCCGGAATGCCGTGAAAATCTTTTATCTCTAATGTTGAAACGCAATCCCAAGGGTTAAATGCCCACTTCCTTTCCAGGAATTCCCCCGCGAGAACTTGTTCCTTTTAAAGAGAGCCGTTTCAGAGGACACAGTGAGTTGCTTTCATTTCGTGCGCACCTTTCGTCCTCGCATGAACGCGAAGTAGAAAAGATTTACTGACACATGCGCGCGCACCTCTTAATAGACCCGGAAACCAGGTACGATCTTAAAATAAACACTCGGGGAATAAAATCGACTCGAATCTTGCGCGCACTCCACGTCATTCTTGGATAAACACCGCCGCCACCGGAAATATTCGCACCGCTCCCCGCGCTCGCCTCCTTCGCCCTTGAATTATTGTACCTCGCTCCCTCGCGGTAGTCCCGACGCGAGAAGAAAACATTCTCAGGACTCCGCGGGCTATTTATCCATATAACAATGCGCTCATTGTGATCGATCGTCGGCGGTGGAAGACGCTCGACGGGAAGGGACGGTCCTCGATCGAGAGAACGAGAGAATATAAGTAGCATCGGTGTATAAATATAATTTTTTATCGCGCGTGCAACATTATAACATCTCCCTCTTAATTAAAGACGTACGAGCCGTTGCAAAAAATATGTGCAACGTAATGCGAAGATTTTTCGTAGAGCCGCTACTTACGTAGATAAAAATCTGTATTACGTTCAGGAAGAATGACTGATTGTGAGAACACATTTGAAAAATCGGTATAATGACGGAACATCGTCGAGTACACCGAACTTATCGGACAGGAAATTGCAATAATTTCACAAATAATTTGATATAATCAAGACGCGGTTAGCGCGCGTTAATGTCGCCGACGTTTCATTTATTCGACGTCGTTAAATTTCACGCGAAGCCTCAATTTCGTCTTTTTTTATCGTTCGATAGAAGCACGCGGCAAATCCAGAAACGAGCGGTAGATTTACATTTTACATTTTCGCAAAGAGGCAGAGAGGAGAGGGGGGGGAAAATTTACATTTTTCGCACATTTGTCAACCTAAAACGAGTAGCAACCGGCTCTCTCTGTCATTCGCCGAAAATACGAATGTGCAATAATTTAAACAATAAATGATACCTCGGAATTACGCCAATCTTGCGTACATGTATAAATTATATATAGATATGTAAATTATCCCATATTTTCACGTGGTGAAACCGTGCACGCGGCTGCTCTAACGCGCGCCGAGTCTAATTTAATTTAATTTATCTATCCTGTAAATCGGACGGAAACTAAACATCGCGATAACGTTTTCGCATATTATTTCTTTTTGTCATGCTAAAAAGAGGCTTGCGAAATGTCTGTAATTCAACAACGTCGTTAGTGAATGCTGATTATTTATGTGTTAATTATTTCGTTTGCTTGGACAACATTTTTTTTTCTATCTTGTCCTCCGTATCTATTAAAGAGAGCTAGAAAAATAATTCAAAAAATTAAATTTATAAATTAGAATAATACTACTAGACTTACATGTTACATATATACAGTGTGATTCTGTATTATTACGCGGAAAATTCATTGTGTTATTCGCTGCGACGTTAAAGCAATCAAATTTCGTTGTAAACCACTTATAATTATTTATTTAATGTTACAATAAAATTAATTGCAATATAATCAAAAGATGATACTATAAATTGTTGCATGTTTCTAGAGATAATTCGAGATATGCTCAAAGTTTTCCGGAGAACGGGGTATGCGCTGTGTCCAATACAATAAGGACACAGTTTGATTAAGGAGGGCTCGGAGACCGTTTGCAAAAAGCGACGGTGTCTCGAGACGACAGTGGATGACGAGGAGTCGGCGAGGAAAGAGAAGACGAAGAAAAAGAATCAAAACTGGGTAGGAGTTGAGGAGGAAAGAGATGCTTTAAATCTCACAATCAGCCAAGGATATGAGGGGAGACGGCGGAAGGAGTAGATGGGGCCCCAGATTCTGCAAGAGACGTGTCATTCGGGCGACAACAATATACACATATTTTCTCCCCCTCTCTCACATATGTTTCTATATGTTGCAAATATGTACGTGTAATTATTTATAATTGTAATAAAGAGAGATCGAGATTATACTCTATTTATAATATATAAAAATTACCGGAAAAATGCAATTTATCTCGATTTCTTTAGAAAAAATGATTGAGAGTGATAGATATTTTTTAATAATTTTGATATAATTGATATTTAAATTCACAAAAGGAAACAAAAAATTAAATATCAGACAATCTAATATCGCTATCATTTCGACTTTTAGTTATTCATGGATATAACAAATTGCTATATTTGTACAAGGAAGACTTGAGAGTGACTTTAGATACATTTTCGGTATTTCTAGAATCGAGAACTATTCGTTAAATAAATTTATTCTTGAAAATATATAAAGAGTACTCCAACTTGATGTTAGGGTTATTCTGGTAACGCTGTCACTACTCTGTCTCATTCTTTTCTTCCGCGATGACTTCGAATGAACGATGCGATGAGATGATGAGAGGGAAGGGAGGGGGAGAAGAGGGACAGAGTCGAAGAAGAGATTCTCCAAGGGTTTCGAGAAGGTCGGTCGTGAAAGAAATGGCTAAGGTTAGCGGGAGAAGAACACGAATGATGGGTGAGGAGAAGAGGAAAACGGCAAAGGGGATCAGATATATAAGAGGCCAGTAGGGGCAGATTCCGCGACTGTCGGCCAATAGAGAAACGGCTCGTTTTCAACGGAGAAAACCCGAAACCACCGACCGAGCTATGATCGGGTCCAGCATTCCTCTCTCCTTGCCTTTAAGGATAAAATAGCGGGGCGCGCGAGAGCGCGCGGCGAGCAAAGAGGTCCTTAAAAGAATTCCAGCCATTACGCATCATAAAAATAATTTTTGCGATTGTCTCCGAGGGACCCCGGCCCCGGTGGTCAGGGCCCCTTCTTCGGGCTTCGTTAAACGGTCGGGCTCCCCCGACCGAACTCGCTTTTTTATCGCCTCTCGCTTGTGCCGCGTAATGAATTATAAGGCGGGATACGCGCGATATCCTTACCGAGCACGCCTCGCGATAGCGCAAGGATTAGGGGTAAGAACAGAGGTGCGAATATTTTGTGATTTAACCTAGATATATTTCTCAACGCGGATACTTCATTAAATTAATTTAAATTAAACTCATTAATTTATCAGCAATGTAAGATATGGAAGATCGAAAAATGTAATTTAAAAGAAAATAATCTCTTGCGCGTAAAAATGATTACAAGAATCGAAAATAATATTAAAAGATATTTTTCTCATAAAACCTTGTTTTTTTCGAGAATTAATTTTGAACATTGGACAAACTAAAAGACGTCTAGAAAAAAAATGGAGGAAATCATCACAAGATGAGGCGTCACGCGAAAATTTAAAGGCTAAATTTGTCTTGTCTCACTGATCAGGAATTCTGATTGAAATCTCGAATAGTTGTGCGATTTATCACTCTCTATCTCTTTCTCTCTCTCTCTCTCTCTCTTTTTCTCATTCTTTCTGACGCAATGACTGATCTGCGCGAATCGATTCTTTCGCGGTGTTTCGTAATCGCACGTAGAAACTAACTCGATCTTTTTCATTAAGACGAGGGACGGGCGTGCGCCATTGTTGCATATACGTGCAGAACGAATGTGCGAGCAATCCGCATGGCTGGTCGCCGGGCGATCGTAGATTTATCTTCCAAGTGATGCTTGCGCGGGTACGCAATAGCGCAACATTGTTCTGCTCGAGATCGCTCGTTGCGATAGACAGTGCTGACTTATGCATATGGCATTATAACCGTACACCCCGACTTTCCTCGCCCTCCCCTCCGATTACTATCATTAATTGAAAAATATCAAGTTCATCCGTGACACTTCCGCAATATAACATACTCGTATATATCAATTATATAACTAATTAATTTCTAATTAATTTTGAATTTTGTGCTATTCATCTAAAACAGTAACATTAATATTTTCTCATTTCATTGCGAAAAATTGATTCAATTTCTCGATATTTTTTATATAAATTTTTACCTATCAAATCGAGATTTCAAATAATTAGATTTCTTTTATTTAAAATAAATATTTTAAAGCAAAAAAAAAAGAAACTATTTCGGTTAGAAAATAAATAATCGGTTAAGAATCTTCTCCTCTTCCTAGATTAGACAAATTTCATACTATGTACCGTGTCGTGTTGCTATAGCTCGATTCCGTTAGAGATTGATTGCCTTTAAATTGACCGGTATAATTGGTCTCGCCGTCTCTCGGCAATAACGATATCCCATGTAAGTACACCCATAAATTAATTCGTCGCTGCGCTTATTTAACTTTTCTCCCTCTCCTTCTCTCTCTCGTAGAGGATATCTTCACTCATGCTTCATTCGTTACTCACGAGATTCTTCATTCCTTAATCGCGCAATTGATCCTTTTCAGAGGAGAGATTAGCCGACGCCAAGTTTGTCCGTTCGAACAATGGTCAAATTCCACTTTACGAGAGAGAGTACCGGCTATATTATTTATAAACGAGAAGAGGAATTGTCGATATGAAGCAATAGGTTACAGTTATAGTAGGAAGTTGTCGGCGACCTTTCGGCACGGGGACGTGTCTAATGCATTATCGATTTGACCCCTCGCTCGTCGAACATTCCGATACTCGGGAACAATCGGCCGATCTCTCTGGATCTTAGCTTTTCCCATCTTTCGAATGCCATTTGCAATGTTTCGCGATGCATTTGAAGAGAGTACTTGTATTTCGTTGGTGTTTCTAGTTACGTTGGCTTTCTTATCAATTTCGCGAGACTAGATGACGATCAGTTGACGACTGATCGAGACTATGAATTAGAATTTTAAAAGTACATAAGCGTAATAATAAGCTAATACATAATAATAAGTTAGTGCATAAGCATAATAATATCGATATACGAAATTAATTATATTGCTATCGGTATTTGCAAGAATGTTTCTCAATGAAATAAAAGTAGCCTAGTCTGCTGTAGCGATAATTTAACGAGTTTTTTTATATTTACTGTATATAAAATAGATTTAATATCGGAACGTTTATTTATAAGACTTTCGTTTCGAATATCTGTGCAAGTGTAACACATTCTTACCTGTATGTTGAGCACGATATCCCGGTGTTGCAGGCCATCGTCGGCGCGCACTCTTAGCACATATTTCTCTTTCGTTTCCCTGTCGAGGGCCTCTGCGAGCGTTAATTGACCGGTGGTTGGATGCAGCTGGAATTGTTGCATCCCGTCGTCGAAGTCGTCGGCATCGTTGGCGACGTCGTTGTTGTTGTTATTATTTTTGGCGAATGGCTCGGTGTAATTGTCGGGATGATGATGACGATGACGACGATGATTCGGCACCAGGGTGTAAGTCAGGGTACCGATGGTGTCCGGATCACGGGCCTTGAGTACCGTGACAACGGTGTTGGGCAGCGCCTCCTCGGATATCTTAAATTTCCATGGGCCCGAACCCCACGTAGGAGCCACATCGTTCTTATCCAGCACCGTCACGCGTACCTGCAACAAGAAGGAGACGATTAGAAGTGGCTCACCGAGGTCTCATCGGTCATTCTGATCAGATTGAGTCGTTGGTGACTCGACGGTAACGATGAGTATTGTCGGTCAGTGAGGAATGTTCGGGAAATGTTAAGCTGAGAAAGTCTCGTGTGTTCTTGGTCAAGGCTTCCCAAGACGGTTGTGTTCCCAAGACGGCTTTCCCGGACCGATTATATCGGTCATTGTAAAAATTCTCTATCGTTTAATTAAAATCTTGTCACGTGACACTTTGTATCATAGAGAATGAATTTTTCTCCGACATAATTTCTACGACAGATGTCGAAGGACTATAATAATTATATAAAGCGTGAGATAAAGAAGCAAAAAATTAATTCTGAAATATATCGAGATGCAAGCGAGTTCGATATGAGAATTTGCGACAAGAAGATTCGGCTAACCCCGGGAACATAATTGCACGTCGAAAATTACGTGTCGAAGGAAACATACGAAGGCCACTACGATGCCGAAGTCACGGTATGCATGCGAAGATCCGTGAGAAAGTTAGTTTTTCGATCCCGCTCTTGTGCATGTCTCATTTCATTAAATTCTCAGTCACGTCAACAGCTTCAAGGTTTGTATGCGACTACGAGCCACTGGTATATCAAGAAATGGGACACTATATGAATCATTGGAAAGGTATAATGCGCGATTAATAGTCGATCAAAGGTAAAAAAAAAAATTAATTTTACATTTAATTTAAATATACTTATTTAGAAAAGAGATGATCACACACACAAAATATGGAACTGTATAAATCTATAAATCTGAAATTATTGATGTAAATTTGTAAGTTATAAAACATCAATGATCGATCAATTTAAACCTAGACTGTTTCTAATGTCAATATTTACATAAGTAATAAATGCATTTCAGTGTGCGTTAGAATGAAATAGCGGACTCGATTAAAATATTTTCTCATATGAGTTATCTTTCTCTTTCTTTCTCTTACGAAAGAGAAGCATAAATTGTTTTTCCTTTACGGTCAGCCGATGTTACCTCGTAGCCGTAGTAATATTCTCTTATGTACACATAATCCGGCCGACAGATAAAGTACGCGGACATCTCTCAGATATACATAGAAAGCTTTTATATAAGCGGCCGATCCGAAGACGCGGGCGCATTTGTCTTCCTAGTAATTAGTCGGATCCCCCTTCCCACCCCTTGTCATTGACGGAGTGGTTACCATCGATTACTGCTCTCTAGGCGTGCCTGTATCGTCGTCGGTGAAACAACGCGTGGATGACGAAACAAAAGTCCAGACGCGCGGTGCGAGAGTAAAGCGGATTAAGCGAGAATAAATCGACGCGATCCCGTGACCTGCCGCCGCAATAAATCGCGTGTAACCCAGATGCACCGATCATTGCCCAGATGGATGCGCTTATGCAACTTGTGCATGATCGACGCGTGTCGCGTTTGTAGGCGATCTCGACCGGCGATCGATATCGCTCGTGTGTTATTAAAGGATTACGCCACCTTGGAACTTTCAATAAAATGCGAAAGAGAGACGGAGAGAGAGAGAGAGAGAGAGATCGCATGTAAGAGAGAAACGTGTGTATATAAATATGTCAATAAAATATTATATCTCTTCAAGAATAAAATATTTAAAAAATATTTAATAATTTTTAAAAATAGATTTTTTTCGAAAATTACGAGCAAAATATATTTAAAATAATATAAAAAATATTTATGTATTATTTTTTTGAAAAATTTAATTTGCTAAATAAAAAGAGAGAATTTTCTTTTGTAAAGAAATTCTAAATCTTTCTCATAAATGTTTAATTGTATCACATAATATGTATGACTAATCGGTTTAACTCGCTACATTTTAAGATTGCTTGTCGAATCACAGTTCTCTTTTTTTTCACGAATCAAATGTTAGATCAACGGACAGTTATGACCGTCAGCATTATCGACTGCCAAAAATCGACACGATAAGGGACATCGATAACGAGCCGGGCCTGGGCCGGGAGCTCGTTCGCCTAATGTATTCACGTGTATTCACGAAGTATACCGACGTTGTTCGACGAGATAAATTTATGCAAAGTCCGTCGAAGCGGGTCCATCGATAATTATAGGAGGGCCCTCTCGCGCTACGTTGTCATTAATAGCAGCTATCGGCAGTCACGTGTTAAATGGCCGCGACGTATCTTAAACTTCCCGACATAGTTCACACGATCCACAAGATTGACTCTTATCTCGTAATGATGCGATAACGGCGGATTTCGTTGCACGTGAACCGTTCGCCACCCATGCATGATGCCTCTGTTAAGCGAACCGATACTTATTTCAGGCAGGCGAAAACGCAGCCTGCGTGAATAACGCGCTTCGTCACGATCTCTGTGTCCCATTAATTCTTGATTTCGCGATTAATTTTAAACGTCACCGCGCGTTAACGTTTGCCTAATCAATTGTAAGAATGTCACGTACGTCAATCTTTTCGCCAGTCAGATATCGATCATTTTGAATGACTCTGATTTCCTAATCAATTAGATAAGATTGATGTATCGAAAAATTATTTCGCATTTTTTATTCGATCCGTTGATTTGATTGAAAGCGGGTAACGCATATTCTTAATTAATGTAATTTCTGTTGTATTAATTATAGCGCAAAATTTGCGTTGCTTATTACGACGTTGTTCATATATAATTTGTTAATTATATATGAATCATTGATAAAAATGTAGAAAAATTTGAAAAAATATAGTTAATTTGCCGTCCTAATTCGTCATAATGGTATAAACTTATTTATTGCCGCAACCAAAATAAACCAACTATACTGTCTGCGCAAACCCGCCATTTAGGGCGCTATTGCATCAGTGCCGGTTGGCAGTAATCCTAATTAACTCACTTCCCATCTCCGTCTAGATTATACGCATGGCTGTAGGTCGAGAGAGGAGTAACAATTCGCTAATTTGGAGTTAGTTAATGTAGATTGTCGTGCGATGCAATCTTGGATCTGATATTGCATCGCTGTGACCTAATCGCTAATTATCTCAATTAAAAATCCTCGAATTGTTTATGCAATTGTGGCAAAAGAGGAGTTGTACGAGTAATTAGCGAAAAGGGCAAGTTTCTTTTTTTCAACGCGTAAAGATTCAGATCCGAGGAGCGAGGATCAAACTCGAGTCCGCAGAACCTAACATTGGATCGCAACGAAGAACGATGTCTCTTGCGTCGGCGTTAAAATCACCGCGTCGGAGATATCGACGGCGCGTCAAAATCCTCCAGCTCCGAGATTATCTCCAGTTACGAGACTCTGGAAGATCAGTTCGCCCGTTATACGATTTCTCTCTCTCTCTCTCTCTCTTTCTCTTTCTCTCTTTCTCTCGTCGTCATCGTCCTCGTCCGCGACATCATCGTCGCGAGCGAGCGGAAACAGCAACGAACGAGGCAACGGCAACAATAAGCAGACAAATCAGTGCGGTCATATAGCTGTCTCTGGATTACAATCCCACCCTCTTTTCTCTCCGTATCCTCTCTTTCTCTCGCTCTTTTCTCTCTACTCCTCCGACGCGGCGCGAGAGCGCGGAATATGGACGGTAAGAAACGCCTGGAGAGAGGAGCATTCGGAGTGCAAGGAAAGATGGTATCTGCGTCAGCGCGGTCGGGGATCAGCGGATCGGATCGAGTCGCTCAGCGGGGGTTTCTTTGGGTCATGCACGAAGTGAGTCCCATTCTTCTGAGAGCCCCGCGTTCCACCGTCCCGCTCCGCCGCTCCCGGGCCCACCGGCTCGGGTCCCCCTTTCTCGTCCCACCCTTTCGCCTTGCGTCGGAGGCATGCATCGAGCGGGCCGATACACTCGAGGAGCGCGATTCCCGTCCCCTTTTACCGAACGAGGTCCTATGGGTTCTCTATGAGGGGTCGAACCACTGACATCGGCCGATTAATAACACGTCTTCGTGGGGGCCCGCATGGCCCACGACGACGATGACGACGACGACGACGACGACGACCGAGCGAGCGAGAGAGAGACTTAAAGGACATCGTAATTCTCTGAATAACGACCGAAGACAATAAGATATGTATCTACTCTAATAGCCGTTTTCCTCCCGCATTCCGTACGACATATAGAAAAATTTGAGAGAGTCGGGAAATATATATAGTAGAAATGTAAGCGCGGAAGATGCTATCTGCAAAGCTCGTATATCGATGTTTCTTTCGAGAGATTCGTGACATTTACTAATAAGTTAAAATTCTTTAAATCATTATAGATAATCTTGTATAAATTCTGGCTGCAATATCATTGTGATTTTTCTTAAGCAAGCCTTCATCCTATGTTTTTTAACTTTATAATATATTTTTTTAATTAAATTTCAATATTAAAACAATATATGTATTAATTAAATTTCAATATTAAAAAATATATGTAATTTCAATATTAAAAAAAAATATTTTATTAAAAAATTCACTTGAAATGGACAGAATTTCGGCGAACGATTTTTAAAATAAACAATACTAACGTACATGTATACGAATAAATTTCGCGTGAATAATTATATTCAAATAAAAGTGTCGTGTGCGATATTGCAACCCTATACTTTTTCCATGCACGATGCGTGGAAAATTAAACGTTATAACGTAACGAGCGGTAATTATCGAGCGTTATAGAGAGATTCGTAAATCAAAGAAGCGTATACTGTAAAATCGGCATGATTATCGCGCGATTTTCCGCTAACTTCCCGCACTCGGCTCGCATGGAATTTGAAATTCCGCGATGTGTATCTGCTAATGGCTGCTTTACGCCTCGCGGTTGTAGGCCGCATTCGTGAGCGACGAGAGCGTGCGGTTGCAACGGTCGTAGCGTTATTGCGACGTAATTATTAGCCGGTTATTACGCGCGCGAGAGCGCACGTTCCCCACATCTTTGAATGTATCGAAGCCTCATTTGCAATCGAGGAGAACCTTATTTTTCAATTAATTAATTAAATCGTTTTCTCTCATTCCGAGAGAGCTCAATATGA